GCAAACGAGATTGCGCCGGCCGACGAGAAGGCGTCGCCGCGCATGGCCACGCGGGGTAGCACGAGCAGCTATGACGAGGCAGCGAGCTTCTTGCCCAAGGTATCCTTCATGTCGCCAAGAGTGGTGCTGATGCAATGATTCTAGTCACGGTCGACGCTCGTGGAGGAGCTCACGGCCAAGTACATGGGCGAGGCCGCCATGCGCCCACGAGAGACTTTGCCGCCAACGACCTCTGGGACATCGCTGAGCTTTCACGAGTCGTCTTTGCATTATGCACCGAGCTACGAGCCACCGTCGCCCTTGACGACATCGTCCGCAAGTGAACCGAACCCATCGTACATCGCAACGATCCAGCCGTCAAGTGCGTCCGAGGTTGCAGCGGCTGGTACCCTCCAGCTTGCTTCTCAGCTGCTCATGCGTGGGCATAGACCACGTGGTGCATCGGCTCGTGCAAGACGCGTACCGGGCCATTGACGAGATGAAGCAAGCCCATCAAGTGCTCTTCAACAACGACACGGTACGGACAACTGGGACGACACGTAATGGATTCTATCAACTTGAAACATTACCGTAGATGCCGCAGCGGTACGACAGCATTCTCGCCGAAGCGGCAGCTACGAGCGTCGAGAAAGCGACACGGGCGCTGACTCGAGCCCGCGACCACTTTCGTGACTTTTGCTCCGTTGCTACACAATTTGCGCGAGACGACCCGATTACGTCATCGTCTTCCACCCACGAGGTTCTTGGACCTCGCCCGTAGCTTGGATGATCTGATAGACGCGGCTAGCCGACGTGTACCACCGAGACGAGGTCGCAAGCCGATCGCTACGTCCCGTCGGAGCTTCGAGAGTCGCCTTCGAGAACCGCGTCAACCGAGAGCTGGTCGACGTACGTAGCTTCACGGGAAGCGACGCGAGAGGCCATGCTGTCGTCGCCAGCGGCAGCCAAGTACTCGAAAGCAGAGACCCACTATACGTCGGCTCCGGCTTGTGCGTGGTCACCAAGTCCCGAGCCCGCCGATGCTCGACCTGGGTCTGGCGCGTACCAGAGTCCTGCAACCTACGAGCGCACATCCGCGAGCACCAGGGCGTTCTTGGACCGCCACCAAGTCGAAGACACGAGTCGAGAAAGCGAGCTGGAGGACAAAAGTCGCATGGTATTGGACTCGAATGAGTGGGCGAGTCGACCGCCAGCAAAAAGTTTTGAGATTGACGCGTTGTCGCGTTACACCTCAGCCTTACTACCAACCCAGCGAAGCGACAACTTCCAGGAGACCCAGCACGATCATTTCAGCAGGCCCCGCCACGAGAGTATGTCGTTTGACGCAAGAGACACGTCTGCGCAGACAGAGTACAAGCCATCCGTTGCTTTTGCCCAGCAGCGTATGTGACGACACGAATGTGCATTTGTAGATCACTCTGTGTAGGTGCACCTGCAGCGAGTCCCACCCAGCCGGCCACAACGACCGAAGGACGCAACTCGATGTTTGCAGGTACGTTTGTCATGTGGAATGAGACGTTCAAGCTAGCAGTTGGGAACGATGGTATAGATTTCGACCGGAAAATGCAGGAAATTCGCATGTCTCTCAGCGCGATTGCGTCGCGCGAGCCGTACACGGGCGGCAACACGCGCGATGCAGCGCCGCCCGTCGAGACGCCGCAGCCCAACTACCGCGGGTCGTTTGAAGAATACTTGAAAGAGTTCAAGCGCGACCTGCACCAGGTATCCGAACATGTTTCAGTGTATCAAATTGATACCTTATCGTCATCGAGTCTGTGCTAGGAACGAGGCTATGGCCAAGGAAGCCCCAGCATGGTATACGTCGCTATGTGGCAGACATTCTGTCGAAAGTGACGCTGTTTCTACTAGGACAAGTACAAAGCGAGCTCGGATCGACCGTAACCCAATTGATAGACCCGATGTGGTACTGGCGTCAAGCGAATTCAATCAAAGTGTGTTTTCAAAAGAGGTTGGACGTCTTCAGGCATGGGAATGAGTAAAGTCAAGGTGATGATTTTCGTGTGGTGTGCCTTATTCGAAAACATAGACCACGTCGTGTGGAAGTCCACAACACGTGGTACAAGCTTATTTGTGGCTCTGAGTGTACGCAGTGCATGCGGTAATCAAATCGTCGACCATTTTTGAGAGCTCCTGAGCCATGGAGCCGTCGAAGAGAGGCAGCGACGCTGTGGCAGAAGCCATCGCGGCAAGGTCGCGGACCATCGCAATGTCGCCGGCAAAGACCTCGTGGCCGTTCTTGAAGTGACCCACGAATGCGATGACGCCGTCCTTGATCACGACAAGGTCTTTCTCGGCAGCGTCGACGTGAGGCTTGGTGTGTTCGAACGAGGCAAGCTCGTTTCCGGCGGGGGGTCGTGGAGGCGTCGACGCATGCGCCGCGTCGCTTCGTGCTGCGCTGCGACGAAACAAACTTGTCGCCTTCGAGTACATGGTGGCCCCTGCTGTGTGCAGGCTGGTCGCCGCATGGGGCGTCGTCGTCGTCACTGGCTGCGGCAGTGGGGTGAGCTGGCCCACGAGTGCTCCGACGTGTGCGACGACGAGGTTCAAACTGTTCTGTACGTGCTCGATAGCGGCCGCAGCGACCGACATCTTTGTGACAGCCTCAGTCGCGACCTTGAGAAGGATCGTCTTCTGCGCCTTCTCCGAGCTTGGATTGTGGGTTTGGACGAGGCGCGCGTAGCCGCGGAGAAGCGGCGCCGCGAGCATGCACCACTCCATGAGGGCGCGGCGGGCGTTGTCGTATTCGTGCTTGGCGTTCAAAATGTCGGTCGCGATCGAGCCGAACGTGGCAGCCCCGGACTTAGTAAAGCGAGCGCGGTGCTGCGCCAGCGCCTGGACGGGCTCGCTGAAGATCTCGTCGGGCTGGCTGAGAACGATCAAGTTGTACGTGTCCAAGGCGTCCTGGAAGGCCGAGAGGTGCACGTAGCGCGACGACTGGCGGTCCGTGGGGAAGAGCTTGTTCTTGAACGTCGGGCCCGGGGTCTTGCTTTCGGTCGTGAGCTCTTCCATGACGGCGTCGTCGGCGACCACGGCGTTGCTGCTGACGCTCTCGGCGTCGTTCGCGACGGGCTCGTCGGTATGTGTCGACTCCTCGATCGTGCTACCCATGCTGCTTGGCGTGACTAGAATTGGAAAATGGCCTCTCGTTCGACTCTACGACTGCAGTGCCATCTCCTTCTGCACAGGCTTGTTATGCAAAGGCTGATCTTTTCGGTATCATATCACTCTAGCGACGACGACATATCATCCAACAATCTTGTGCAATACGTACCATTACTGGGTCTCTGCACACGATTGTTGCGCGATTCAGCGAGACTGGACGTCTCGCGAGGTTGCTGAGCATTCCACCGTACTTAGCGACGACGACGACATATCATCCAACAATCTTGTGCAATACGTACCATTACTGGGTCTCTGCACACGATTGTTGCGCGATGCAGCCTTGCTGAGTACTAGTAGTCCACAGTACAGTGTAGCTGTAGTTGTTGCAATGACGTTAAAACCCGTGGCTATAGCAGGGTTCATTAGCCCCAGGCATTGATCGTCTTGCGACGAAGCTTGAGGACGCGGCCCAACCGGCCTTGATAACGCTCTCATTGCCACAAAACCACACCTCAAAGGAACATGGGTTAAAAGGAGCGTCTATCACCAAATCTCGTGTCCAACAGCTCGCGTACGGATAGGGATTGCGCGTGTTTGTAATGATGCTTAGCCTCAAGCCGTTGGACCAATTCATTGAACACCCCATTTTCGAATTTGCCCGTCAGTCGCAATGGCCGTTGCCTTAGTGGGTGAAGACCACGTTGCTGCGCTGAGCGCCGCCAAGGACGGACTCGCCAAGTACAACGAAGCGCTCGACAAGCTCGTGCCCTGGAGCGAGTTCGACGCGACGCTCGACATTATGAGCCGATACCAGCAAGACTTCTCGGCCGAGGCAGGGGTGCTCGTCGGGTCAATCAAGACCCACATGCTCAACAGCCGTCGCGAATACCACAACGCGACTCGGTCCGTGTTCGAGTGGTGCGCCCTCGTCGTGCCGCTGCTCAAGGGCTACCTCCGCATCGTCCAGACAAGCACCAACACCGCGGATGCTGAGAAGAAGATCCTCTCCAAGGTCTTCACGGACGGCATCGCCAAGATGGGAAAAGCCGTCGAGCAACTCGACGAGTGCGACTCACTTCTCAGCAAGGCCGTCGGCCAGCTTGTCACGCTCCAGGTGCAGCTCGAAAACGACTTCAGCCAGCAAAACAATACTTCAAGACCAAGGTGTCCAGAATTCGCGCCACCTACGCTGCGAGCATCATTGGCAGCGTCGCCACGGGTCCTGTCGGCATGGCGATTGCAGTCACGGGCGCGGCCTTGACAGAGGCGATGGTCATCAAGAAGCTCAAGGAGCATTTCAACGATATCCGCACCGGGTTCAAGATCATGAACGGGCGGTGCCAGACCATGTCCAGTGGCATCTCAACCGCCACCAAGGCCCTCGAAGACGACAAGGACATGATCAGCAAGCTCTCCGCCAAGGTCACCGAGTCCCAAGTGTGGGTCTCCATCGAAGGCATCATCATGGAAGAGCTCACGACGGCCGCGCAAGAGCTGCACGACCTTTGCGAAGCGTACAAGGCCCGTCACGGCAAATAAGTACAATCATAATGCGACTGCACGGAGCACATTTTGCGTTACAATGATCGTCTCTCGTTGTTGTGACTGCCTGGTAGACACTACAAGTCCAAGGGACACTGCCACTGAATGAAGTCAATGCGCTTCTGATGGCGCAGTCTGTTCGGCGAGCTTCCCTCCACGGAGACGAGTTGCGTCGCTGAATCCCGTCGGCCCTATCCCGAGAATGCGGCTGATCCCCGTACTACTGTAATGAGATGGAGCCAGCTGCTCCACTGCAAATATGCGCCGTTGGTCTACAGTGTAGATGGCATTGCATTGCGTGCAAAAGTATCTTCGCCGTGGCACCGGTGCATCATGTGTTGCACGGGGTTGTGGCCAGCGAGCACCAGCAAAACGTACCACACTATTTTGCGTTTGCATTGGACTCTCCGATATGGCCAAAGACATGACATGTACGAAGCACAGTTGTAACATTGGGTGTGCGAGCGGTGAAGCCAAATGCTGTGAGAAATCGGCTTCGGACGGATCGATCATTTCCAAAATTGATCTGGTCCATGACCTCGCCTTGCTGCGTTTCGGGCACTGGCGGCGTGGCCGTAGAGCTCACGTTTGTCAACTTGTTGTCGCGCGCGATCGGCGTCTCGTGGATCAATTGGACCGGCGACGTCATCTTGTACTTTCATCTCGACCCTAACGCGGTGTACGCTCAACCGACGTACGCCGACCACGTCTGGATGGTGCACGACGTCGGCTCGACCACGGCGCTCGGGTACTTCTGCGCCGGCACGGACCACGATCGCGTCGAGATTGGGGGCATCAACTCGATCCTGGACGCACCGCGGCGCCAAGCCCCGACAACCCTCAGTCGCTGTTTTGCAGCGATCTCATCAAGCATCACGATGTCGGATGCGGCCATTACCCAACTCACTCCGGTTGCTCAGCTCCGAGAGCGATGGGAACTCGTCGTGGCAGGTGGGGCCAGCTACCCGCCGCGAGCTCGAGCCACGATGACGACGATCTCCGAGTCGCTCGAGGAGAGCTGGGTCAAGTACACGGCCGCGTCGTCCAGCCTCTTGAACTTGTGCGTGGACATGTCGTCAAGCCTCAACGACTACGAGCAAGCCTCAGCTGGGAATGCGGCGATCCTCCGGCAGAATGTCTTGCTGCCGCTACTCGATCGCGCCGTTGCAACGTTGGAGACGGCGGCGATCGGCCTCGATGCCAGCGCAAATGCCGTCAACGTCGTGGCGGGGAAACTGGTCGAGCTCGACACGCTGCTCGCGGATCATATGAACCAAACACGCAGGCGCTCAAGACCGATATCAAGAAAGTGCGAAAAGGCCGCGTCGTCATGACAGTGGCCGCGACTGTTCTTTTGGTGGTCTTGGACTAGCCGTCATGGGAGCCAGCCTCGCCGACGATGAGCTCTCCGTTGTGCCCAAGCTCAAGAAGGAGATGGAGGCTCGTCAAGCGACCGTTCGTGGCATCAAGATGCTTGCACTTTCACTGGGTCAAAGCGCTGCCAGTGCGACCCAGCAAATCAAAGACGACAAGATGTCGGTCTCGCGCCTCAAGAGTGAGACCAGTGGCGCCAGTACGCTCCTCGAACTTGGCGACTTTGACGACTTGGCGACCAGCATCCAAGATGCAGTTGACACTCTTCGCAGCACGTGCTGCGAGTACATCATCTCCCACAGCTAACTTGTTCGTAAAACAAGGCCATGGTAAAGCTAATCAATTCCCCGTCGCGAATCGCCGGGTTCGTTTGGAGTCCAACCTTTCATCGACCAAACTTATCGTAGCGTCGTATGGACATGTCACCGTACTGTGGCCAGCGAACCATTCGGCGCGGACTGGCAGTAACGGGCAACAGTCTGCACAACCAATTCTATATATGTGTGCGCTTGGGCCAAAGGCAACAAGGAAATGCAAGCTGGGGGTGGGGCACTCGATACACATTACAACCCGTAGTACATGCCATGTTTGAAAAGGCGAATGTGTCATAAGATTGTTTGGACACGGCACGAGAGAAAAGAGAGCAGGGACAACCACTGCCAAACAGGGCACTGCTCGGACGTTGGGAGCGGTACTCACCAGCACTACGCTTGCGTGGCGGGCTATACGACAAAGGCCTTGGCCAAGCATTATACTTGAAATTTGTATGAGCCAAACAATTGCAACCCAGCCAACACCAAATCCCTTCCAAACCTACCCCTCCAGAATCTATTTTGGTCAATCCAGATTGCGTAAAGTGATACTATAATAAGATTCAAGATCGTACACCGGAGGCAAAGACGCCATCAAAGGCGCGGCAACCACGAAGGAGCTCGATGGTGCAGTCATTGTACGAGAGACGGCCAAGCAAGTGATCCGCCTTGACCGACGTTGTTTCATTTTCGTGTCGCCTGGCTTTTTGGTCGCCAATGTACTGCGTGCAAGCGGCAGCGACGTCTGAGCCCGACGTGCCGGAACGTGTCGGCCGTGAGCACGTCGAGCTGGCCAAACGCGAGGCTGTACGTCGCGGGTGGTGCCGTTTGTCGTGATAGTCGTCAACAAACTCGCTCGGATATTGACACTCTATTCTGCGCAAGAAAGCTGCGTGGACGACAAGCTCCCGCCTGCAGCGGTGGTCCATGATGCGATTGCGCTTCTCCTCCGGCTGTTTGCTCCCGACCAGCTACCCTCGGTTGTCAACGAATGTTGTTAACGCAATGCGAGACGTTGGAGGTGACATCCGAGATGGTCTTGCCAGTGGCCCGACGCATCGTCGATGACGCGCCCTTACGTTGTTGACTCTACCCGCTACAAAAGTGATCCTCGACACGCACGGACGTCGACCGAGAAGCTGCGTCAAGCCAAAGAGGACCTCATTGACAAGATCACTGCAGTCATCGCCGACGCGAAGACCCAACTGGCGACCAAGGCCTCGCATCGACCGCCTTTGTTGATCATCCAATCGAAATACAACTATCCTTTAGTACTACATGTACAATCGTACTACGAGCTCTTCTTGTTCGCATGCGGTGTTTGTGCGATAGGGATTAGGGCTGGGACTCGAGTTCCACCGACTCTCGATTAGCCCTTGGCGGCAGCTCTTGCGATGGGTCGCAGAATATTTCGTGGAATCGGTGGGCTCGCTTGCGTGCGAGCTGTGGGACGATCTTGATCATGCAGCGTCGAAATCTGTTGCATTTTAGCCAATCACCACCGTTGCATATTTCCACGAAGCATTTGATTTCCACTTGGGATGACCACGCGGGTCCGGTCACTCCCACCGACGGTCGTTTTTTTCCCGTCATAATTGTGTCATAAGTCATAATATTGTCATAAAAACGTCATAATTTTTGGGGGTAGGATTTGACCACGCCGAGGAGGTTAGGAGGAGGCTAGGAGGAGAGGAGGAGGTTAGGAGGAGGTTAGGAGTAGGTTAGAAGGAGAGGAGGGTGTTGGGATTGCGGGTGAGAGGGTGTAGGGGTGTTAGGCTGTGGAGCAAGCAGCCAACGAGCGCATTATTCTCATATTGTCATAAATACATATTTATGTCATATTTCTGTCATAAAAAACTGTCATAAAAGAGCCCTTTTATGACACTTTATGACGGAATTATGACGGGAAATACGACACCCCCACCGACGTCTCGCGCTACGAGGACGTGCTGGCGCGCGTCCGCCTCCGTGTCTCGAATGCTTCGCGTCTTCCTCTTCGCAGCGCCTATCGATCCATGCTTGGCGCTCCCGGCGACCGACGTCTCGGCCATCGAGGCGAACGACGCCGTGGCGTGCGCATTGGCAACCCGCCGTGGGATGCTGAAGTACACAAGACGATCCGAACGACGTTTGCGCCATCGAGCCCGGTCACGATCGCGCTTGCCTATTTCGCGACGAGCCCTCGCCGCTGGCCGCGCCGCCTTTGAGACGCTCTGCAGTGAGCTGCCGCTGTCTCCAGAAACGACCGCCGCGCGCTGCATCATTTGACTCGCGGGCAGGAAGCTGTCGATCGACATCGTCGGCGCGTCGCCCGTGCTTGTGTACGACCTCATCAAGTCCGACATCAAAAACCGTCTCGCCAGACAAATCCGTGGTATTGAAGCTGCTCAAGTTTCAATCATACACACCTAGCACATGTGTACAAGCTCGAACGAGAGGCGACTTGTTGAGGTAGGTTGTGCGGCTGCCACAAGCGCCGACTTGGAACGTTTTGGAGGGTCGAGCCTGCTGCCGGCGACCTCGACCCCGCCTGCCACCCTCGGCGCCGCCGCTCTGTCCGACCAACGCGTCGACGCGCCGAGCTACCGAGATACGCAACGCCATGGACCACCAACTTCTGATCTCACGAGACTCTTCAAACTTAAAATGATGTTCATCTACTTGCGTTGTGTCTTTTGCATCTTGGTCAATGTCTTGACAGGCACCATTGCCGCGGACCGCTTGCGTTGGACGTGCGCATCGTCGTCGTCAGGCCCCTGGAGCGGGCACTGCGTCGATGCATGGGCCACATACGTGAGTGTCCCATGGGCGCAGGTCGTGCAAGCACCGCCGTCGCGCTTCAGACGATACGTCGGGCGGACGCAGCCAGCGCCGACGTGGCGGCGCAGCAGATCGCACACGCACGCGCGGTGATCCGCGACGCCGCAGTACGAGCAGATTGCGTTGCGCCGGCGCTCGAACACGCGCAAGGCTGGCGGGTCTACGAATCAAGGTGTGTACGTTACGACGATGCTGGATCATGTGCATGTACCTGTCGACGTCGCAAAGACAAAGTGCTTGGGTGCGACAAAGGCCGGCGACACCAAGTCGTCGCAGCAGTGCTCGACAAGAAGCGCGCATGTTGCGACGCCATGGTCGGTCTCGATGAGACCCAAGCGCGCGCAGTAGGCGCAGCAGAGCCCCACTGGAATCGCGTACGACTGTGGCAAGGTCCGCGACTTGATCGCAGACCTGAGCGCGTCGCAGCGGGCCACGCGGTGACCTCTCTTGTCGCAAAAGTCGCAGGGCGAGCACCAAAGCCGCGACGTCTCGGTCGAGACATAGCTCGTGAAGCGAGGTAGCGAGAACGAGCAGGTTGCCGTGCCGTTCTCGAGGGCCCGGCGCAAGTCGGGACAGTCGCGCGTCCGGTGCTTCATCGCGCAGCAATGACACGACGCGTGCCAATGCACACCGCCCCGCCCGCGCTTGCCGTCGATGAAGACGAGCTTGTTGGCCCGCTCGACGTCGGTCGGTGCAGCGTTATCGGCGAGCTGCCGCGCAAGCGGTGGTGACATGGGGATGTGCATTTTGGTGGATCGTCGTCTTTGGTTTATGTACTACAATCGATGCGCCGGGTCGTGCCCTTTACGGCTTTGCCTTTACGAGCTGGAGAAAAGAGAGTACTGGAACGATTTGCATGACACTATCTCGGTTTTCACACACCGTTTTGAATGTTTGAATAGACCATCGATTAGTCGTGTGTGATTGGCATCTGGCCGACCGTTGATCAGTGATCAAGGGTCGCATGCGTGATCAATGATCACGCACGCGACGACGGCGCTTCAACCAGCGCCGAGATGGTCCGGTCCTTGCAGCACATGTCCATGGCGCAATGGTCGCTTCGGTCATTGGCTCTGTCAACGTATGCTCCAGGACCGGCGCCCACGCACCATGACCATGGCAGTGGAAGACGATTCTCAAAGGTCAAGAGGTCGATGGAGAAACCGCCACGTCACGGAGCCAGTTGGAGTCGGTTTCTACGTCTGTCACGGTGTAACATTGATGGATACCCACACGAAACGTGTCGAAAGTAGACCAGCGGAATGGTCTAGTGGAAAAGCCGCGAAACACGCAGAGAGTTGGAGGTACAGGGATCGATGCCCTTAAAAGGACGGGCCCTACAAACTCCCTCTGCATTCCTTTTTTTACTCGGCATACAAAAATGCTGTGTGGGAAAAACAAAAACATTTCGTCGCATTATTCATGCTATTTCGATGCAAGCGGTCGTTCCAGTATATGAATCCGATACCAATTGCGCCGTGCATGGCTCGTTCCCTTGCGAGAAACGATCCCGACATTCGAGTCCAGTAGTGTTTTGCTATACTTGCACGTACAGGTCGTCCGGGTACCGCTGGACGGTCGAGGCGATACCGTGTCGAGTGCATGGTGTCATCAATCAATGGCCAATACCTCGGGCTGGCCTGGAAGAACGCACGAGAAAGGTCCGCACGCTGTGTTCTACTACGTAGTACTAGGTAGCAGGGAGCGTGGCTGTAACTGACAAGACCCTTGACAATGAATAGATACGACATGTAATGTGAGAGGAGCGTCGTCGGATAAGTAGCCGCATACCGGTATGAGCCGAGGGCGTTGTGACTCGTGCGCAGGCTCCTAGAGCCGTATATCTTCGCGCTCGGAACTCGAGCTGCGGGTCTTCTTTCTATGCGGGCCAAGCTTGTTCGGGCCACCACAGCCGTCTTGAACATGCATATTGCCATACAATTTACGCGTGCAATGAGCGCGATTTGATCATCCATGGGGACGACGTTGGAGCTGAAAAGATGCATTTTCAAGCGAGGCGCGACCATGATCCTTTGCTGTCACCAACCAGCTGGCTTCCGACTTTGGTTGATGCTTGTTCTCCGTACGTCTGCCGATCCCGGCGGGGCTGAGACGCGCGCTTGTTCTCGTGGGTGCACTTGAAGTCGCGTGGCGGCGCTTGTAAGACCCGGACGCTCACGTACGGTGCGGCACACGGACCCATCGCGTGTCAACAACAATGACGAGCATCCGCCAGCGAACCGATGTGGCCATCGACGGCGCCAAAGCGCCAACGACGAGGTTGAATGAGGAGATTGATTATGCTACGCAGCCATCCTGGGCCTCTCTTCGACCAGCAGTTTGCGACTTGCGTCTTGCTGATCATTGCACGCGATTGTGCCAGCTCCGTGACGCTCGCGGTTCCGATCACGTCCAACTTCAACCCGAGGTCGACTGTTTTAAACACACGCCGTAAGCAACATTGTGAATCTCTCGTGCTCAGCCCTCGCAGTCCCAAGACGCAGGAGCAGCTCAGCCAAGTCGACTTGCCGATGCTGCGGTACGCTGCTACATCGTCTCTAGTGCCATCGGCTCACAGGGGCAGTAGGCGACGAGGCCACCAACGGGGTTGCATGCCTCAGCACGAGCTCGTCTCCCGTCGCCAGCGCCATGACCCGACCTTGACACAGATCGAAACTCCACCGCGCCGTCAACTTGGCCGATCTCGCCATCGAGGCGTGCAGGCAGCACCAAGGACACTACGTTCTTACCCGTCGGTGGGCCTCAGGCAAGAATAAAACGCTCGCCCCGCGACGCAGCTCGTCATTCGAGCTCGAGCATTCTTCTGGACACAAGAAGCCCGTTCGGATGCGCAAGCTGCCGTCGTACGTGGCATCCGTTGGGTCGCTCGGTAGCTCCCAGCGTCTTGTACTTGACTTGGCAGCTCTTGCTTCACGCCGTGTGTCGCGTAGCTAGGAGACGTGGACATACTCAGTGGCACAAGACATGGACGAACAAAGTCTTTGCTGGTGCGAGTAAGCTCCAACTTTGCTCGTCCAGCGCCACAACACTCCTCTCTCTCGGCTTGTCGAATTCTCTCGACTCTACCGTGCGCCAACGACCCAGTTCTGGTGCCAACTCCCACGCATTCAGACGTAGCACTGCGTATGCGAAGTCTTTGAGTTAGTTTTTGCCAATTTGATTTCAACGCGAACACGTTTGATTGATTGATTAATTAATTGATTGATTGATTAATTGATTGATTGATCTACCTTTGCGATCATGGCCACGACGCCGCTTTCATGTGCGCCGAGGTAGCATTGATGGATGAAAATCAGGACTGAAAGTGCTACAAAACCCAAATGAAAAGAACATTTCACCTCGTCAGCAACGCGTTGTGTGATGTTGATGCTGAAAATATGCACTTGCACATGGGGCATCGCAAACAGACTGTCGGCATGAAGAAGGTACAAGAGCGGACGCCAACCAGTATCCACGATGTCCTCGGCCGCATTTTCGCTCGTCTTGCTACGTCTCCCCTCCGCAGTGGTGCTGAGCCGCGCGCTTGCTGTCGTGGCGAACGCGAGACGTCATCAGCACGCGCGCTACCTGCGTCCTCGCACGATGAAGAGATGCGCACAAGAAGGCAACGCCTCGTGCGTCCTATTCAATCACGGCTGTTTACGACGCACGGTCGCAGCCATTGGTGGCACCTGGTGGGCCGCGCGTTGGCGACGTCGGTCAGCGTGGCTGGTCCTGGGAGTGCACCGAGAGGCTGTCGAGGAGCATGTCGTCGACGGTGACGACAGTTATAAAATGCAGGCGTTGGTGCTGTCTGGGCACCGCCAGTGTCATGCGCTACAGGTACGTGGCGCCTCGTAACGCACGGTGTGTAGCAAGGTGTGGCAGTCGCGTGGGCTCTTTACCTTGATCGCATTGCTGCTCACCAGAGTTGTTGTGATCGCATATATATCGACGGAAATAATGTTTGTGTACAATGTTCCAGTAATCAAAGTGTGCAATTGCTCATGCGACCCGAGATCTAGACACCTGAGCGATGACAGAGACGATAGATATGTCGATGACACCTTTCGCTTGCTCGGTTTGCTGCGGTGTGTCGAGAACGACTGTCGCGGCTTGTCCTCGTCGACGGACTGCGCGGGCGTCGCGGTGTCTTTTGGCACACGGCTTTCCATCACTGCGACTGCCTCGCCATCCAAGCCAAGCACCTGGCGCTCCGGTGGTCAGTCACGCCGCCAAAGTCTACCGAGCGCCTCAACGCTGTGCTTCCTGCGGCGACCGAGCCACACGGTCCTCCACTGGCGCGCAATGACCATCAAGACCAGAGTTCGATATTCTCATATTATATTTTATCAGTTGATCGACAAGCTACCGCGCCTGGATTCGAGACGCGGAGGGCTCGGTCGACGTACGGCATCCCCATCGGGCTGTGCTGCGAATACTGCGCGCACCACGGCTTCTTCGAGCGCGGCCATGCTGTCACGGCCTGTCGGTTGCTCCTCGAGCACGCCTCGGATGACCTCGTGTCGTCCAGTTTCGTCGCACCGCCGCATTTGGTGATCACGACTGCTACTTGCGACGATGAGGTACTTGAATGCAATGATATAGTATGGTACGCACCAGTAGCGGTCGTGATGACCAAATGTGGCGACGCGACGAAACTGGACGGCACGAGGTCGTCCGAAGCGTGCTCAAGAAGCAAGCGACAGGCCGTGACCGGGACAACGTGCCCACGCTCGAAGAGCCCGTGGTGCGCGCAGTACTGGCAGCACAGCCCGATGGGGATGCGGCTCGTGCGCCGGAGCTTCCACGTCTTGATGGCCCCCCGACTATAAGACAGCGCGGGCTGCGTTCGCCCGGGATACCGCTTGACGGCGCGCAGCGGCGCATGCACGGGCGAGGCGGCGAGACAAAAAGCCGATGCCACGTGCAAGTCCGGGGCGAGTCGGGCCGGGCGAGCGGGCCCGCGTGACACAGCCGGTGGCGGTCGGTAGCAAGACTTTTCAAATATGAGGTCTGCGAGCAAAACAAAGAGTTCACGACCGACGGTAAACGTTTGCTACCGCAGGGTTGTGTGAATAAAACCCACTGGATTGAGCGAACCTGGTCGTTGGTTAAATGCTGGCTCGGCGAGCAGTTCAATTCGAGTGTAATTAGAGTGTCGCAAGAACTCGACGGTCGGTAACAAGATCGTCGGCGCCGCTCCCTGCTGGTGAAAATCAGTCTTGAACGTGCAGCTTGCGATACAAATCAAAAGTACGAGAAGCACGATCGCTTCATATTTGAAACGTCGAGAGATGTTGAAGTTGCGAATATGCATTTTCACATGTAGCTAGACGACCAAGATACTTTTTGCTTTCCAGCATGCGTCACCTTCCCACAACGCTCTCGGTCGCGTCCTCTCTCGGGTTGCTACGTCCGCCCTCTACGACGGTGCTCCGACGCGCGCTTGTCATCGTGGATCAACGCGAGAAGTATTCGGAGCGCGTGATGAGTGCTCGTCACAACTGGAGGCGCGACGAAGCTTCGCCGCGACGAGAGCCAAAACCGAGTGCACAAACAATGTGTCTTAATGTTCTCGTCTATCTTTTCGTCGATCACAAGCGTCTGAAAGGTGGGCTGGATGTGTACCCCGTAGCTGTGCTGGAGACGGTGGTGAGACTCGCAGACCATGATCAGGATTGGATTATACTACGCACCGATGGCGAGGTCTATTTTCATTGGGCAGCCCATACATCGTGCGCTACCTCGTGCTCCTCAAGCGAGAAGCTCGCGTCTTGGCAGAGCTGCTTGAAGGTGCAGATAGAGCCGACGGCCGAGGCGGCTACGCTTGTACCGACTCTTGCGGCGAATAACACATGGGCAGCTGAACGTGCTTGCTAGACAATTTGAATGGAGCACGTAGCTACACTGGAGTACGCATGTGTATGGATGCAGACATTCAACGGTGGTTGGGCTCACAGAGCATCCCCGAACCAACAAGATGCTCGCACACAATCGTGACCGGTCGTCGATCTGCCCGATACAGCCGCTATCAGCCCCATGCCGCTGCTTCCACCGCCGGGTGCACATTTCAAATGGCGTTCTTGTTTCCCACCCTATCGCTTCTTCAACGTCGTGGGTTTAATGGCGTCGAGCTCGCTGGCCTGCTCTAGAATGCGCACTGGGTGCCAAATGGTGGGCTTGGGGTTGTAGCTTCAACGTGCTGCGTTGGATCGTGCTCACTGACCCCCTGCTGTGACCCAGCTCTCGATGTCCTCTGAAATTTAATAGATACGACATGCAGTGTGAGAGTTGCGCCGTCGGACAAGCAGCTGGTGCCAGCTCAAACCCGACCCGTGGCCTTTTTCACTGTGCGTTCGCCTTGAGAAGCACATTCTTCGCTGGCGTCGTTTGTGAAACTCAATTGAGTACCGTATTCCTCAAACATCGATATCGTGGCGCTCCTCCGCACTGCCACGTACGCGACGCTGGCTGGACGACCCCGCGTGTCTTTGCGGATCAAGATCGTCCACGTCATGGCTGGTGAAAATAAGTCTTGAACATGCATCTGCCTATACAAACCACAAGGTCAAAAAGCACCATCAGACCATCTCTAGAGTGTTGTATAATGTTGAAGTTGCGAATATGCATTTTCAAATGTAGCAGGACGACCAAGATACTTTTTCCCTTCCAAGCACCCGAGACGACGCATCAGTCAATTTGCCACAGCCCAGCACTTTAACTCCACGATGCTCGCCCGCATGGCCTCCAAGCGCGCCTTCACGGCCTCGGCCCGCCGCCTCGCTGGCGACCACCACCCGCACACGGTCTTTGACGACAAGACGTTCACGCGCTCGAACGTCGGTGGCTTTGTCTGGACGCTTGTTGTTGGCGGCACAGTCGCGACCCTCGGTATTTGCCAGTTCCAGAACTACAAGGGCGGCTTCCCGCAGAAGAAGTAAGAGAGCGCTCTAGCTGCTGCCTCCATGAATGTATATCGTCGATTGGTTCTGTACGAGTTCCATGGTATCTTGGTCGATGGCGAGGTAGAACGTACCTGGTAGTGTGCTGTCTTGGGAGTGCAAGCGATACCATGCAACAAATGGTCTCTCTTGCAAGCACCTTGGACATCGGTGGAGAGTTGCTGTTGACATCACCGTCAGCGCGAGAATAGCATCTGGGTGGCTAGTACGAGGTAGCCACAGCGCGCCTCATGGCAGACAATATGCCATCATATAACATCGTTTGTCGGTTCTTGTTCCATTAGTCGTGCTAGCGGCTCGCCAGATGAGGACCACGTGCTCTCGCCTCCCATAATATGCGCGCCTTGGACGCATATAAATATAATAAATATACTATTGGTAAAAATATGCATTTTCATCGCGAGCATGGCTCGCGTCAAAGCCGCGCCACGAACGCAAAGACAGGGCCGTGTCAGCTTCTATGCACCGATCCTCCGGCGCTCTGGCGCTCGTCGTCGCATTTTCCAAATCACCAGAACCACCACTAAGAATCAAGATGCTCGCCCGTATTGCCTCCAAGCGCGCCTTCACGGCCTCGGCCCGCCGTCTCGCTGGCGACCACCACCCGCACACGGTTTTCCACGACAAGTCGTTCACGCGCAAGAACGTCGGCGGCTTTGTCTGGACGCTCATCCTTGGCGGTACGGTCGCGACCCTCGGTATTTGCCAGTTCCAGAACTACAAGGGCGGCTTCCCGCAGCAAAAGTAAATTGCACCATAACTTAGACAGCCTTGTACACAACGCTTCTTGCCATTGCATGCACCCGCACGCAGGCTCGATCTTGGCATCGACGATTCGTAGCAAGCGACCCATCGCGGCTACCTTACCAGATCGACACTGCAACGCACTTCAATGATTCCTCTTTTCAGACGCAGCGAGTATCAAACAAGTCGTTGCACTGAGATTCTGATAGCTAGAGGAATGATAAATATTGCGAATTGGTATCGTCCTTGTGTCTCTTACTTGAAAGTATTGTAACCTATCCTTGACATGAACAGAGCTATGTGCTTTCCCAGAGCTCATCCGCGTGCGAAGACGCGTAGTGTGCTGCTGTAAGAATGCAGCCGTCATTATGCACATTATGCACGCGTCAATCGCTAGAGCCATCTTGTCGCGTCGAGCTGTAATATACAACTCGTGTCCACTCTCAAACCGGCATGGAACCCGCCATGTCCATACAGTCCTATATATGCGACTGCATCGTTCGCTTCGTGTGTCATGGCAAACGTCCATGCAGCCGGCTTGCACCTCGCCAAACGTTGAACTTCAGTCGTCGTATTCTGCAACGGTTTGTATACAAACGTCAAGTCTATTGCATTCCCATAGTGTAGTTCAGTGTAAAATATGCATTTGCATCTCTAAGCTTGATACGCGTGTCATAGCGACGCAGGGCGCAAAGATAGCCCACCGGTGCGTCGCTTCTCTGTGTACCCTCGCAGTGGACTGGCGTTGACTCACTTTCCAAATCGCCCACGACAGCCACGATGCTCGCCCGTATTGCCTCCAAGCGCGCCTTCACGGCCTCGGCCCGCCGCCTCGCTGGCGACCACCACCCGCACACGGTCTTCCACGACAAGTCGTTCACGCGCAAGAACGTCGGTGGCTTTGTCTGGACGCTCATCCTTGGCGGCACGGTCGCGACCCTCGGTATTTGCCAGTTCCAGAACTACAAGGGCGGCTTCCCGCAGCAAAAGTAAACGGTGTCGACCAATTCTATCTTATACATCTCCACACTTTTTGCTGCCTTGACAGATCGATGAGACCAGTGGACGACCTGTTCCGCCACGACGCTGCGGGAAGGGCATGATACTTGCCCCATGAGCGCGGTAACGTTGGGCGAGCGCAGAGGCGAACGGCGCTGCGTTGGCTTGTCGACGGCAATACTCTGACATAGGACGCGGAAGCATCAAAGCAAGTTCCTCTGCTCTACCAATAGAGTATGCATATGACATGGCATTATTCGTTGGCAACCTGTGCTTCTAGAGTGTTTTCTACTGGCGCAGCGCTGGATAGGCCTTCGGTCGACGGCGGAACGTCCACGGACGTCTCTGTCATAAGAGCAGCCTTGTCTTTGCTCTCGTCTGCAGCGGCAATCGCTGAAGGCTGCGACGACACGGCATCCGCCGGCGTGCTCCCGTTGGACGGTGCCAAGGCAGTAGCAGCAGACGGCGGATCATTTCGCGATGGTTCAATACCGGGTGCGGCGGTGGGCTCGGTCGACACGGGCACAGCGTCCGCGGAAGGGTCGAGAGCAGGCTCGTCCGTGCTCAGAACCGAGCGCGTCGCCCCGAGCCCCGAACGGGCCTTTTTTTTCCACGGCTTTTCAGCGCCGGCGCGAGGTTTGGCCGCGCTTGTTGTCTCTGTCGGCGCAACGACTTGGGCGTCCGTGGTCGCAATCGGAGCTTCTGAACCCTTTGTCGAATGTGGCATCTCGGTCTCGCGCGGTCCTGGCGCTTCGGAGCCTTGCGGTACCGTAGCCATAGCTGGCGCCATCGCAGATTGCACCGGTGGCGCTTCGACGCTGACTGCCGTCGCGCTGGTCTTGGCCTTTTTTGCCCACGGCTTGGCGACCGTTCGAGGTTGCTCAAGTTTTGGCGCCGCGTCGACGCGTGGTGCCGGCCGCGCGTCGGTTGACGGTGGCACCGACATCGTATCGACGTTTGGCTCTGAGGCCCTCCCGTCTGTCCTTGGTGGCACGGGTCTCTCTGGCGGCGCCGTCACGATCGGCGGCGGACGACTGTCTGTAGGCGCGCGGTGGTCGATCTTTGGTGGCGCGACCATGGGCATCGGGACATGGTTCTTCCGTCGTCGCGTGCTGTGCACGTGCACCCAGCACTGCGGGCAGAAGTGATGACTCTCTTCGCAGCTCTCGCAGAGCAAGACAGCCTTTTGGTCGGCGCACTCTTCGCAGAGACCTTTTCGAATCGCACGGCCGCGGACCATGACGAAATGTTCGGCTCGAATCTAGAGTCATACGTGTATAGTCCATCCATTCGACGACACCATATTGATGCATTCTACCTCGTTGGCAGCTTGTCGACCACGGTGCCCACGGTACTGGGCTTGGATACGCAGCGCCATGTTGCTCTTACGCAGTTGCGCATAGTCGATTCCGCTCAGCGGTGGCGCGACCGGTCGCGGCAACCGTCGGCTCTCGTCCTCGAGCTGTCGCCGACGCTGCGTGTTGAAGTGGATCTGCGCACTCACTTGGGCCACGAGGTGCTTGGTCTGCGCCTGCACACTCGCGTCAAACCCGTCGCCGTACGTATCAAGATCGGTCGTCTGTCGACGGTAGGCGTGCAGGCGCGGCGGCAGAGTGCTGCACGAGGCAGGCGTCGACTCGGCCTGCAACTGGTGGCTAAACGCCATCCACGGCAGCTCGGTCAGCGTTGGGTCCGTGCCCATAAAGACTGCCAGCGGGTCGTCGGACGCCGGCGCGTCATCGCGTGCTGACGCGGACAGCGACGTCGCGTACTCTTGCGGCCAGCACCACACGCGGTCAACGTCCGTGTACGGCCAGTGCTCGGGGTGTCTAGCGTCCATGTTTTGATGACGTCATCGTCCCAATTGCTGCAGCAGGAGACGCACCGGCGCATGTCGTAGAGGGTGCCCGCCACCGGCATTTCGTAGATGCGAGGGGCTTTGAGTGACGTCATAATGTCCTTGTGCGTCGTGAGCGCTTCGTGGCGCCGGCGCCGGAGCTTTGGCAGCGGAAAATCGTTTATGGATGCGCCTTGGTCGAGCTACACTTTTTATCGGTGAGCTTGGTGTGGAGCCTCGCGGTTGGTGTACCAAAGGCAGCGGCGGCGGTTGGCTCAGTGCCGCCATGCGCCGCTCACACCGCGCGAGAAGGGCTTGCTTTTCGAGCTCGGCGTCTAGCATGGTCGAGAGCTTTCCATCCAAACAAAAATGCTAAAATGCTAAAATGAAGTAAATAGTACCTGCACGAAGGGCACGGAACTCCTTCTTGTGATGCGCGAGGTGCGCGCGGGTCGTCTTGGCGTGGTCCGACAGCCGCGTATACGCGAGCTTGCGCAGCTGGAGCTTCTCGGCCTTGGTCGCGTGCTCGGGTACCGGGTGCTTCCACGGCGCCGCCTTGGCGAGCGCGTGGACTCGCTGCTTGATCGTTTGCTGGAGCCTCGTCTTGGTTTGTAGATACACCTCGGGATCGAGTGCAGTTTCTGGCGCAGGCGTCGGTCCGATCGACGACTGCGTGCTGCTGGCGACCGACGCTTGCTTCCAATAGCGCTCGTTGTCCTCGTCGTCTTCGTCGTCGGTCGACGACCACTCGAGGCGCGCGTTGGCCTTGTACGCCCGGTAGTCTTTCCAGCGCTTTTGGATGACACGCGCAGCGCGTGCTTGCCGGAGCGCCATGAGCTTTTCGTACTGGTCGGGCGAGATGGACTCCATGTAGAGAAGCTGCTGCTGGTGGTGCCAAATGCGCTCGCGGCGCTTCTTGCTCTCCGACTCGAACGCAGCCTAGGCGACGACGATGCGATCGTGACATGCATCTCGCGCAGCGATGTGCACCTGCTCGAGGCGGAAGCCCTTGTATTCGGCGAAGCGCCGACGGACGTACCGGCCGCGCTGCCGCGCCTGGAGCGTCGTTACCGCCCGCTACGCGGGACATGCAAAGGTTAGCTTTGGCCTCGCTGCTGGCAGGACGCCATGCGATCGCACCTCGAACGTGGCGGCCTTTCGGCGGTACGCCACGCCCTTCCATCGGGCTTGGATGAGCGCAGCCGCTTGGTCGGGCGTCTTCATCGTGGATACGCGGCGTACGATTGGCTGAAAAGGATTAGTTTTCGCCAATCCAGAGGCATATCCTTTATAATTGTAGCCAATCAAACAAGCACAGCTAGGAAAGATACGCTGCTGTCGTTGAAGGTGGCATGATGCACTAAGCGGCAAGCGGCTGTCGGGTGTGGCCGACTGCAAGCGACAGCTCACCAGGGCCTAGGCCATAAGGTAGTGGCTAAGATAACTCATTGGCTTGGACCATAACTCTCAAGCTCTACAGCTCGGACGGGACATGCGGCGCACCACAGACTTGCTCATTGCCTCGGTGTGGCAAGATGCGGCGCGTCTTCAAGTTCATGCGCTGGCCACTGATTGCAAAGGATCATCCAATATGGAGACAAGTCCTTGAAGCTGCGGGCGAGCTGGAATCTTGACGGTCGCCAGTACATCCTCCCAACACCACGTTCGAAGCGAGCGAGAGCGGGCACCTTACCCGCTTACCCCTCGTACCCGCGGCGTATCCTGGCGAGCGCATGCTGGTTCGATGCACCAGGTAAGCTACTACACATCCTACCTTCGCGCGTATCCTTCAAGGAGCCCGGTGCTGGCATGCAGTTTGCAAAGATATCAAGATTCACAGGGCCCCCGTCCACTCTCCCGCTCACTACGATGGCTCCTAGCTCGCTGCAATGCGACGCGACGTTAAGCACCGAGCCACACTTGATGCCACAAGCCAAACCGCCGGCGACCAGCAACCGTCGTCGACGAGCAACGGCTGCGATTGCGCTGCGAAAGGCGACGGATATTCTCAGGACACGTACACTGGCCTTTATCCGACCTCGCGTCGCAGGCGTGGGATGCTACGCATAGCTGAGCGTCTACGTGGCTGGCCTGACGCGCGCTGTTCTACAGCTGTCAGTGCTGCTCCGTCGGTCGTCGGATATGCAATGTCGGAGGCCATCGAAGTTCTCGAAAACCTGTCGAACATGATATTTGGGTTTGAGTGCTTCAACATCCGAGATGAGAGGTTTGGTGGCCAGCTCATGCGATCTTGCACTTTGACATTTTCGGGCAGATGGCGTCGGCGCTGCAGAAGGAGCACTTGAAGCGGTCGCTCTCAGGGTCGCTCGACATGCTCAAGCTCTTCTCGGCCGACTTCCTCGAGACGTCGCAGTCGATCCAGGACCAGCTCGAAGCCCTCGAGCGCAAGGAAAGCAGTGGGAGGACCTTGAGCGCCGGCTCCAGCGCAACGCATCCAGCGCCGCCAACGTTATTACGCTCGACGTCGGTGGCACCATCTTCCGCACGTCCAAGGACACGCTCTTGCGGCTCGATGGCACGTACTTCAGGCCATGCTGGGCTCGGGCCATTGGCAGCCCAACGCAGAGACGGGTACGCATGCCATGCTCCTACCCTCCGTCCTCGCTCATGACGGCCCATGATGCAGGTGCCTACTTTATCGACATTGATCCAATCCATTTCGACCGCGTCATGGTCTACCTACGCACGGGCGAGCTCTCGTTCGACGGGCTGAGCGACTGGGAGGTGCGCCACTTGCGCACAACGCTCGACTACCTCAACATCAGCACGCCACGCGAGCTCCACACGCCCTCCGAGCGCGATGCTGGGAGCTTGAAGTGGAACCCGCACCTCTGTTCAGCGGGCTTGAGCCTCTCCGACGACGGCAGCTCTGTCCAGCGCGCCAATGCACCGAGCCGCAGCGTGTCGCATTCGGTGCTGGGTGCATCGTGTGTCGACGTCTATTCGCTGCGGCTTGAGCGCATCACGACGGTCGGCAACGTGCTCGGCAAGCTCTTCGTCGGCCTCGCGCCGCGCAAGGGCTTTGGCGTCTACTCGTACAACCCGGAAGTGTCGGGCTACTACGTCGAGCTTCGCCACGGCACGCTTTACGCCCAAGACGGTATCCGTGGGACTCCGTACTGCGCTGGGTTTTCCGAAGGCGATGTGGTGACCGTGCGCTGGCGCCGCGACGTCGGCGAGATTCACTTTGAGAAGAACGACCTTGAACTTGGCGTCGCCTTTAGCGGGCTACCCACAGACCTCGAGCTCTTCCCAGCCGTCGACATGTACTACCACGGCGCGCACCTCTCGTTCGTTCACTAAGTTATATGTATGCACGCGTGTCTTGCGTCGGTTGCGAGGCCGTGTCCCTCACGTCGTTGTTGTTGTCGCAGTCTGGTGTTCCTGTCGGCAGAGGCAACCAACGGCAGCGCAAGTACCGACGTGCCGAGCACGTCATTGGAACGAGTGCGTGGGCACTTGATGTCTTCTCCAACCAAGGTTCGGAGCCCGTCAAGTCAAGAGCCCCTCCCGCCGCTAGCCAACACGCGCTACCCGTCATTGGTGGCAAGCGAATTGCCATGTGGGTCAGCCATTGACACGTCGACTTCTGCCGCAAGGCGACGTCTTCCATAACGGTGGCTAGAACGCGGTCGTCGCACCTTCCAAGGTGGCGGCGGTGACAGCTTCTCCATTGCGCCAGGGCCACCGCCACGTCAGCGGACCTCCAGTGCATCTCCAATGCAGAGCACCCAATCCATACCCGACGCAACGCGCCGAAGACTAGCCCCAAAGCCCATGATCTAGTACGCATGAGTGTATTTGTTCCACTGGATCCGTCGGTCCACGCTAAGAAAAGCTATGGATCGCGTTCGATTTGGCCCGACTCGTCGTCCGATCCCCATATATCTAAATCTACCCACGCGACTCGGCCATTCCGTCGTTCGTTCGTCTCTGACCTCGTGCTATGCTATGGCGACGCGAGCGCGGTCTCGAGGCCGAGGTACGCGATGGTTTGCCGCAGCTGATGCGCGTCGTAGGCGCAGAGACCGTCGAGCGCAATGGGCTCGCCCGTCCGGACGTGCGCCATGATCCGATCGAAATGCGTCGGATTCACATCCACAAAGTAGCTACCGTCCTCTACACACGCATATGTTTGAGAGCTGCGTTGTCGTAAGTAGAGAGACGCACCGTGGGTCGGCGCGGTCGAGAGCATGACCGAAAAGTACGCGTCCGGATCCCGGAGCAAGTTGGCTTTTGCTGTCTGGAAGCGCTGGCCGCCGACGTTGAGCGTGATGAGGTCGGCGGCCGCGCGCGCATTCTCTTGGACGGACGCGCAGAGCCGTTCAATGTGGCGTTCTTTGTGGACGAGGAGCTCGAGCTGCGCCTGGAGGAGCGACGACATGGTGGCGGTCTCGAGCTCAAAGTAAATCGGGTGCTCCGAGCCAAGGCGGTGGGCGCACGCTTCAATGAGCTCCATGACATCGACGAGGAGGATCCTATGGCATCGCCATGAGTCGTCGTCGTCTCCTACGATGGCCTTGCGTACAGCTTGCCCGCGACAAACTTGGGCGAGTACTCGATGAGCTGAATGACGGCGTGGAGCGTGATTCCGTCGCGCGGAAAGCTCTAGTCACAGGTGAGAGGCCAGTGAATGCGGCGACAAGCACGTACGGACGAGAGGTCGGGGCCGAGGAGGCACGAGATGCAGTACGTGCCATCCGAGAGCACGAGGCAATAGCGCGCCTGCTCGACCACGGACGCGGGCTGGATCATCTTGATGTGGACGACCTGCAGGAAGGGCCGGAAGCCGCCCGCCGACGACGGCTGGTCATGCAGCTGGCGGATCGCGTCCGAGGACAAGCGGTCGGCAATCATCTCGCCACGTTTGGGTTCGACACTGTGGCGTGTCTGCCACACCGCTCTCGTCGTGCTTTAAAAACACGCAACTTTTGGCGCCGCGACGACGGACCGACGCCTCAACCCAAACGCGAGAACTGTAGCACCCACGACGGCGTCGACTGAGGGTGCTCGCCGTACGTACACACGCGTACAAAGTAGTAGCCCCGACTTGACATCATCATCCACATTACTGTATTATAAGTGGGCGAGCTTGCGTTTGTAGTACTACCTTTGACGATGCAACGATGAGACTGCGGGCACCGCATGTCGGGCCGCCGTATAGACGCCAAGTTGCTTTTTCGTCGTCGTTGCAGTAGTAGCAGCGTATACGAGTGCAACGATGACGGCCGCCACGGTGTCGACCTCCACAAGGGTTGATCTGGACCTGGGTTGGGTGCCGCCAAGTGGCGTGTTTTTATCCCATTGTTTGAAACAGCTTGTGTTTAAAACTTGCCAAAGTGCACTCTCAGCGTTCAAGCAGTGGCGTCACGACTGGCGCCATACCTGCAACACGCCATCGACTGGCCATCGGCGAGCCATCGACTAGCTACCGACTAGGTATCGACTAGGTATCGACTAGCTATCGACTACGCCATCGACTACGCCATCGCCTCCTCGACGCAGCTACTACCTCGTGGTTTGCTGCAGACCCTTTGCCACTTTGCCACACGAAGAATCAGACTGGAAAATGAAAAAGTAAGCTTTTGCATCAGGCAACGAGCAACTAGGACTCTCGCCTTCTTAAATGCGCGAGCCTTCCTAAATGCGCGAGACGTACGAGCTGGACTGCGTCACATAGCGCACCCAGCGCTTGTACTTGTAGTTGGGGTGGCGCGCGTGCTCGGGAATCCGGAGGTACCGGACTTGGAGCGTCGAGACGTTGTACATGGGAATCTCAAAGTTCATCGAGACCGGGCCAATCTCGCGGCGCACGTGCTGGCTCGGGCCACTCAGCGTGATCTTGGCGCGCAGCGTGAGCTCGGACGCGCCCGCGAAGCGCTTGATGGCCCAGCGCACTTGGTTTTCGTTTTCGCGGAATTCCGCGAGCTGCCCGGCCGTGTTTTTCCCAATGTCGCACGAGACGCTGACGGTGTTTTGAGGGACGGGGAAGCGGATGATGACGTTGGCGCCATAGTTGTTGTCGGGCATGTCGGCGCGCACCTTGAGGATCATTTCAATCTTGGTCGGCGACTGCTCTTCGACGAAGGGAAAGATGCGGAACGGCGCGCGAAAGTCGCCCGTGATGCGGTAGTTGATGACCTAGCCATGTCCATGAGCGACGACATGGATGGCGACGACGGACCGTGAACTCGCCGTCGGGCGGCGTGAAGACGAGGACGCGGTCGCGCTCAAACTCGTCGAGCTGGACGCACTCGTGAAAGTTGCAGTCGTCGAGCACAACTTGGCCGTACGACGACGACTTTTGCCCAATGACGAGGTCCTCGTTGAGCGCGAGCCGCAGCTCGGGGTTGCCGGCGAGGTACGACTTCATCTGGATGCGCCCTTCGACGCTCGCGTTGAGCATTTGCCCGCTCGGCGCAAAGACGACGTTGAGGCGCTCGAGGATGTCGCAAAAGAGCTCGTTCTCGTCCTTCTTGTTGGCCGATTGGCCCGTCGCCACGGGCTTGCGCACGGCATTGGCCGCCTTGATGTTGGACGGCCGTCCGAGGAGCGTGCTCGGCTTGGCCTTGGCCAGCGCCGCGTCGCCGACGAGGATCGCTTCGTTGTGCACGTGCACTTTAAGGCCCTCCGTGCTCGTGTCTTGCGCGTAGCCAAAGTCGAGCGTCTCGTCCAAAAGCTCGTAGCACAAGATGAAGTTCTTGCGCAGTGTCTCTTCCGAGAGCACGCCGCAGTAGTCCTTGAAGACGCGGCAGAGGCGCGTGAGGAGCTCGAGGATGTAGGCTGGCGACACGTTGAAGCGCGTCGTGGCCACAAAGTAGAGGCCATTCTTCTTGACGTACAGGTAGTTGACGCCGTCGACGTAGAAGGCCGGCGGCGCATCGCCCTTGTCCCAGAACTTGACCTTGCGGAAGAAGATCTCGGCGCTGTCGCTGGCCACGTCCCCGCGGAAGTCGTTGGCGAGCACCGTGTCCCCGCGGCTGCTCAAGATGTAGAACTGCGAGATGGACATGCTGCCGGCGCCGCAGGAATTGTTGCACACTGCGCAAAAACCTGCCGCTACGAATGCTTCGAGATATGGCATTAAAAGATAGAGGTTCTGCCACGTCATGGAGCGAGCCACGTATGCTTTGGAAGCGCCGCCATGGCCCCGCAGCAAGATGCAAGGACGCAGGTCGCATTGCTCGACAGTATACTATGTGCAAGCATCAAGACAGGCGAGCCAGGATGTATGTAGTACATCCACCGGAAGGGGAGCGGCGGCGGTGGGAGCTGCTCGAGTACTGTAGCATTCAGCGTCTTTGGGTGCTCCCGCCTAGCTCTCCCGCCTGTGGGCGATGGTAGCTGTCCGTGGGTGGCGACAGCGCCACGTATGTGGCCGCCAGTAGCTTGCTCTTGGACGCTCTTCGAGCGTCATCGCGGCCGCCATGTTGAACTTACGGCAACGATCCCACGCTGGGTACACCGTGACACCACGCGATCGCGACGCCAGGTAATGATTCTAAGCTGCCACTGTGGGTGGCGCCGACGACGATGACGACGAACCTCGTCCTCTAATGGCGTCCACGCACGAATGCAGGTACTGCCACGGCGCTTCGCGACAAAACAAAATAAATTAAAACCCGGGGGCACATTCACTGCTTGGACTCGGGCGATGGGACGCCGTGCCGCGAGATGCGGGACGCAAGCGAGGGCAGGCGCTGGGGCGGGAGGCGGTCGTCCTCGTAGACGCTGGTGGTATGCGCGCTGTACATGGGCGGCGGCGGAATCGCCGTCACCTCTTCCGAAATGATGTTGACGAGCTTCTGCAGCACGCGGGACCGGAACGCTTCTCGTGCTTCGCCCTTGAGGTACGACGGCGTGGGCACCGTGATCTGGTCGCCGACGTCTGGCATCGGCGCGTGGTGCAGGTGGCCGTACGCCGGGCGGCTCTCGTAGAAGCCATTGTACGCCGGCGGGTACATCATGGTCGGATACGCGGGGTATGGGCTTGGCATGGACGACGGCGGGTAGGGCAGCGGTTCGTCGTAGCCGTGGGCGCTCTGTGGCGACTCGTACGGCGAGTAGTGGCGCTTCTGGCGCATCTTGGAGTCCATTTTGCGCTGGTTTTGGTTTTGCTTGGCACGGTGTTCGTCGCAGAGGTTGTGCGCTTGGCCGTTCGTCTTGAGCGCGCGCTCGTTCTTGCACTTGCCGGTCTTGTAGAGGCAGTGGCCGCGAAAGCTCATGGCCGATTCGTCCTGGCGGCTGCTGCTCTCGAGCGTTGTCGGCGTCGGGGCGGCCATGAATGATGTGTAGCAAACGGCAAATTCGCAAGTGGCACCCAACGTGGCCGTCCCAAATCAGTGATAATTCCAAGATGGTGCCCGCCAGCTGGACCAGAATCAGTCTTGCCTCGTCTATGCAGGTGATGTGGGCCAGGCGCAGAAACAAAGCTTGTGCCGGATCAGGCCGTGCATGCGATCTATCCACGTCTTCCAGTAGATAATAGTCGTCGAGATGCTTGATCGACGTCACGCCAGGTGCACAGTGACGCGGCGCAGTCCTTGTCGTCGGTACTACGATGTAGTGCAAGAAGCCACCGATGGGTACCGGTAGCACACGTGGAGCTACACGTGGTGTATCCGCGTCTGATCCTGAGCCGGTGGACCGCACGCAACTTAGCTTGGTGCAAAATGGAGCAGGTCGCCGCGCTGCTTGACTGCGATGAACGCGGTGAACGCGTGGTGCTGCGTGGCGACGACGACGGCCGTGTCGCGACCGCCGCGTAACGCTGGCGAATGCGCGCATAGTGGGATGATTGGAAAAAGGCCCGACCTGCGTGCGAGGCCAACGCTTGCTGGACTACCGAGCCCCAGAACGATAACCACGAGACGTGGTGTGAACCAGACACAGGTTCCTGCGCCGAGACAGAAACGATCCCACGCCGGTTTGTCGGATTTGTTTGTGGGGTCGTCCCACGGCGCAGGCTTCGCCCTCGGCTTTCCCAGTGCGGATTCTTCCTGCTGCTACTCGCATCTCGAGCTCAACACGGCGGTGCGAAGTTTTCATGGCTCTAGTCGAGAAAGAGAGTCGTGTACATTGTTTCTCATGCTGCTTGGGTTGTAGCGACGACGTTCTCAGTACGTACGTGGCTAAACAAACACAACAAACACTCGTCCTGACGAGAGCACCTTGATCTTATTAGTTCAAGGAGATTTGCCACCACCCAAGACCTCCTCCATACGCTTGCTGTCGCCAGAAAAAAGGCCCATTGGCGCGTCGACGGACGATATCATGTCATGTAGTCTGTTGATGCGACGGCCTACGTGTACGTGTGCATGCCGCCGTGCCATCTCATCCGCCACCTTGAAACGCCACGCCACCCACAGAATTGCTTTGTGTAAAATCAGCAAGTATCACAACGTTGCACGAGGCCTTTTTCTGTGCCCACTTGTATGCAGGAAGCTACCGCTACTGACGAGAAGTTACATTTAAACATTCGTTGGCATGTATCCTGCGTGTGCTCGACACACGATACACAAAGTCAAATCTTTGCTCCACCTGCCAGAGTTTGCATAAAGCAGTGATTGTTTTCTGGCTGGAAATCGAGTCCATGTCCTGGCTCACACAGCGTACGAATCCATGCGCCCCCATCAAGCACGAACGAGGACGTGTGGATCTGAGACGGCACGAGCCGTGCAAACGGCATGTGCGAATGGATGGTTGGCGTCACGTTTGGAATCTGATAATGGTCATGCCGGCTCTTGCACCCAGCGCACATACGTCGGCGCGAAATCCTGATTGGATGCAGCACCTCACTCAACCCAACGTTGCGCCGCGCACTGCTTCTGAGTCGATCACGCACACATTGCATGGACATCGCCTTCTCAAACACGAAGGACCTGCGTTTACCAGACGTTTTAGGTGTCTTTAACGCGTTCACCCGCACGCTAAACCTGATCACCGGAAATAGTGTGGGCATGTACAGTGATTTGCCTCGATAGGAGCGTCCACAGTTACACGTTTTTTTTGCAGGAATTTATCCCCTCGATGATCCAATTTTTTGCCTCGTGACCTCGTACATTCGATTGAGGTACGTGATTTAGGTAAGCGGGGACAGACGCGCGATCCGGCTCAAGTGGCCTACGAGGGCACTTGAGCTGTATTATTTTACAAGCCGGAGACGCCGATGGAGATCGGGCTGCTCACGGTCGTCAACGAGACTGCAACGTGGTGCAAGTGCAATTGATCGACTCTTGACGCTCTGAGAGTCTATGGACTTGGCAGTAGTCGGCCAGAGCAGATGACGCGATCGTGGCGGACGGACCAAGCGTAAAGCCAGACGGACAATGTTTGTTTCAACGCTCGCCTCTGTCATGCTGTGGCCGATCTTACGCACCTATGTGCTCCAAGCCGTTTGGCTCGCCCGCAATGACAAGTCTTCCGTCCCGAAGGGCCCGTCGTGGTGTCCGAAGTGGCTTCCATTCGCGCCGCGTTCTTAACCAAGTTGTACCTTCAACGCTTGCTGCTGAATGCCCAAGCGACGTGCCTCTTCCACATCATGAACGCCGTGCGCCACGACGCCTGGCTCAGTGATCACTTCATTCCGGCCTGCGCCGTCCATACACCTCGTCTCCGCAACGGCTACGCCTCACCGCTGCCGTGAGTTGCAACATTCTTTTTTGAGTAAATTATATCTAAATAGACTTACTCTACAACGACGATTGCCTCTGTTCAGCCGACACGGGCGTGGAGCAAAGTTCAGTTGTACCAAGGCGAGTCTTGATGGATGTTGCAGGCCGTCGAGGCGTCGTAGCCCGAGAGCGTCATCGGCAAGGCCACGCCCAAGTCACAGTCGGCGAGGGAGTGGCTGAGGCAAAAGAGAAGTACTTGAACGGTCTCAGGGACACCATACAAACCTGCTAACGGTAGGAATAATACATTTCAACTTAATTGGCTTCGAAGAGAGAGAGCACGGATCAGAATTGATCAATGTCGGCCAAAATTTTGCGTGGATCACCAAGTTTTCCTGGGGTTTCTGGTATTTTAACGCCACTCAACAGCACGAGTCGACGGTGTGAATATGGAAAACGTAGTAAACTCAGACGCTAGATTCCCCAAAATCTCTCGCGGCAACCCACGCGTCCGTGATGTGCATCTTAGGCGACGGCTTGAGGCTCGGAGCTCGAGTAGACGAGCCTAGTTGTCACTTGCGGACTCGCGCCAAATCTTAGCATGAACCACCCGCTTCGCTCTCGTGCCTATAGTCAAAACGCTACCGGGTACAAGTGCTGGTCCTTCCTAGCGCAGCCGCAGCTAGCCAACAGTGTGTCTAGGTTGTTGTTGAAGTGAGCCAGCCTCTTTGAAAGGTTTGGTTTGGACTATCCAAGAACTATACTAATAAACTCGGATCTTGATAGCTCTTACAAAATAGCCCAAGTGATGCGCATGCCCCCAAGTCGGCTTACGTCGAGGGTTGGGAAGACTCGGCCACATGCGAGGTTGTCAGCGTACCTTCGGTGCGTTCACGCTGATGAATTCTCTGACGAAGCCGATAGTCGCCGAATTTATGGGCTTCACCTAATCTCAACCAGTGCTAGGCTCAGCTCCATGCAACGTTGAAGATTCCAATGCAAAATGAAAGATTAAAATTAAAAATACAGGTTGCTTCGGCTCTCATATTCCCTGGACAGTGTCGTGACATCCTCCCACGACCGCGCGGGGTACTGGTGCGGGGTGTGATACACGTGGTGTGGTGGCGCGACCACCGGCATCGCGTACTGTGGCTGGATAAAGTCCGAGGCCAGGACCTCTTCTGACACTAACCGCACGAGTTGTTGGATGACTTGGGCTCGGTACGTTGCGCGGGAGGTCGGGTCGCGGGCACTTGGGGGCAGCCACGCTGGTGGCGACTCGGGGGCCGGCTGCACGCGCACCCCTGAACTTGTCGTGATGGCTTCGTGGCGCGCCGCTTGCTTTGCTCGCACCTTCCAGTCGAGCCGGCGTTGGTTTTGGTTTTGCTTCAAGCGGTGGAAGTCGCAGAGGTTGTGCGGCTGGCCGTTTGTCTTGAGCGCGCGCTCGAGGAAGCACTTGCCCGTCTTGTAGAGGCAGTGACCACGAAAGTGCGCAGGCGGCGGCGCGTGGGACGATCGAGCCCGTGATGCAGTCGTGCGGGCCATGACAGAATTTGTAAAGTGAGGTGAACGCAACTGAGAATGATAAGTGTTATTGGATGCGACGTTTGAATGATAAAACGTACAGATGGGCATCGCCTTTCTGAGTCGGCGCCTGAGTTTGCCGACGCAGGACGTTCGCGACATGTGTGAGCCAGGCTGCTCGCGGCCACACATCACCAACGACGATCGCCTTCCAGCGGCGATTGGTCGAATCTGATACCATACTTCTACCGCATCGATTGATGTACTATAATCAAAATGCATTGCAAAGTGACGCCAAATAGGTACCGGACGCCACAGGTGAGCAAAACGGCTTCAACCATGTATCTTGCTTGATGTACGATCGAGTTATATACCCTTGGCTCCAGCATGGGAGCGTCGACACCAAAACACCCACCCACGACGAAGACGTCCAGCGCAATCACATCGACTTGGATCCTGGGTGCGCAATGTTGAACGCTGGTTTTAGAGCGTCTGTCTGAGTTGAGTTGCGCGCATGCATTTGGTGATCAGTCCCACGGTATATACGATGTAAAATCATGTAAAATCATGTAAAATAAACCCAAGCGCTTTTGGTTTTGCGTCCCATTGTTTGTTCTGCACACCACGAGCACATTCCTTTCCGGTCTCTTGGTCTCTCGCGCGACAACCACCTATACGAGAAGGATTCGAGCAAATGTGCTTCGTCGTTGTCGAGAAAGGACTCGGGTACCGGTACGTGAATCCATGTCGTGAGAAGCCTGACACACCAGGTGTACTCCATGGGTGTACTTACACTTGTCGGGGTGGAGATGTAGTACACACCACCCACGTTGATTGTCGTTAACATTCGAGCCCAGAAGCCGATGTACCTAATAGCTATTCGGACCCCATAGACTCACTGCCTGTATTGAGTACGAAAAGCCCAGGCGCCTTGAACCACGAGGTATACGTGTGTTGGAACCCGAGTGCCTGCATTATTGCACCACAAGGAGACGTTGTGCGGCAGCGATATGCGTCCATCGACCTCGGACACGCAGTCTCTTGGATGGAACAATGCTATGCCGGTGGCTCACTCTAGGAGTCAAGATCGTCGTTGCTGTTGCGGGACGATTTTGCAGCGCCTTCTGGCCAACGTCGAGGCGTCCAGCGACCACCGCAGTGTGGTTGCCGTTGATACGTGGGGACTCACATACACTTCAACTGGACCGCGCGATTGATCTTTGTTGCAATCAGAGCTCACCGAAAATCGACGCCGATGACAAATGGTGATGGTGATGATTCCGTCGGACGTCTCACTCGGAAACAATTCTCGGGCCCCCGGATGCGCACCAGTTGAAGTCCACCACTTCGTCAGACGCGAGGCGCGCAACCCGTTGGAAACCTATGACACGGTACGCTGTGTGGGAAAAGGCGCTGCGGGGGCGTGACTACCTCTTGTTGGATCGTGGGCACCACCAGGTTTCTGCGCGCTATATAGTCGAGCCGGCGCTGGTTTTGGTTTTACTTTTAGCGGTTGATGCAACCGCTAAAACTCCAATCGCGACTTCGACCGGGTTGAAGTCGCAGAGGTTGTGCGACAAGCCGTTCTTCGTGAGCGCGCGCTCGAGGAAGCACTTGCCCGTCTCGTCGTAGCAGCCGTTGCGGAACAGAGATGCTTCGTTGTCCGCGCCATCACGTCCCAGCGTAATAGTGATTTGCGCACCAAGATCGGTTTTGGATTTGCCATATTTCTGCTGTAGCGTCTGAACAGGGCCACCCCTACGCGCGCTCGATAGTCTTGCGGCAGCATGCATTTCGATGCTCGGGAAGAACTGCATTAGTCATGGCTGTCCTACTGTACCCCTCGTCACACATCTGAGAACGCATCCAAGACCAACTCTGCCTCTGCTTGGGCGTTGACTCCCGTATATAGAGCAGAGCCGCAGCGCAATGCAAACGTGCCAACATGCAGACTCTTGGCCGTGCACGATAATGGCTCCTTCACTATTAACCCTCGACTCGCACGGTAGAATAGACACTCAACGGTGGGATTATAGCACTCGAATTGTTCTGGTTGACTTTGTAAAGCTCGACTGGGTACTAGTATTAATACTGTGTTTCCTCATTGAGACAGAGTTTGCACGGGTGTTTCCTTTTCTCCTCGCGGCCAAAACGTCAAGTGCCCGGCTCGCCCGGGCGCTGCGGATAACAGCTCAAAAGGAAGGGCACCACCGGGACTCGAACTGGGTTCGAGGCTCCACCGCTAGAACCACATGTTTTAGCTACATGCACAACCACGAAGAACCGTCCTCGTATCGGTTTCAAAAGCTGTTGGTTTTTGCCCGCGCCCGCCTCGCTCTCCAAGTCGATCCGCATGGACGACAACGGGCGGATGCTCGTCGCAGTGCGCTTGCGGCCCAAGCTAGCGACCGAAAGTCACGAGTTAGATGCGGTGACTGTGCTCGGCGAGAAGCTGCAGCTGCTGCACGCGCCGTGGACGCGTCTGCACACGTCGTACCAATTCGACCACGTCTTTCAAGCGTCGGCTTCCAACGCTGACATTTACGCTCGCTTTTTAGCCCCCGTGGTCGCGTCGGTCGTTCGCGGCAACCACGCGACGATCCTGGCGTATGGACAGACGGGCACGGGCAAGACACACACGATGCTCGGCCGCGACCTCTGGGGGCTCTGCGCGTCGCCCGAGCACCCGCCCGCCGACCTCTCGCCGGATGCGTATGCACTCCTTTCTTATAGAATTATTTTGGACAACCAACCTAACGGTCATGCTGCACGGAATGTAGGGGGCTCATGGGACTCGTGGCCGCCGCGCTCCTTCAGCACGAAGCGTCGTTGCAGTGCACGTACCTCGAGCTCTACAACGACAAGGTGTACGACTTGCTTGCCGACGGCAGCGTGAGCCTCGAGCTACGCGAAGATGCGTCGGTCGGTGTCTATGCGCCAGACGCCCGAACGGTCTCTGTCGCAAGCGTCGATGCCCTCGTTGATATTCTATGGTGCGGCGCCGAGACGCGGGCCCACTGCGCCACCAATATGAACGAACGCTCGAGCCGCAGCCATACGCTGCTGCAGCTCACTCTGCCGACCACCGGCCAGCGCGTCAACCTCGTGGATTTAGCCGGCTCGGAAAAATGCAAGTACATGGCCGGAGACGGCCAGCACGTCAAGGTGCGATCCGTTGTCGCGTTGTGATATGGTTGGTATCAACGTACGTACTCTCCATATAGGAACTCAAGTTTATCAACCAGAGCTTGTCGAATTTGGGACAGTGCATCACGGCGCTGCTCAAGCGCGGCAAGAAGCACGTCCCGTACCGCAACTGCAAGCTCACGCGGCTGCTTCAGCACTCGTTGGGTAAGTGTTCTCACAAAACTGTATGGCTTGCGCAACACTCATTCAACACCAGAGGGCAGGGCGCTCTGTGCGTTCATTGTAACGCTGAATCCATGCGCGAGCAACACGATGGAGACGCTCTCAACGCTGCAGTTTGCAGCGCGGGCGATGAAAGTCAAGGTCGTGAGCCGCGACATCCGGCTCACCAGTGGTACATCGAGTCCCTTTTGCACCAAGTGACCCAACGTGTCTAGTCGAGGCCAAGGAAATATCGTCGACGGCGTCGTCTGCGGTGCGTGTGCCCAGGAACATGGGACGACGATATCCATATCCAACTATAGTTGCTAGCACAAGTGCAAGCGCTGCAGATGGAGAATCAACAACTGCGGGCGGCGCTCATTCACGTACTACAATGACCGCGTTCGCTCTATCGCTCATCGTGTGCTATAAAGGAGCGGTCCCAAAAGAGCAAGCTCCTCGCGGGGTTTACGTCGCTCTTGCAAGACACGGCGTCGGTCGAGCGCGTCGACTCGAGCACGCAGGTAGCCGTCCGCAACATGTCAGGGTCGTCACGCATGTACTTGTTGCCTCGGTAGATCCGCCGCGAGTCCTTCTGTGCTGGTGACGGAGGTAGCGACAACAACAACAGCAACCTGTCGGACGACGCAGCAACCATTGTCGCCCAAACACGTACTACACCGGTTTCACAGGAGTGACAACTTGTCTGATGTGGCGTAGACGCTTCCGACGCGTTTATTCTGGACAAGTTGTCGTTGCTCGAGCAGACCGTGCAGCGCCAGCTACAGGACATTCGGCAGACCAAGGAGCGCCTCGTCCCACGCACGGCCACAGTACGTGCTTGCGATTGTAGCATTGGATTATCCAAAGACATGCACCAGACCCAGACACCCGACAACAACCACAAAACGGACGGAACGAATCAGTGGGAAGAATACGTTGACGCACGCACGGGTTTCAAGTACTTTCACAATCCCTCGACGGGCGAGACGCAGTGGAAGAAGCCACCGGCAGCCGGCGACGGTAGAAGAGCAGATATCTAATCCAATACCACGCTTCAAATCCTGCAAGTACGGTTCCATCGGTACGCTTGGCTCGCAAGCACGTCGGTCTCGGTCGCGGCGGTGACGTTCGCGTCGTCACAGGCATACCACGATCTCGAGCAGACAAAACTGCTATAGTGGCCGCCGTGGACAGAGCTTCCGTGGTGGTTGACGACCGCCAAGAGATCGTATAATACCGGCCTACACGACATCAACAACTATCCAGCGAGCAAGGACGTAGTGTACGAGGACGAGGACGCGGCGAGAAATGGGCCCATGTCCAAACCACCGAGTGGAAATGTCACTGGCGTCGTCACCTTGCGCTGGGCGGCAAAGCGCTACGGGAAATGAGGATGGGTTATATGCATCAACGACCTTGAAGTGTACGACAAGCACCAAGGGCAGCGTCTGGAACGATAGGGTTTTTGTACAGTGGCGCCGCATACCGCAGACGCTGCAGTCGATGACAACGGGCTCTGGCTGCGTATACCTCGCAAACAAAGCTTCAAGCGAGGACAAGCCAAGTGCGATCGACACGTCCATCATGCGCTCGACTGCGGTCGATCGGCAAGCGCAAGTGGCGCAGACTACGTCCGAGCGCAGGACACCATCAAAGGCAGCATGTACCGTCGACGAGCAGGATAGAATCCAACGTCGACTTGGATCTACGCATTGCACTCGACCTCTGTAGTACGGTACAGAATGGACTGTGCATACCAGACGTAGTGCTATGCAATCCATCGAGAAGGCCGAGGAGGAATTCGTGCGCGTCCTGCTGTTGGCAGCCCGCCAAGTGCGGCGCATGCTGCCACATGGCGTACAAAAGGGTGGACGGCGCCAGCGGGCTGGCCTCCGGCGCACGCATCTGGATGAGCGGCTCGTTAGAACCACATTCCTGCAAGGCATGTCGACCGACCTCGACCGCGAGGTCGTGGAAGCGACAAGGCAGGCACAGGTGGTCGCGGCAACGGCCAGCGGGCTCCAGCGCGGTGGGCGGTAGAAGTGCAAGATGGCACATCGCTTGGAGAATGGCGTTCATGTAGCATGTGTGGCCCATATTGAGCAGACCCCGCGCTACAAAGCGAGCATCAATGCGTCGGTGTCCATCGAAATGCATGCATGGATCGTACGACAGCGGTCCCTGGCAAGATCGCGCTCTCACCACGCAATGAGGGTCGGTGCTTTTCGTATAGGCGCCTACCTCGGCGTCGCGCGTGCTTCTGTCGCACTGCCACTACACACACTATTCACGAAGGCTGCAACGAAGCGCGGCTGCGTACGCGTTGGTTGGTCGTATACGACATCGACGCATTCGATGCAGAAGAGCACTTGAGAAAGGACGAGCCAGCCTGCTTGATGGCGTGGATATGGCGCAATGAGCAGCTCGCAGTGTCAACGCACCAATGGGGTGCTGGTGCAGGAACGCGTGCTGGCTAAACGACGCGGTGTGCATCGCGCCGAGTGGCCCGACAAAGTCGCAGCCGTCGGCGAGGCAGACGCTGATTTCGTCGGTGAGGCGCCACGTGGCGCTGGGCGACGCCTACCATGGCTTCAGACCGAGCTTGTGCAGAGGCCATGACGCACGGTGTAGAGGTCCAAGCGCTCGGTGCCACGGACGACGCAGCGGCGAGAGCTGGCCTCGCCCGCCCACCGCGCGACGTGCTTGCACATTCCGGATAGCCGTGCACGCCGTTTCAAATCCGGATACGGCACCCTTTCAGGACGACGTCACTTGCACCGCCACAGCAGGGCGACGACGACCAGGCCAAGTGCACAGTCCCGCAGAGAGTTTCACTAGATGTCGACGAGTCCAACTTGTGCGAAGGGATGTCATCGCTTCCTTCCGATCCCGTTGAGAATATCTTTTGATCCGGATTGGGTCGTGGGTGGGTGCCATTTTAAAACGTACGTGGGGAACACAACATGGATTGTCTGTTTTTGAAACGCAGCAATGGTTGACGAAGCTCAGGTGAGGAAGTAGGTGTGGGAAAATTCTTCCAAAAGAAGTTCTTTCCCAAATGATGACATTTTCAACAGCTGTTGCTGAGACGGTGGGATATCTACCTTGTTACAACACCTGACCGAAAACGAACTGATCCACACCTCCTTCATATCCCTTTTTATCTCTGCCTCTATTGAGCGGTATACAATGATACACTTTCTGTACGCCGTCTTTCTACTTATCGCTGCAGTTTTGGAACACCCGACGACATGCCTCGCATCACAGCATGTTGCTACGTACTGCCACTGGTCTGGCAGCTTCGCGTCTGACCAATGGATTGTCCACTCGCGGCGTGTGCTGAGCTTGAGCATCATTAACATGAACCGGGCGACGCGGCCGTTCTCCAAGGTGCTAGCCACAGTTCGTCAAAGGAAGCGATTCAAACGACACCCCTTGTCGCCAAGTCCTTTCATAGTATGTACAGCTAACCTCCTGCAATATTGCACCCGGTATCGATATAAAATGGCGATAGATGGCTCAGCGGCGCATCGTCAGTTGTGGAGGTGCGTGCGTGCATGATCCAGTCGGTACAGTGAATCTCTGGTTTCCTGATACAGTTGGTGGACACGATGATGTTGACCATCTTGGCTGGTCGTGCGTCATTGAGGGCATGGTGCGAGGCGACGTGTGCAACTGCCCGCGCGTAGCCCTCCAAGGTCCCTCGTGGGTGGCATCTCGGATTCAAACGGCACGGGTGGCCAAGAGCCATGGTAGCCTCCTTGCATTTCGCCCATCAAGCGTGCACGGTCGCATCGCTTGCGCGTGACAATATGAAGCTGGTAGATAACCGCTGCACTCATGCGACATTCTATTTGCATTTGCGAAACCAACCAGTCGGCATGGCCGAGGCGGATCCGATGGGCTACGTCGTGACGACGGTCATGAGCGAGTCGATCACATACCTCTTCGCGCACACGGACCTCCTCGAAGAGTTTCGGATGGCGCTTGTGCCCGGCGCGCTCTCCGACACCTCGGCGGCGACGCTGCGATCCTTCTTTGCGCGCGACGCATCAGGTACATTGCTCTCCACGTCGTCACCGCCTTATAGCATGCTCTGAATGTGGCTGTAGTCGCGGAGCTCTTCTCGCTGCTCTTTCAGGAGCCGCCGCTCCCGTCGCATCGCAGTGGCACGCCAAACTACGTCGAGTGCGCGAATTTGTACTACGTCCAGTACCTCATGACGACGCCGCCGTTCGCGCCGGGCATCCTCGCGAGCTTCTTGGCGCCCGACGAGAACTGCCTTGCACGCGCAGCTCTGCTGCGTCACCTTGTAGCGTACAAGCCATTGAGTGCGATGAACGCCGAGGCTCTGAGCCGCGTCCTCACAGCGCTTTTTACAAAAGCCACGATCCCGACCTTTTTCGCACTCTATGGCATCGACGCGCCAGCTGTCTTTGAAGGTATTACACTCCATCGCGTGGTTGAGGTGCGTATAAGGAGCGTGCTAGGGCTGCTCTTCCAGGCCGGGCGCGAGTGCATCAAGGAGCTCGTGCTCCGGATCTGCGACGAGCTGCAGCCGACACCGCTGAGCGCGTGGGCGTCGGTACCATACCGGCTATTGCACCAGATCTTTCCCTTCTCGACGACGCTGCCGACACGTGGGCAGCTCCCGAAGCACGTCAGCACCGACGCCGACTACCGGTTTCCGCTCATGATCTACACGTGTGATTTCATCACCGACCTCATTCAGGAGCAACGACCGCACTCGGTCGGGCTCCTCCTCATCGAAACGCTTATGACCGAGAGCGACTGCGCGATCGCGCTCGTCGACGGCGTCCTCAACGACCTACGCACGCTTCCAACGCGCATTGCGTGCGAGTCGTACGGCATGAAGATTCTCAACTCGCTGCTGCAGGCGCACCACTGCGGCTGCGTGGCGCAGCACCAGAACCTGGACGGCGAGCGCTACGAGACGTGCCAAGGCTCGTTGAACGCGATCTGGGACGTGGTCGCGGCGCGCCTCCCCGAGATTCTAGCGTACCTGCGCTTGCCGGTGCCGCGCACGTTTACGCTCAAGCACGTGCAGGTTGGAATATGACGTGGCAGCACGAGAGGCGAGATGACGTCATCATTATGTAGATTTTGTATTTGCTGTACCCGATCATTCGCGTCGGGTGCATCCAGCTCGACGTGGCCCTCATGGCGTTTGACATGGTCAACGTGCTTTTGGATTTGATCGCGCGCTTTCCACGGGCCAACATTTTACACAGCGCGATCTGCCGCCTCTTCATCACGTGCCTCGAAGACGCGCCGACCCTCTTTGGCGAGGAGCTCCAGTCGCCGCGGACTGCGTCGGACCCGCTGCGGCTCTCGGCGCTGCTCGCGACCGACCGCGTCATTGATGGCTGCGACAACCGAAACGTGGCGTGCTACAAGGACATTGCCATGTCCTACGATGAATTTTTCGCGCAGAAACCCGTCGCTCCCGACGAAATTGCGGGAAAATGGACGGCCTTTGCCAGTACGCAGCTCGAGGCCATTCGCCAGCGCTGGTCCAACGCGCCACTCGAAGTGTCGGCTGTCCGAAAGCGTACATCTTTCTTGGCGTTTCCAGTATGTAGCATGCATTTGACGCATCTCCTGTAGACAAGGCGAGTGCATTCGTCGAGCACGGCGACGTCGACGCGCTCTTGGCACTGACGCAGAAGGCCCCGACGTTCGCCGACATTGACGCGCCGGTGCGCGCAGCCGCCGAGCCCCCGAGTACGAGTACGGCACCGTCGTTTTCGCCCCTCAACACGGAGGCGGTGATGCGCCACGCGCTGGCAGGGGCCACCGAGAAAGGCAGTCCGCGCGTGGCACCACTGCCGTCCTTGCACCTCTCACTCTCGGAGCTGCACGGAAGCGACCATGGTCGGCACCGCGACGTCGACCACGAGAGTCCAGCGTGCAAGCACCACAGCAGCCTCTCGGAGCCGTCGTCCCCTAGTAAAGACACGCCGCTGCATGCGCTCTACAACCACGAAGAACACGCGATCATCCAAGGGTTAGGGTAATCGGTGGATGTGGATTCCTAAGTTAGGCACTGGTCTTGGTCTCTTCTTCGTCGTCGTTGTCGTCGGCGGGCGGGGCGTCCTGCTCGAGCACTTGGATCAAAAATTGAACGAGCGCGTTGAGGCGATCTTTCTGCACGGCATGGTGGGCCTCATCAATCATTTCGGCGTGGGCCGCCAGCACCTTGGCGATCGTCGCCAGCGAGAGGCCATGGACATGGAGCTTTTGCTTGACGTACGGAAGGAGGGACTTGGCAAAGACTTGGCAGAGGTGGCCTGTCACAAAGCACGCTTGCTGGAGCGTGAAGAGTCCATTGTCGAGCTGGTGGAGGCGGTACGCTTCCAAGATCGACTCGTACGCCTCGTCGTCCATGTCGTCTCGCCGGATGGGCTCTTCAAACTGGCGGTGCATCGCGCTATGGTACTGCAAGACGAACTCGACGAGCCGGTCGGTTTTCTCAAAGTTGTTTTCGAGAAACTTGGCCTGGAACCGGTCGCGGACGTCGTACTTGGAGTCAATGGGCAGCCATAGACTGAGCGACGCCAAGAGCGAGAGCACGTGCTCGTCGTTGGCCGCACTTGCGCCTTTTTACGACGCAACTTGCCCATAAAGAGCGGGCACAGCTGCTTGAGCCCGCCGAGTTCGACGAGCCGCTCGCAGTTGCGCGCGTGGGTCATCGTGGCGTGGTCCAAGATGCGCAGCGCCGGGCCCTTGCAAAAGAGATTGGCTTTCACAAAACGCAGCATGAGCTCAAAGCCCTGGAGAGATCGGAACCGGTCCTGCACCGAGGGCAGGCGCAGCGCACTGCAGAGCACGTTGAAGAGGTTGTGCACCAGCTCTTCCTCTTCGTCCGAGCTCGGGTCAGCCTTGCGGTACGACGCGAGGCATTGAAGCAGTTGGTCGAGGCGGTCCTCGTCGAGCGCGCGGCGTCCGAGGACGTCGGCCGCGTCGTCCGACGCCTGCACAAGAATCGAGAGGATCTCGGAGCAGTACAGTCGGTTCTCCGTCATCTCCGGCGACGCGCACGTCCGCAAGAGCACGTCGAGGACGTTCGTCGACGTACTCAAGATGCCACAGCTTTCCGGCACAAGCTCGGACAAGTTTTCAATAATCTGCAGAATGTTGTAGATGGCCGCGCGCTTCTCGTCGTCGCTGTTGGCATGTGCGTCCTGAAGCAGCTCGTCGAGGTTGTGGCAGAGCAGCTCGAGGCCCTTGTGGCCCATGATGGCTTCGATGAGCGACTCGACCTCGCCGACGCGGTCGACGTCCGTGATGTCGGACAGGACGGCCACCACGTCCATGCGGATGTCCATGTTGGCATGCGACAGCAGTTGCACAAACATAGGCACCGCGTTGTGCTCGATGAGCACAGCAAAGAGCTCGGGATCGGTCGCCACGTTCTTGAGGCGGCCAATGTCTTCGTGCAGCGCGAGCTCCGAGTCCTAGAAGGAAGAAGGACGCTGCTGCAGGAGCGGAAGGACAATGGAGAGCGTACCATGAACTTGGTCGGGTCGTCTGGGTGCTTGGCGCGCATGAGCTCGTTCTTCTGCAGCTTCTTCTCGAGCGACTGCACCATTTGCTTGACTGTGCGCGCGTTGAGGACAAACTCGGCGCTGTCGGGCGCGTCGACGTCGGGCAGCGCCGCCGTCGCTGGCGCGCGCGCCTGCTTCTTGGCCGGGCGCTCGTCGGCTGCTGGCCGGGCGTGGCGTGGCTTGGCGTCGTCTACGTGGCCGAAGACCTTGTCAAAGTGGGCTTCCATGGCGGCTGGGCGTCGGGATGAGTGTGTCGAGCGTGTGGTGAAATACACTATTTACACCACCTTGAAATCGTGTGCAGAAACGTCTTCCATATAGTGTACTATGACACTAGCTACGTTTTTGTTGGTGATGCACGATAAATGGTGTGGATGTAATACATATTGAGACAAGCACGATCCAGCGCGCTGTCGCGGCAATAGACAATATTGAATGGCGACACGCGGTGTTGCCTTCTGCCGCCAATATGAAGATACTGCAGTGAATGATGGATGCGGGTCCAGCAAGAGGAGAAGGCAGCGTCCGTATTCAATATATGATCGCAATGGTTCGATGGATCTCCGCCGGCACCGCGCCTTGTCGTGACGCGCTGTGGCGCGAATATATATCGGCGATGACGCTCCGACGTACACGACAATGGGGCGAGTGCGCGCTGGCACCTCGAGGAGGTGTATGCACATCTATTGGGTATCAGTATCATGTCAGTGGTGCGAGGTCGCTGGCGCGGAGGTATGTAGCGTTGGTGCGCTTGTTTTGGCCCACAGATTACTCGAGATCCCAGCCATCGCAGGTCGCCCTGCCGCAACTAAAAATATATTGAGCGTTACCAGCTGGCGATAGCGCGCTGTGTTTCAAGTCCACAATATATTACAGCGAATATTTGGTTGCTCTGGCTCTCCCATCGTATCTGATTGGCCAACTTGGGGCGGGAGCGTCAATACGACCAATCAGCGGTACGAAATGGATTGGAATTTGGCCAATCGTATGAAGCAGCTTGGCTTCAAGCTTTCGCAGCAGGTCCAGCTGGCGAAGCAGCGCAGAATAAGAACGCGCTTGTCGGCCCGTCGACAAGCAAAGGGCCTTGGACGCAGACGACAAGGATGGGCTGCTGGCTGTCGCGGTGCTTGCCGGACGGAACCATGACGGCGAACCTCGAGGAAGAGCTCTACGAAGACGTCGGCGTCCGTGCGACGCAAGCGCCAGCCGTCGTCTTTGGCCATGCATCGCTCCTCACGGTGCACCGCCGATGATCCAAGCCAGCCGCGCTCACCTTGCACGTAGGCGGACGAAGTGAGCTGCGGGCCGGCCATCGGCAAGGGCGAGTCGGGCGTCGTGTACAAGGCCTCGTACCGCGGCAGCACGGTCGTCGTCAAGCGGCTCGCCATACCACCGCCCAACGGAGGCAAACCATCCAACCGCGAGACCATTTCGGCTGCGCTCGAGATGGAAGCGTCGCGCATGAGCAGCTTGCGCCACCCGAATACCGTCCTCTTCATGGGCGCGTACCTCAACGAGAACCAGTTTTGCATCGTGAGGTAGATGACCTTCTCAGAATGAGGGCAGCAGCATCATAATTGATGCGATCGCGTGTGTAGCGAGTACTGTACGCGGGGGTCGCTCTTCGACGTGCTGCATGAGAAGCGCAACTCGCACGGCAGCGGTCGGAACGGCTCGGACCCGCTGCACGTCGCCGCCTTGCCGTGGAGCTTGCGCTGTCGCCTCGCGCTGGGCGCTGCCCGTGGCCTACTGTACCTCCATTCGGCCGACCCGCCGCTTGTCCATGGGCAGCTCAAGAGCTCCAACATCCTCATTGACGACTCGTGGAACGCCAAGCTCGCGGTACGCTCTCGTCTTGTCGCCCATCCACATCTCAATCGGAGGGCTAGGACTTCGGCACGCGGCGCGTCGCCCAAGCTGTCTCGGCGCATCCCAAGCACGGAAATCGGTCGATCATGCCCCGCTGGACAGCACCGGAACTGCTCAAGCACGGCGAAGACTACGTGTGGCACGGCCCCAAGCCACAGGCTGTCGACATTTACTCGTTTGGGTACACTCTCGATAGGCTCCACGTTGCTGAACCTTATTGTATTAGCATCATCATGTGGGAGCTCGCCATGTTCGAGCTGCCGTTCGACGACTGCACCAATTTCCGCGACGTGCGCAGCAACGTGCTGTCGGGGCAGCGCCCGAGCGTCAAGCCCGGCGCGTGCCCGATGAAGTGGGCCGAACTTATGACGAAATGCTGGACGCACAACGCGTCGCGGCGACCGTCGGCGGCCGAGATCGTCTCGGTCCTCGAAGACCTCTCGCGCTCCGAGCTTGTCGAGAAGAAGCAGTCGTCGCAGAGCAAGGCCAACAGTAGACGAGCTAGAAATGTATGATCATTTATTACCATTAGAACGAACGCATCCTGAATTCGTCCAAGAAGCGCAGAGTCCGCTTCCATCCGTGCTTCCATTCACGCAGGGAATGCATGTCTTGGATACATGTAAAGATAGCTAGATCTTTGATGTGCTTCCATTCACGCAGGGGATGCACGTCTTGGATACATGTACAAGATTTAGCTAGATCTTATCTATCGCTACCATCTATCTATCTATCTATCTATCTATCTATCTATCTATCTATCTATCTATCTATCTATCTATCTATCTATCTATCTATCTATCTATCTATCTATCTATCTATCTATCTATCTATCTATCTATCTATCTATCTATCTATGGATCGGCACAGTTCCTTTTTCGTGCCTCCCCAAACAAACTGCAACTATCCCACACCGATCCGCCACCAAGATACCATCCGGTAGCTCAGGAAAGAGGCTGGAAAGGTCAAGGATTATTTCACCTCGACACAAGGATTCGTGTCGATCCAAGGTATCCATCACCAAGACTCGAATATCCACTCAGCCACCCACCACCACGACAACTGCAAGAAGCATTCAAATCGCAAGAGACAATATTGTGCCTCGCCACTCATTGCTTGACGCGCTTGGCTTTGGGCGGCGCCGTCGCGTCTTGGTGGCGCTTGAGCGCTGTCTTGGAGCGTAGAAACACAAGACTGGACGCGGTCGACTCGGCGGCGCTGTAGGCGTAGCCTTCGAGGTTGAACGCCTGCAGCGCGTCAATCGAGGTCACGCGATGCGTCGCGACGTAGTGCACCATGAGGCCCCGCGCCCGCTTGGCAAATGCCGACTTGATTTTGCCGTCGTCCTTGAAGACAACGTCAACGATTTCAATCGACGGGTCCAGCGCCGTCGTGTCGACGCTTTTAAAGTACTCTTGCGACGCGACGTTGAGGAGGATCTTGGTGTCCGCTGCTGCGAAGAGGTCGTTGAGCTCGCTCGCGATCGTGGTGCCCCAAAACGTGTACAAGTCTTTCCCACGCGCGTTGGCAAATTTCTGGCCCATCTCGAGCCGGTACGGCTGGATGAGGTCGAGCGGCCGCAGAATGCCTAAGATGGCGAAGCTGAGCCGAGTACGTGGTCGGCGCCGCACCGTAGAGCCCGCAGAGAATGCGCAAGTGGTCTTGGACGTACGCTATGTCGTCGTCGGAAAACGAGTCGGCTTGGATACCCTTATACGCAGGGCCATCGAAGGCGAAGAGCGCCTACGCGGTGCTAATGCTGTCATGCTAGTAGTACGCCCAACCTGCTTGAAGGTGTCGGCGGGCGATGTGACGTCGGCGTGATCGACAAAGTGCTTGTATCGGTCATGATTGAGCTTGGCGAGCGCGTCACTGACGCCCAGCAAACCCTTGAGCTTGGCCGGCGTGAGCTTGCGCAGGTCCTGGACCTATGTCGTACGGGTCATGAGCCGTTAGCCGCGTCGGCGCGTACCAGGATGGAGGCCTCCTCGAGGAACTTGGGCTGCGTACACGTCCTGAGCTTGGGCAGGGCCAAGTCCAGCGTCTTGGCCGGCGAGAGCACCATCACGAGCATCGTGGTCGAACCCGTTGGCTCGTTGGCGCTCGATTTCCGGATAGTGCGAAACTCCGGATACCGATGTTATCCGGAAGATCACCACCGACGCTTGCAGTCAGCAAACAAGCAAGGTGTTCGCAGCATGTCGCGCCAGACACGTTTGGCGAGCAACCCAAGGCTTCGCTGACAGATGCGGTGGCGCGTCCATGGATTAGTTATCAGCTCTGTAGAAAGGACTGTCGGTTTTACGCCACGAGATTGTATTGCGCTGTCGGGCTGCCACGTATGCGATGATGCGATCTTGACGTTGACGTTGTCCGAAATGGTAACAGTGCACACGATGGGCGGCAAGCTAGGCGGCGACTCGTTTTTCTTCCTATTACGCACGGCGAGGCATCCATGCAGGCGCGTGGCAGAGAAGAGACCACCTCCCCCGCCAGACGCCGCCGCCAGAGCTCTCGCAGCCCCAAGGATGTAGTAGCTCTAGGACGCCGTAGCCACTGCGCATGTGCCCAAGGTGCCGTAGCCGCTAAAGCATAAAGCATAAAACTAGTGGGTCATGGTGGTGGCGGCGGTACTAGCGGTGGTGGTGCGATCAGCAGTTGAAGAAGACGCCGATTGTAGACGTAGACGATGAACGATGGCGTCGTTTTTTGGGTTCCAACCTCAACGAGCGCATTCTGCGATGGCAAAAGAAACGCAGCACCACCCGAGACACGGCAACGATCCACGGAATCTCTCCCGTTCGGCGGGGTACGCTCGGTGTGTTGGAACAAGGACGAACATTTTGCGTGCATATAGATGGCATGGTCTGCGATCGCGACACCGGTGCACGTGCCCCGGGGCCGATTGCGAGGCGGGCCAATCGCACGCAACTTTGTGGCCCGTGTCACAGCTAATAAGACCGGTGCGCCAAGTGCCCTCGTCGCGTCTGCAGACGACGACGAGTGGTGGACAACCTCGTGGTCGACGACGGGCGTGGCGGCTAATCGAGCCGATTACTGTGGCGCTTGCAATAATCGCTGCGTTTACGAGCGTGACGCGCCCGCCCAATGAAAAGCCGCGTGTCGCATAGATCGGACCCATGGCCACATCGCCAGGTGACTTGAAGTTTGTATGGTGTCTGTCGCACTGCTCCCGGCGCTTCACCGGCGACGTCGTTAGCACAAAGACTCGGAGCTCACTTTCCAACTTGCCTTTTCCACCATGGACGCCACCCAGAAGCGCGATATTATCATCAACAACTCGACCACGTCGGGCCTCAAGGCCTCGGCGATCGCCGGCGTCACCGCGGGCTCGCTCGTCGCCCTTGCCAACCACCAGTCGCCGTGGTTCCGCAACCGCCTCGGCGTGAGTGGCAAGGTCGGCCTCGCGGTCATGGCCTCGCTTGCGACGTTCGCGATCGTCGCCGAGCAGGACCTCCTTAAGGGCAGCCGCAACCCGGATGCGTACATCGCCGAGCTCAACGAGACCGAGACCAAGCAGGTCATCAAGAGCGACCACCACCTCCCGATGTACCAGCAGGCCGCCAACTACGTCTACGACTACCCGTTCCGCACGCTCGTGTGCTCGGCGGCGCCGCTCGTCGGTCTCATCTTCCTCGACCAGAGCCGCAACGCCAACATCCAGTTCTCGCAGAAGGTCATGCACACGCGTATTTACGGCCAGGGCTCGTGCGTCGTCTTGCTCCTCGGCACGATGGCGTTCCATGACTGGATGTCCAAGCGCGGCCGCTTCGAGTAAGCGCGGAATCCTCCTCGGTCCATCATCGGAAGCCGGACCCTCCCAGTAGTAGAACGGACGCATCGTAGGTCGTCTTCACCCTCATCCTCATCATCATATATATGCACTCATACCCGGACTTCATGTCGCTTCATCCTCAGCGCTGCCACGCCACTGCGTTTGATTGGCTAAATTCAAGGAGCAATTCGATATTTCCGGCATGGCCATTGGCTGATGTCGCGGCGTCGACCTCGGAGCGTACAGAAACACGCAACGCGAGCGGTCACGGCGCCAGTCAAATTTGCCGCCGTTCTTGCCTTCCACTAGAACTTACCAACGCCAGACAGCATGAGCAGCTCGAGCCTCAAGCGCGACATCATCACGGCCAACTCGCTTGTTGTCGGGCTCCAGGCCAGCGTCGTCTCGGCGGCTACGATGGGCGCGGTCGTGTACGCCGCCAACCAGACCTCGGCCACGTTCCGCAACCGCCTCGGCCTCAGCGGCAAGCTCGGCTTCGTCGCCATGGCCGGCCTCGCGGGCTTCTTCATTGCGGGCGAGCAGGACCTTCTCAAGGGCAGCCGCAACCCGGATGCGTACATCGCGGAGCTCGAGGGCAACACGACGGCGGCGATGACCAACGTTGCGTCGCCCCGCAAGTCACTCGGCCTGCACCACCAGCTCGCCAACTACATCTACGACAACCCGTTCCGGAGCCTCACGTGCATGGCGACGCCTCTTGTTGGGTTTATCTACCTCGACCAAAGCCGCAACGCCAATATCCAGTTCTCGCAGAAGATCATGCACACGCGCATTTACGGCCAAGGTGCCTGCGTCGTCTTGCTGCTGAGCACGATGGCGTTCCACGACTGGATGTCCAAGCGCGGCCACTTTGAGTAAAGACGATCAACTACATTAATAGACCACGAACCAATAGCGCACTCTGCGCGCTTGATACTTTGATGCAACCCAACTGGAGGCAACGACGTTGCATGTCTTCGTCACCGACCCAAGGGTGCACCGACGAGCTAGAAACAAGGGCCATGTACGTACCCAACTCCTCTACCCGTGCAGGTACCAGTAGCTGCTAGCTGCTGTAAGAAGACCTCGCCTCGTGCTTGCTGCGTAAAGTAGAGCCAGCAGCACGTTCCATTTTGCGTCTTGGCTACCTAAGCTACCTAAAGTCCACGCCGTGACACTGTCAACGTGGCGTCCCCTCGTGCCGGCCACCGGTTTATACATACCTGGCGGTTGCGCTAACGACGACGACGGCGCCCGCCTGTCCCTCAAGATGGCGCCACGTCGCCCGAAATACAACCGGCATGAACGGACCAATGAGAGGCCGGCGAGAGTATCCTGGTTCAATGTTCACTTTGCCTTTTCTCGTCCCAGCCACAGATACAGCAGTATGAGCAGCAGCCCGCTGAGCCCGAACGCTAAGCGCGACGCGATCATTAGCAACTCGACGACGCAGGGCATCAAGGCCGCAGCGATCGCCGGCGTCACGGCGGGCTCGCTTGTCGCGGTCGCGCACCATCAGTCGCCGTGGTTCCGCAACCGCCTCGGCGTCAGCGGCAAGGTCGGGCTCGCGGTCATGGCCTCGCTGGCCTCCTTTGCGATCGTCGCCGAGCAGGACCTTCTCCGAGGCAGCCGCAACCCGGACGCGTACTTGGCGGAGCTCCATGAAGACAACGCGCCGATTGCGGCCAAGCCCGACCACCACCTGCCGCTGCACCAGCGCGCGGCCAACTACGTCTACGACTACCCGTTCCGGACGCTCGTGTGCTCGGCGACGCCGCTCGTCGGCCTCATCTTCTTTGACCAGAGCCGCAACGCCAACATTCAGTTTTCCCAAAAGGTCATGCACACGCGCATTTACGGCCAAGGCTCGTGCGTGGTCCTGCTCCTCGGCACGATGGCCTTCCACGACTGGATGTCCAAGCGCGGCCGCTTCGAGTAGGTTGTGTAGCTCTTTCACCTTTCGCCCCGCAATAAAAAATCATCCACAGAGACCACAACATGGTTTAAAGCAGTGCATCCGCGCCATTTGTTGCAGAGATCTTGGCCTTCTTGGACGCTGTCTCGCGCCGTTTGTAAAAGAGCACGTACGGTGTGTCCGTGGTCGCATGGGCGAGTGCGCTCTCGACCATAGCGTCGTCGACGCGGGCGACGTGGCTATCGTTGAGCAAGTGCCAGTCCTACCCACGCACCAAGCTCAGATCTTATTGGCCTTGTTGTGACGAAGCCGTACCGAGTCGGGCAAGTGGCGTGCATAAGTGTAGTAGTGGCCGTGGTCGGCCCGCGTGCCGGCGTGGACGATGGCTGCATACAGATCGTACGGTACGTCGCCGTGGGCGGTCGGCAAAATGACGTGGTCTCGGCAGTCGACCGCTGTGCACACTTTTTCACGTGCGCCGCTACGCGTCTAGTATGAGACTCCTGTGGTGGCTCTTATTGGTTGGCGTACCACAGTCGGTTGTACTCGAACCGGTTGATCGACACAAGGAGGTGTGTCGGTGCGCGCTCGACAGAGACAAGCTTGGTTGCGTCGCCGCGGCATTGGCAAACGTCGCAAAAGTAGGCATTCTCGAGCCTACGCCAAAAAAGTGTCTTGATACATTGATACTTTTTTCGGTTCTGTACCGCGCCGAGAGCTCCTCCGGAGCAAACTGCGCGCGGACGAGGTCGGCCAGAACCGGCGTCGATGCTACTGACGCTCCCACGGGGATATGGAGGTCTGTGAACGCCTCTTTGGCGGACGAGGCAGTTTTGCAGGCGTCACATGTAATCGTGCGCATCGTCGACCCTTGGAAAACCTCGTGGAGCGCGACGGTCTTGTCGCTTTCGAGGGCGTCGAGGAGGTAGTGCAGAAACTCGGCGGCGTCCTGCTGCCGTGTCGTCTGGTACTCGGGGAGAAGCACGCTTCGAAACCTACAGCCCCATCCTTTTTTCTGTCTTTTTCAAAAAAATCGCGTACCGCTCCATAGTACGCGCGTCGAGCCAGCTGCTGCCGCTTGATTGCATGCGCCCGAGGAGCGCACAGAACTCTGCCACGACACCTGGTTTCGCGTTCGTTCGCGTGGCAAAGAGTCGGCGCATCGCCGGCGTCCAGAAGAAACCCTACCCCTCTTCTGTCTTCGAGATCCGGGCGGAGAAGCAGAGTACCTGCAGCACCGCGTTCATATAGCACGAGTTGCCAATGTTCTTGAGCCCAATCGCATCCGAGTGCTGACGCGCAGGCGCGCTCGTAGTCGGCGCACCCGGCGTCGCTTCGGCGGCAAAAAATGGAGACGCGGCCGCCGGCGCGCAGTTGGTCCACCGAAGTGCGTCGACGTACGTCTCTACGACACAGCATTAGAACCCTTTGGTGGTGGGATGGATGGATGTACCGACGACAAACTCGGCTGGCAGCGGCGGCAGCTGTGCCATGAGCGTCCGCAGTGGCGCTTGCAAGAGCGGGTGTCCCGGGAAGGCAAACAAGAGCCCGTGCAATAGCTTTTGGAGATGCACAAGCGTTGTAGCGTCAAATGCTGGAGATGCGCTCGGCCAGCGCGCAATGCGATCGTAAAAGTGGGAATAGCAGGTGAGGAAGACGTCGGCGTTCTCTTGGTAGCCGAGAAAGATGGTCTCGAGCACGACGAGGCTGCCATCTGCGGTGCATGGATCGTTGAGCTGCTCGGCAGCGGTTAAGAGCACGTCGATGCCGCCCTTGAGCAGCACGGCCCACGCTTCACTGACGACGACGCAGAGAAGGAGCTCGCGGAGCCAGTCGCCGGCGAAACCGAGCAGCGGGATGCGCCCCGCCTTGATAAGCATCTCGGCAAGCTGCGGTGGCTTAAGGCACAAGGCTGAGAGCGGTAAATCGCGGCCGAACGCTGGCGCGGGGCACTCTTGGAAGATGCGGTGGAGGCGGCCAGCGTCCGCTGGCGTCCGAAACACAATGAAGAGCAGGAGCACCTTGATCGCGCTGCGCCACTCGTCGAGCCGCGTCTCGGTGCGCATCCAGGCAAAGCAAGCGCCATCGTCGTCGTCGTTGGAAGAGGGGCTGTTGACGTACCGGCGAAAGGCGACGAGGAACTGACCGCGGAGCTGGCGCAGGCCATGCTGCGCGGGCGCCGCCGGCCACGCCGCCCAGAGCACGTCTGCCACCGCTGCCTCTTGCTCCTGCGTGAGCGCGCCCTTCAAGAGGATGTGGTCCAGGTACTGCACCTTGACGTCGTCCGGGTGCTCGCTCATGACGAGCGCGGCCACGATCGCGTCCATCGTCCCGCGGATCTGTCTGGCAGCGTATGCGGATGCTATCCGGATACCGTTTCCAGTTGGCTTTTCTGGCAGCACCAAGACCATCATGTCGGCGATTGTGACCGGGTACTTGGCTGAGTTTGACGCGTTGGCCGAGGCCATTGACGGCGCGCTGCAGGCGGCACAAGAAGCCCACTGTGACCGAGGTGCGTCGCTTCAGTAGTACCCCAGAGCAGGCCATGACGGCCTGTTCGTGGCCGCTCGTAGACGCGGCGACGGATGCGATGGTGGTCGAAGCCAGCGAGCTAGTACGACACGGCTGCAACCGTGTGCAGCATGGAACCCACCACGTTCGTAGATGCAGCACGCTCAGCTGCATCTGCGCAGCCTGGATGCGGCTGCGCGGCGAACGTTTGCCGACGCAATGCAGCACAACGCGGCGCGCCTCGCCACCTGGACCCAGCCGCCGCAGGATGACAGGAGCGAGCTCGTCGGCGATGCTGCGATGCGCCACCGCATGCAAGCCGCGACGCAGACGTATGTTCTATCATCGCGTGCCGGGCGCGTCATGTACAACCCTAGGCTGCAGCGCACGGGCGGCACCATTGCGGCTGCGCAGCGTAGCGTGTTCGAAGCCGAGGCGACAGGTCGACTATATCCTTTGCTGCTCGTTCTAGTGCGCTTTGTGATGATGCGCTCTGCAGGCCATGCGATCCAAGCCGAGCTCAGCCGGAACCGCGAGACGCTTCAGAACACGCAGGCCAAGGTCTCGGCCGTCAATGCGATCGCGCAGGCCAGCGACGCGATCCTCACGCGCATGACGGCCCGCTGGTCGTTTTGGCGAACAGGAGCATAGTGCATGTCATACATACTACACTCTTCTAGTGACAAACGACTTGACGCGCGTCACACAACGGGATCGGGCGCCTTCTGTGTAGTTGGTACCATCATCTCGCCGTCGTGGAGTAAATCCCTTCTCGGGGCCCATGCGCACGATGACGCACACACCGTCCTCGCACGTGTCGATGGCATGACGAAGCGTCGTCACTACCAAGCTTGTTGTACGTCAAGTCCGAGTGGTACGCGATCCGAGAAGGACATGTAGCCCGCAGAGCGCCTTTGCGGGCGTGGAGGTACCCGTCGCGTGAATGCCGCACTGGATTCGATCGATCGCCGAGATGCGTTGGTCGGCCCAAGCGGGCCGATGGGTATCAACCACATCAGCAAGGCTCCAGGTCCAGCGACAGTTCCTCCATGCAAGTGGCTCGAGTGCAGGTGATGGAGCGACGTACGCAACCACAGTCGATAGGCAGACCCGATCTCGCAGGTACACAAGTACACAGGTCGACGACACCAGAGCGATTCATCAACCAGTGCATGCGATGCGGTGCACAGATGCCGTTGGCATATTTCTTGAGCGATATGAAGGAAGCAAACGCTGGAAAGGACGGACGCTGTCGCCTAGGCACCGTCCATGGGACTCTGGAGCACGAGACAGCGGAGGCGCCTGCTCGTGCGTCCGTAGCGGTACCGGATGTGACGCTTGGCCGCCTCGCTTTTGAACACTTCGCTTCGAATGCGTGGCAGCTCGATCGAGACGCGACGGCACGTCGTTAGAGCGTCGCCCAGTGCCAAGTAGCTCTGCACAGACAGTCGGACGTCACTGAAATCCAGGATGGCACCGTGCGGGCTCGCCGTGTGTCGTAGCGCCGCCGCCAGCGCCGAAGCGTCCTCATCTCGCATCCCCGAGCCAATGAGTTCGATCTTCCCGCAACCATGGCGGATAGAGCGGGGCATCGACACCAACAAATTCCGGAAAATCGCTGCGGGCTGCGAGCTAGTGATCGTGAGAGGCCGGGCGCCGTGCAGAGGCGTCGTGACGGCCTCGAAGAACGCTATGGACGACGGGACGTCGATCGCACTGCTCGTGTCGACGACCTGGAGCTTGTGGCATTGGCGCAAGACGCTGCAGAGTTGGGAACGGTCGTAGACGGCGTCGTCTTCCACGTGCTTGTAGTGTGTGAGCTTGGTGCTCCACAGCTCAAGCCACTCCAAGGCATCGAGGTCGCTGGGTCGTGCGGCGCTCAAGGTACCTGCGCTAGCACTCGGAATGACCGGCATCGCGTCGCGCACCAGACTCGTCGCTGCAGGTGTGATCACATCCAGGCGCAGCAGAGGCCAGAGCGCGTCCAGAGGCTCCGACTCGGTTGCCAGGACATGACGCCGGGGGTCTTGCAGCAGCTGGTAGAGCGCGGTCAGCGGGCGGCTGCGCGCCGAGGCCGGGAGCGCAGCAAGGAAGGCCATGACGTCCTTGGCGACAGGAATGCACTGGGCGATGGCGATGAGGACATGGTCGAGGTCGATGATCGTCGGCGGCGTCTTGGCTTGGCGCTTGCTGCTGCTGCTCATGCTGGATCGGTTTGGATTCTACCGGATCCTCCCTTAAACTCAAACTCAAAAAAATCTCAATAATTGTTTTTCTCAAAACGTACGCAAGCCGCTTTCAAGCGGAAACGCGCTACTGCATTCGCCGAAACCAGAGAAGTAGGATCCAGGGAGTGGGACCGATCGCCACGTTCCGGTACAGTCATGTATTGTACAATTACAGCGTCTCGCAAAGATGCAGCAGTGGTTTTGGAGACGCCAACCCAATGCGATACTTGTCAATAGAGAACGGCCTCATAACTGATCGATAAAGTACTACTCCGTCTCATATTAATAGTCCTGTTTCTCTTCGAGAACCTGCAGCTCCTACACTACTTGGAATTGTGGCGATCCAATTGCACCAATGAAAAGATCCCGATTTCGTCTTTCACCTAGTATGTATCATCCAAAGGGCAAGCAAAATGCAAGCAATTGCCGAGCAAAAGGCAAACATATCTATCTATCTATCTATCTATCTATCTATCTATCTATCTATCTATCTATCTATCTATCTATCTATCTATCTATCTATCTATCTAGTTGCAGATTGACAACACCAAGGGACAACAAGACCTTGCATGCGTCGCGTTGCATGGCCACGCTATGTATCCGGGGATATGTTGTCACCGCGGCTTGAAGGATGTACTTGAAAATGGATTATTCACGACACTTAATCAACGATAAATTGGATGGATGCTGTCGCCTAGGCACCGTCCATGGGACTCTCGAGCACGAGACAGCGAGTGCGCTCGGTCGTGCGACCGTAGTGGTACCGGATGTGACGCTTGGCCGCCTCGGCTCGGAACTTTTTGCTTCGAGTCGATGGCAGCTCGATCGCGACGCGACGGCACGTTGTTAGAGCTTCGCCCAGTGCCAAGTAGCTCTGCAGGGACAACCGAGCGTTTTTGATTTCAAGCACGACGCCAAGCGGGCTCGTCGTACGAGGCAGCGCTGCCGCCAGCACCAGCGCTTGCGCGTCCAGGATTTCGTAGTGCGCGAAGAACACGATCTTCAACGCGCCGCGACGGATCCAGTCGGGCGTCGACAACAAGATGAAGTCGACGATCGCTGCGGGCTGCGAGCTAGTGATCGCGAGAGGCCGGGCGCCGTGCAGAGGCGTCGCGACGGCCTCGAAGAACGCTATGGACGACGGGACGTCGATCGCACTGCTCGTGTCGACGACCTGGAGCTTGTGGCATTGGCGCAAGACGCTGCAGAGTTGGGAACGGTCGTAGACGGCGTCGTCTTCCACGTGCTTGTAGTGTGTGAGCTTGGTGCTCCACAGCTCAAGCCACTCCAAGGCGTCGAGGTCGCTGGGTCGTGCGGCGCTCAAGGTACCTGCACTAGCACTCGGAATGACTGGCATCGCGTCGCGCACCAGACTCGTGGCTGCAGGTGTGATCCGATCCAGGCGCAGCAGAGGCCAGAGTGCGTCCAGAGGCTTCTGCACATGTGCCAGAACATGACGTCGGGGGTCTTGCAGCAGCTGGTAGAGCGCGGTCAGCGGGCGGCTGCGCGACGAGGCCGGGAGCGCAGCAAGGAAGGCCATGACGTCGTTGGCGACAGGGATGCACTGGGCGATGGCGATGAGGACATGGTCGAGGTCGATGATCGTCGGCGGCGTCTTGGCATGGCGCTTGCAGCGGCTGCTGCTCATGCTGCCCATGTTGGATCGGTTCGGATTCTGCGGGAATGGAATCCCCCCTCAAACTCAATCTTAATTTCAACGCCGAAAACTCAATCGGTCTTCATTTCTCCCGATGCACACACTCAACAAGCACGCGGTAGCAGATATCAAAGTACAACGACTGTGTTGGCTGAATGGTTCAATAGCGCTGTGTGGGCGACGTACTACGATGATCGTCCATCTCAACCCATGACTGGATATTCGTACTCGCAAGTCGGCGACAATTCAAACGGTACCTCAAGAGCCAGCAAACGCGGCAAGCTTCCGAGAGGTACACACAACGAAAGGTATCCCATGCTTGGTTGAATTGCTTGGTAGAGAGTGCATTCCGCCAGCGCTTCTTGAAATCGCGTCGTCGTTGAACCAGTCCGGTGTTTTAACTGGTGGAACAGTAGACACCTCGACGTTGAGCACATGCAAAGGCGCATACAGTTCTTTCTCAAACCATTGTCTCGCGCGGCGCGGGTGCGCTCCGTGGGGAGAGCTCGGGCTATTAATAGGACTGTCGGAAGTCCAGAGCTTGCCACGTCATCGGTCAGCTCAACCAATCAGACGCTTCCAATTGATTCCATAATCACGCATGGGCAGCGAGAAGCGTCGGTCGTCGTCGACGCCGACCACAGTGCTTGGCTTAACCCACGTACTCGAAGCGATCGTTCGCTGCTGCGCTGCGCCTAGCGACGTGCTGTCCTTCCTCGCTGCGCTCCCTGCGTCGACTCGGAGCGCGCCGCTGATGGCGCTCTACCAGCTTCTGCGAGCTCCGGCGAACGCTGTCGCGCGCATTGGCGACAAGAACCCGATGGCCTACCTCTGGCCGCGACTGGAGCTACAGAGCATCGCGCCAGTCGCCGCTACACTCGTGACGAGGGCCATGCCGATCTTCAACGTCGTGTGCGTACACAACCCACACACACTGACGAACGTGCTTGCGCTCGCCGTCCCGCGGCCCGCCCGCGGCCTCGACGTCTTTGCGTCATTCGTCAACACATGGGGACCGAAGCTCACGCATCTGTCGTTCAGCGACCGTCAGATACCTCGCACCGTCGACGTCCAGGCTCTCTGTGCCATGCTCAAGCGCTGCACCAACCTGCACGCCGTCGATGTCAGCCCTTGTGCGTACGATACGGCCATTGTCGCGGCCGTCACGACGCCGGCGCACACGCGTCTGCGCTGCCTCATTATTCTCTCCAAGCAGCGCGAGCCCGAGCCCGACTGGGCTGTGACGCTTGTGCCGTGGCTCAAGTCGGGCCGCGCGCGCCACCTTGGCTTTGCTTACTACAACGACGACGACGACAACGACAACGACGACGACGACGACGACGACGACGACGACGACGGAGGCCCGCCCTACCATACGAGCAACCATAGTATCGCGCACGTCCTTGCGGCCGCGGCGTCGCTCGTAAGCTTGCATTTGGATCTGCATCCGGCAGGGTCCATCACATCGACGAGGGCCGGTCCGTGGTTTCTTCATCTGCAAGAGCTGCGCGTCAGCATCGTTGACCAGGGCTACATCATGGAGCTGCTGAAGCACGTCAACCCTACGGTCCTCACGTCGCTCGCGATCGAGTATGGCGGCGAAGGCAACCTCGATTGTGTCTTGCACGCACTGCCCCGACTCGTCGCCTTGCAAGAACTGATCGTCGACGAGGCCGATTTCAAGCAAGTGTCTTGGCCGCCGTCGTCGACGATGCCGCCGTTGATGGCCCTTCGCCGCCTCGCGTTCCACAATGTGGAGTTCTCGACGACCGCGCTGGACGCACTCGCAACGTACGCTTCTCGATCGCCGGCGCTTCAGACGCTGTCGTGGCGTGGCTGCCGATGGAACTCGCACCTCGTCCACGTCGTCGCAACGCATTTGCACGCGTGGGTCGGCTGCGGCGTCAAAGCGATGCACCTCATCGACTGCAATATCAACGCGCTAGGGGTCGCCAAGCTCGCGGCCGCACTCGCTGGACTATGCAGCCCACTCGGCTTCCAACTCTGTGTGTCGTGTACTAGCCCGTTGGAGAACGTTTGCATGGAGCCGCTGCTGGATGCGCTGACGACCTGCGACGGTGTGGCGCTGCTGCTCAACCGCGACAGCGGCGCGTTGGTGACCGCGGCGCGCGACCTTGCCTGCCACAACATTGTCGTGCCGATTCACACGTTCAACTGGACGCCTGACATGGAGGCAACGTGCGTGACGTGGCGTGCGTAGCAGTTGGCGTCGTCGTCGAGACGGTAAGGTCGCCATGTGTAGCCCATTTTGCCAACATGGAGGGACACTATTATGTTATGTGGTGTTGTTGGGACAACGTTTGGATCGCACTCGTCGAGGTGTAAGAAGGTGCTCTTCATAGCTCTTAGCAGAGAATGGTCGCGTGTTTGTCATGCAAGTGCACACATTTGCAGCCACGTCACTGGGCCCAGTTCGAACCAAGAGTACGTACCCTTTGGAGTCTGGGACTGTGGAAGGTTGTTAATGGACCAGGACCCGCAGACCTTTACCAGGGGTAGGGTAACTCGGGCACCCACCAACTAATCTGGGTTGTGGGTCCGGATCCGAATCGCAGGCTAGTTCCAGCATGTACGATCTCGATACTTTAATCAAAGAACGACAGGACATCGCGCCATATCTAGCTTGGTACACGATGCACCCTCGTCTTGCGTGGCCAAGCGGAATAAAGAGCAAGAACTGTTTTAGAGCACATGTACGATAGCAGGAATGGTCAAACACGAAAAGGCCTACAATTATTGTAGGTGCGGAACGGGACTCTCGAGCACGAGACGGTTCGTGCGGCTATCGACATGGTACGTGATGCGGCGCCTCGTCGCCTCGGTGCGAAACACTTCGCAGTCGATCGGTCGCAGCTCAATCGAGACGCCGCGGCACGTCGTCAGTGCGTCTCCGAGTGCCACGTAGCTTTGCACCGACAGTCGGGCATTACATAAATCAATGCAGACGCCGGATTGGCTCGTCGTCCGACGCAGCGCCGTCGCCATCGCTGACGCACCGTCGTCATCAATGTTGCAGGCGTCCAACGCGATGTTTCGGATACCGCGATGGATCCAGTTGGACAACGCCTTTGCGATGGCCTTGACGACGGACGGTTGCAGTCGGCACCAGCAACATGAGAGCTCAGTGAGAGCGTGTGCACGAGACAAGCCAGTGACGAGCACGTCCCACGTTGCCTTGGTGGCTGTCAGCTCGCGAAACGTGACGCGCCGAAGCGTCAGTGGCAACATCATCGTCGCACGTGGCCGCCCACCGAAAGCACATTTGGACAGCTCCAGCTCTTCGAGTTTTGGGAACGACGCTAGTACCTCCACGAGTCCAGTGAGGTCAGCTTGACGGCAGTAGAGGGAAAGCGAGCGAAGCTGCGGCTTGTTGAGGTGCTTTAGAAACGGCAGCAGCGACGCCACGTCCGACTCGGGAATCGAGAGACTCAAGCGCGCAAGTCGGTCGAACGAGGCTGCGATAGCAAAAAGCGGTGCAAGAACCCCACGCTCATGGTAGTGTAGTGCAAGGCTCGAAAGTCCCGTGGTCTTGAGGAGCATCGGACCCAACATTGCCTCTGCTTCGTGGCTCTCGGCTTGCGTGAGCTCCAAGTGCTCGGCGTGGCCCGAAGCGAGCCAGCGGTCCACAAGCGCGATCGAAGCAGCGCTCGAGCAGACGAATTTAAGAGAGCGGACGCGGTGCAAAGGCGTCGTGACAGCCTCGACAATCTCATGGCCGTCGGCCGCCCAGCGCAGGTCGACGACTTGGAGCTGATGGCACTGGCGTAAGACGTTGAGGAGCCGCGATGGATCGAAGACGGCGCCGTTTACATCGTGCGTGTAGTGTGTGAGCTTGGTACTCCACAGACGCAGCCACTCGACAGTGTCGAGATAACGTGGCCGTGCAACGCGCGAGGTACCAGCGCTGGCGGCAAGAAAGATCGGCATCGCGTCGCGCACGAGGTGGGTCGCTGCGGGCGTGATCTTATCCAGATGAAGCAGAGGCCAGAGCGCGTCCAGAGGCTTTGACACTATCGCAAGGACGGCGCGGTGCGGGGCTTGGAGGAGCTCGTGGAGCGCGGCCAGGTGCGTGCTGCCACGAGCCGAGGGCGGGAGTGCAGCGAGGAAGGCCTTGACGTCCTTGACGGCTGCCATGCACTGGACGACGGCCACAAGCACGTGGTCAAGGTCGAGGACCGTCGGCGAGGCCGCGGCTTGGCGCTTGTTGCTGCTGCTCATGGGGCCAGCAGCTTTCTGATGGGAGTTTACGTACAGCTGTTTTCTCAGACTCAATCTCAACTCAATCCTGCGTTTTTCTTAAAAAGGATCATTTTAGCATCTACCCAACCCACAACCCAAATGCTCCTCGAACCCGGGTCTACCTGGTGGTATACCACCGCTAGACTAAAACATGTCGACGAGATTCCTGCCTTCTTGACTGAGCGCACGCAAGTTGCAGCCGCGTCCAACGTGTACCGCTGCGTCATCGCGTACGTCATGTACTCACCTACCTCTCTTCAGGTCGGCGCCACAACGTTTCTCGTTGGTTGACCTCGAGGTCGTTGGTCGATGCGTCAAGCGCAGTGCACTGTAGCATAAAAATTGCACCAGAGAGTAACAAACGACGACACAAGAGATAGTTTAACAACGTTGCTATGCATCGGCACGACTTGGCGCAGGACTCTGAAGCACGAGACGGTCGGTGCGATCATCATAGTGGTACGTAATGCGGCGCGTGGCGGCCTCGGTTTCAAAGGCATCGAAGTCGATCGACGGCAGCACGATAAAGACGCCGCGGCACGATGTAAGTGCGTCTCCAAGTGCCACGTGGCTTTGCACCGACAGTCGGAGATCCCTTATGTCAATCGTAACGCCAAATACGCTCGTCGTACGTTGCAGAGCCGCTGCCAGCGCCACGTCGCCTCCGTCATTGACGTCGCAGTCGGAGAAGGCGATTTTTGTGACGCCACGGCGGATCCAGTCGGGCAAGGATGATGCTATGGACTGTAAAAACGACGTGTGGAGCAACCGAGTCGAGTGGATCGAAAGCTCATCAAGGGCGTGGATGCGACACAAGCCGGCCGCCAACCCGTCCCACGCGGCCTTGGTGCAGATGAGGTCTGTCAGAGTGACGCGCCGAAGCGTCGATGGCAAGACGACTGTTGGCAGCGTCTCTTCCAGACAGCCGCGGGCCAGCGTCAGCTCTTCCAGCGCCGGAAACGCCGACAGACCGTCCAGCACTCTGTCGATATTGGTGCGACTGCAGTTGAGGGAAAGCGAGCAAAGGCGCGGACTGTTGAGCTGTTGCAGAAACTGCGCCAACACTGGCACGTCGGAACGGCTGACCGTGACATCCAAGCGTCAGACGTCGGAACAAGGGTGCGATCGCAACAACCGGCCCAAGGATCCCGTGCACATAGTAGCGTAGCGTGAGGCTAGAGAGCACGGTGGACTTTAGAAGCATCGCCACCAGCGTCTCGTGACCCGCTTCGTCGTCGGTGGTCGGGTACGTAAAATCCAAGTGGTCGGCGTGACCAGAAGCGAGCCAACGAGCCACGAGCGCAATGGACTCAGCCCTCAGGCATGAGCCTGTGATCGAGCGGACGCGGTGCGCGGGTGTCGTGACGGCCTCGAGGATTGCGTGACCGGCAGCTGCACCACCCACATCTAGGGCTGTGAGGTTCGTACACTGGCCCAAGACGCTGATGAGACGCGGATCAAGACCAAATGCGTCGGCTTCACCGACCTTGTAGTGCGTAATCTTGGCGCACCACTGGTTAAGCCACTCGATGGCGTCGAGATCTCTTGGCCGAGCAGCGGCCAAAGCCCCAGCACTGGCGCAAGGAAAGACAGGCCTCGCGTCGCGCGCGAGACTGATCGCTGCAGGCGTGATCACATCCAGGCGCAGCAGAGGCCAGAGTGCGTCCAGAGGTTTCTGCACATGTGCCAGAACATGGCGCCGGGGGTCTTGGAGGAGTTCGTGAAGCGCAGCTAGCGGGAGGCTGCGCGCCGAGGCCGGGAGCGCAGCGAGGAAGGCCATAACGCCCGCTGGCGTAGCCATGCACTGGACGATGTTTGTGAGGACGTGGTCGAGGTCGAGGACTGTCGGCGAGGCTGCGGCCTGGCACTTGCTGCTGCAGCTGCTCATGACCCGTGGCTCTATATTTGACTTTTGCGTGCGTTTTGAGAAAGTACACGATTGAGTTTTCGCCGTTGAGTTTGAGATTATGGGAGAATGCCATCGCACAAAATCCGAACCGATCCAGCATGGACAACGGTAGCATTCGCCAAGCCACGGTCTCGCCGACAGTCCTGCAGCTCGACCACGTCCTGACCGCCATCGTCCAGTGCATGGCTGCCACCAAGGACATCAAGGCCTTCCTCGCTGCGCTCTCGGCCTTAGTACGTGGAAGCACGCATCTGGCCGCGCTCCACGACCTTCTCCAAGCTCCGCAGCGCCATGTTTGGCCATCCATGCTGGAGCCTCTGGATGCGCTTTGGCCTCTGCTTAATCTGAGTGAGATCTCGCCTGCAGCGATCAGTCTCGCGCGCGACGCGATGCCAGTCTTTTCTTGGGTCAGCGTTGGTCCCATCATCAACGCATGGCCACATGATCTCGACGCCGTCGAGTGGCTGCGTCTGTGGAGCACCAAGATCACACACTACAAGCACAATATAAGTGACATAGTTCAGGGCGACCCGCGCCTGTACGATGTCCTGCGCCAGTGTACGAACCCCACGGACGTTGACGTGTACTGGTCGGCCGATGCCGATGCGATTCTGGAGGTCGTCACGACGCCAGCGCACCGCGTCCGCTCACTCCAGGTCCAGCATACGACTGCAGCCGCCTCGGTCGTCTTGGATCGCTGGCTTGCGTCGGGCCACGCAGACCACTTGGACTTTACGTACTACTCGGACGATGACGGCGGAGCGGTGGACGCAGCGCTTGTTCCGATGCTTTTGAAGACCACCGTGCTCTCGAGTCTTGTACTGCGCCTCGACGAAAATGAACTATTCGCGCGGCTCGTCGTCGCCGCGCCTTTGTTCATCCGTCTAACAAGCTTGCAGCTTTCGATCCCAAGGTTGGAAACCCCGACGTTGGTGCAGTTTTTGCAGCACCTCCGCGCCGCACCGCTTTGCTTATTCCACCTTGAATGCATTGGGGTGGATCTTGGCAGTCTTTCTGGTGCGCTTTCAGCATTTCCAGCGCTGGAAGAGCTGACAATCAAGCGCGACTGGCTCGGTGGGACGCTGTCACCAGTGACGCTCCCCTCGACGCTTCGACGCATCATGTGGCGAGGCATGTCGTGCTTCCCGGCGGCGTTGCAGGCACTGGCGACGAGCGTCTCCCACCTCGACGAGCTTACATTGATCGGTTGCCCACTTTTCCCGGCGGCCATCAAGTTCTTGGTCGGTGCACTACCCGACTGGATCCACCGTGGCGCCAAAAAGATCACGTTCGTCGATTGTGGCATCGACGATACGGCTGTCATAGCGCTGGCAGCGGCTCTGCCCCGTACAACGAGCCGGCTTGGTACCATCCTTACAATCAAGGACATTGCCGGATTATCCGTGCACAGCTACGTGGCCCTGGGCAAAGCACTCGCGTCGTGCCACGGTGTCTCGATGCAGCTGCCTTTGCTTCAGACGTTCCAAACCGAGGCGGAAAGCCGTTCCATCCAGTACCGCTTCGATGCCGACTGCATCGTGCTCGAGAGCCCCCTGCACAGTAGTTGGGTGTAGCCTTTTTCTATGTTTGGCGTTTTATAATGGGATGCACCCGGCAGCTTGTATTTGGTGAGATGTCACATAATCAGCTATGACAGCCACATTCGATAGATCACTGACGCGAGGGACCCAAAATAGTGCCCAAAATCTTGGTGGCTGTTGTTGTTGTTGCAGTAGGTCGTCTATTAAAATAGATAAAACTATACTAAATAAAGTTGTCGGACTTTCTTCGTTGTGTACACTCGGTTGAGAAACTTGATTTAGGCAGACGGAGGCAGGAGCGCGATCCGCGGGACAAGGTGCTGGCGCGGCCACTCGTGCAAAAATCTGGGTGGTTCATGGGCTTCGCTTCGGTCTACGAGTCGTGGGTTAGGGTTACCGATGGAAGGGGCGCCCTCGACGCTGTGCGGGTATTTGGGGCATTTTCTGCTCCGTTGCCACTAGAACTATCTATGGACCAGCTTCTTTCTTCGAGATACTGCTGCAGATGAACACCAAGCGACAAGACGCCCTTCCTGCCACTTGGTACGAATCTTAGTCATTCGAATTCAACATATAGAGGTGAAGCAAAGACGGTGGTCACCTAAGCAGCGTGCGTGGGGCTCGTCAGCACGTGGTGCTTGAAGTCACGGGCAGAATTGTGCGCGCAGAATTGGATTGGAGCTCTTCGATCCAAGGCAAACCAATTGAGACGCCCCGGCACGTCGCAAGTGCTTCGCGTAGTGCCCTGTAGCTTTGTACAGACAATTGGGTTCAGGGTATTGAGGCGAACACCACGCCGGCTCGTCGTTCCGGAAAGAGCCGCCGCCAGGGCCATGACACCCTTCTCGTCGATGTAGTAAGAGGAGAAGGTGATCTTTTGCACGCCACGACGAATTCAGTCGGGCACTGCGTCGGCAAAGACCTTGATGGCCGCCGTCGAAAACTCGCAGCTCATCCAGCATAGCTTGTCGAGGATGCGTAGTTGAGAGACGCTTGCTGCAAGCGCCTTCCACGCCGTCGACAAGCACTGCATGCCGGTGAACGTGCGCCGAAGCGTCGAGGGGAGCGCCGTTGGCAGCGTCCCTTCGCGACAGTTGCACTTGACTGTCAGCTCTTTCAGCACCGGAAATGTTGAAAGCACATCGAAAAGACTGCCAAGATCGCGTCAACGTAGTCGAGATTGAGCGAGCGAAGCGGTGCGGCGTGGAGGTGCTGCCGAAATTGCAGCACCTCTACCACGCCACTCCATTGTGCGAGTTACATTTGATCATTTTGACGATTTCCTGTAAATCTTTGCACGAGTAAATCGCTAAAACCATGGGACAGGCTACACCTAACCACTGTGCACGGGGCTCTCGAGCATGATGCAGTACGTCTCCTGGACCCGGTGCTGGATGGAATACTTGGCCAACTCGGTTGAGAACGTCTCGATCAGAGGCAGCGCAATCGAGATGCCTCGACACGACGCGAGTGCTTCGCCCAGGGCCACGTAGCTTTGCACGGACAATAGGGCAGTGTCTTGAATGTCAAGGACGACGCCAAGCGGGCTTGTCGTACGGGGCAAAGCCGCTGCCAGCGCCATCGCACCCGTATCATCAATGCGGCAGTGAAAAACGAGATCTTTTGAGCCCCGCGGTGGATCCAGTCGGCCAATGCTTCCGCCAAAACCTTGATGGTCGCCGCTGGCAGCTCACAATTGAGCCACGTGAGCTCATCAAGGGTGCGTAGCTGGGAGATCCTCGCTACCAGTGTCACCCACGTCGCTTGGGAGCACCGCATGCTGTCCCACGTGACGCGTCGCAGCGTCAAAGGAAGTGTCAGCGTCCCATCGAGATAGCCAGACGCCACTGTCAGCTCTTCCAGCACTGGAAATGCTGAAAGCACGCAAAAAGACGGCCAAGATCCGCACCAGTGCAGCGAAGGCTGAGCGAGCGAAGCTGCACGACGCGGAGGTGTTGCAGAAACTGCAGCAACGATGGCATTTCGGATTGGCGGACCAAAACGTGCAAGCTTGTCAAACGAGAGTAGGAGGGCGCGGCGACGACAAGCTGCGCAAGTAGCCCGGGTGCATCCAGGTGTAACGCAAGCCGCGAGAGCACGGTGGTCTTCAGAAGCATCGCACTAATCGCTGCGTCCCCGCAATGAATGTAAAGTCCAAATCCTCTGCGTGGCCCGACGCTAGCCAGTGATCCAGAGGCGTGATGCATGGAGATGCATCGATATAAATGATTGCGAGCGAGCGGACGCGATGCGCAGGCGTCGTGACGGCTTTGAGGAGCGCATCCGCGTCGCCCGCATAGCTCACGTCGACAGCCAACAGGTTCGTACACTGGTGCAGTACATCACAGAGCCGCGAATGGTCGTAGACGGTGTCGTCGTCGACATGATTGTAGTGTGTGAGCTTGGTGCTCCACAGCTCAAGCCACTCCAAGGCTTCGAGATTACGTGGTCGTGCGGCGCTCAAGGTACCAGCGCTGGCGGCAAGAAAGACTGGCATTGCGTCACGCACGAGGTGGGTCGCTGCGGGCGTGATCTTATCCAGATGAAGCAGAGGCCATAGTGCATCCAGAGGCTTCAGTACACTCGCAAGGACAGCGCGTTGTGGCGCTTGAAAGAGGCCGTGGAGCGCGCCCAGATGCGTGCTTCCACGTGCCAAAGCTGGAAGCGCAGCGAGGAAGGCCTTGACGTCCTTGGCGGCAGGTATGTACTGGACAATGGCGGTCAGGACGTGGTCGAGGCCCAGGACCGTCGGCGGCGTCGTGGCTTGGCGCTTGCTGGTACTGCTCATGCTGGATCGGGTTAAATTCTGTGGATTCTCCGTCAACTCCAGCTCAACGCTCCAACGCAATCGTGACATTTCTCAAAACGTGTGCAGAACAACCACTCGAAGTCGCTCGTTGGCTCGACTTTGCACTCCGACGTACAGGTTCGACCAATTGTTTATGGCTTTAGTTTCGCCACTTTTACCGATGCTGCGTGCATAACCTGTAGTCGCAGCTCCATAGCGCCGTCTCTGGCCCATTTTGAGATCTCAAAATCGCGCGCCGTCAAGTACTGCGTCAAAAGATGAAAGTGGATCTTGAGCACATCGACGTCGAGCGGATGTACGTGCGTTGTACGAAGGACCAGCGCTTCTCGGAGGCACGCTATCGCTTCCTGCAGGCGGTTCAACGCTTTGGACATGGAGATGGTAGGCATCTAATACCTCGGCACAACTCGAGAGCTGCGCCCAGTGCCAAGTAGCTTTGGACCCATAGATAAGGGCTGCGTGACCTTACTTTCGGTGCCTCCAAGGTAAAGTGGGTGACCCAACTACATCGTGGTACTAGTACTTACACAACGCTCCGGTGCGGCAAATGACAGACGAGTTACATTGGATCATTGTGCCGTGTTCATGTCAACATTATTGCAAGAGCTATATTGTTATAAAACATTTTGACAAAGAAAGAGGCTACACCTAAACACACATAACCGCTGTGCACGAGCCCCATGCTTAGTGGTACTCGTTGAACCTGCTCACCCGCCTATCGATCAACCTCTCACACCCAGTCCATTTCTTTCCCGATGTACGTGTCCTATGCAGTGACTTGCTCTAAGAACCATCGAGAGTTTATTAGCAGCGTCTGTGCTGATCGATGTCTTCTTGCTCATCGCCAATGAGGCAAGCCATGGCTGTCACGGCATCGAGGCGAGCACACTGCGCAGCCCGTGCACCAACGGATGCTCGCGGCCGTGCGTGATCGCGAGTATCCGGTGCGCCTCTTGCAAATGCGCCCGACTCTCACCAAGGCGCTCGGGCCACTGGGCTTCGAGGTCGCCCAGCGTGTAGAGATGCAGGCCCGCCATCGCATGCGTCGTCGGGTACATGGCTTCGTAGAACGTCCACATCGCTCGCGCCGCTCCGCGCGCGTTCTCAAAATCGCGCGCCGCCAAGTACTGCGTCAAGAGGTGCGAGTGGACCTCGAGCACATCGACGTTGAGTGCATGCAAGTGTGCCGACCGAAGGACCAGCGCTTCTCGGAGACACGTGATCGCTTCCTGCGGGGACATGGGCACCGCGGCTGCCACGAGCTGCGTTGCGCGGGCCAAGTCGGGTGACGCGCCGCTGTCGATCGGTCCGCCGTCTGTGCCCGCATCCGAGACGAGGTCAAATGACGTCGGCGACGTGCACCGGGCGCAGCTGCAATCAAAGTGGTACTGCGCTTGGAGTTGGCGCCGGCGCTTGGTCGCGGGAATCGCCACGTCCACTACAAGGATAGATTGAGGACGGGTACCATCATCGCAGGCGGCGGTATACTGTAGGCGTGTGTGATTTCTTCGCCGGCAGCGATCGGGCGCAGCGCGCGCATCTGGAGTTCGTGCGACTTTGGCGCGAACCTACACGTCGATAGGGCACGAGCTGCAAGAACGGTCGAGGACGTACGTGACAGTGCAGTTGGCGTCGCAGCTGTGGTTGACCATCGCGGCCCACGGGTAGCAGCCTAGTGCGTTCGCATCGCGTGAGGCCACGAAGCGCTGGGAGAAGCAACGCACCCGAGCCAATGTCCAGGAGAATCTCGTCTGTGATGGTAAAGTTGTTGGTGTGGAAGCGGCAGAGCATCTCTTCAATGTCCGAGAGTGTGTAGCTCATACCTAGCGTGGTGCATGTCCATGGCCCCATGAGCAATGCAGTCAATGATCGGTCGTCGTCGTACTGGATGGTAGCAAGCCTGTATGGTCGACGATAGCGGCCGTGCTGTGCACCGCTGCCCGGTCGGCCTCGGACCAGACGAGGTTCCATGGATGCGTTGAGCGGTCATCCAAGCTCCGTGCTTCGTTTTGCGCGGGAAACGCAGAGACAAGGCGCAGCGTTCGCGCGACGAGGAGCGCATCGGCGACAACCGAGTACGCATTCGCGGTCACGACGAGCCGCTCGAGTCGCGGACACTCGAGCTTGTGCTGCAGGCGCCAGTCGCTCAGCTGACATTGCTTGGAGCCTAGCATGCTTCGTCGTATCCATGGGCTCTCAAAGCGAGCGTACAGTAGTAGACAAGCTTGCAGCGGCGCAGCGCGCAAGCGAGCCTGGCTCAAAGCACGCCTGGCAGCGCTCGGTCCACAGACTCGGCGACAAGACGGTCGCAAAGGGCGTCGACGTCAGCAGGAGCGTGCCGGGCGCGACGTCCTTGGTGGCTGCGATCCAGCGGCCTGCCCCACGGTCCTCGATTTCGAGTCGCACGGCCATCGGACCCGGCTCGAATTTCGTAGATTTAAAAATCAAATTTCGAAGACGATGCCATTGGGCGAACCATTTGCAGTGCGATCGCCATGGCCTTGTCGGCGGCAATCCCTCGCATCGGCTTCTCTCCGCAACAAAAGCAAATGCTAGTCCACAGGTGCGCATGAAGCTATATATCTTATCTACTTATGGGTCGTCGGGCTTCCTACTTGGGTATATGCACGTGGTTACTGGCCGTTGACCTGCGCGTGCGCGTCTTCGATGGCCTCCTGCTGACGGCGGTGAATCTCGGCCGCGAACGTCTATATATCATAGCATAAGTTTCACGGCACCACCAACACACGAGCAAGAACACATACGTCGCACGTGGCCTTGAACTCGTCCGTGTCGAGGTGCAGCGCCTGGAACGCCGCCGGGTTGGTGCTGTGGAGCGCCTGGACAGTCTCCAAGAAGACGGCAAACTCGTCAATGTTGTCGAGCTCGCTCGTGCCATAATCGTCGTCGTCGCCGCCCATAAAGTACGAGCCGTCTTCGCCCTATACACGTCGAGATCGTTCAACATGTTGGATGATGCAACACGATGCGTACGTTGCGCTGGAGTTCGCGCATCCAGGCCGCGATTTCTTCGTCCTGAAGGTCCTCGGCGTCTTCGTCCGAGGCGTACCCGCCCTGGTCGACGAGCTGGTCAAAGCCCTCGCCGTCGTCCGACTCGTTCTCCGAGTCTTCTTCCTCCTGGGGCTCCTTCTGGATCTCCTGGAGCTGCGTCACGGCGCCGACAAGGAGGCCCTGCAAGTGCGGCTGGAGCGTCGGCGGCAATTCGGCCAGCGGCAGCTTGAAGATCGCCATGAGGCCGAGCACCATCATCTTGCGGTCCATGTAGCTCTTGATGTTGGGGAGGTGGGTCATCCACGCGCGGAAGAGCGGGTCCGTCGCCTGGAACGACTCCATCGTCGTCAAGGTCAGCGCCGGGTTGTAGTTGAGCGCCGACGCAATCACGCCAAAGAGCGCGGTCACGACGTTCGTCTGGAGCGACCGCGACAGCTTGAGGCACGTGATCTGGACGATCATCGGCACGCAGACGCTGATGTCGTGGCGGAGGCAGTTGTGCAGAATCGAGTAGAGGAGGCGGCACGCCGCGACCAGCTCCAAGCTCTTGTCGCTCTCCTCGCCTTCGCTCGTCTTGAAGACGTGCGCAGCCATCTGGAAGACCATCTCGAGGTACGAGACGCGCGAGCCATCGACGCCGACAACGCCGCCGGCCAAGAACGCGTTGACGTCGAGGCCAATAAAGTTGTCAATGAGCGAGACGTAGTTGGAGATGTAGTCGGCGGCCCAGTCGTTGTACGACGAGAAGAGCTTGGGGAAGAGCGCCCACACCGACGGCGCAATCGACTTGGAGTGGTACGTGAGCGAGATCAAAATGTCGAGGCCCGACTCGAGGTACTCGAGGTAGTCTTCGCTCGAGAGGACGCGGTCGAGCACGGGCACGAGCGGCTCGAGGAAGAGCGGGAAGTACTCGGGCTGGTTGTGGATCGAGTACAAGATCGTGTTGACCGTGTCGAGGCACGACGCCGCCGTCATGCACGCTTCGTCGTCTTCGTCGCCCGACTCGGCAAACTGGAGGAAGCAGTCGACGAGCTTCTGGATGAGCTGGACCGCGTACGGGCCAATCTCATCGGCGAACGCATCGATGATGTGCTCGAGCGCGATGACCACATCGTCGTTGCCAATCTCGTCCATAAGGCTAAAGTACTGCTGCATAATGTCGGGCAAGAGCGGGCGCATGACGTCGAGCGCGGCCGTCGAGTGCTCGTACGTCACGATGTACCGGAGCGTCTTGGCGGCCTCGATCTGCACTGGCAGCTCCGGGTCCTTCATGCACTTGAGCATGCACTGCGCGATTTCCGTGACCGTCGTGTCGGCAAACGCAATGTCCGAGATGAAGTGGCCCGTAAACATCTTGCACGCGCGGAGACGGAGGAACCCATGCGAGTTATGAAACTCGGGCAGCACGTGCGTGAGGAGGAGGGTTTCGACCTGCGCCTTGTGCGCCTTGGACTTGACGAGGAGCTTGTCGAGCGACATGAGCCCATGGAGCACCGCGTCCTTCTGGACCACGTCGCGGGCTTCGACGGGCGCGGCTTGGTACGCGCTCAGAATCTGGTTGTAAAACATGAGCACATTCGAGAAACAGTCCTTCCCGCGGAGCGTGCAGAGCTCGTTGAGGAGGTCGCGGGCCGCGTTGACGGGCGAGAGGTAGTCCTCGAAGAAGTCGTTTGTCTTGCGCACAAACTCGTGCGGGTCTTCCTCCCAGAGCTGGAGATCCGACTTGGTGAGGCAGAGCGCCGGGTGCACCACTTCAAAGAGGAGGAAGTGCAGGTGCGGCTTGAGCTGCTTGAAAGCGAGCGACGACTTGACGGCCTCGTTGAGGTACGTGAGGCAGAGGTGCACGACGCGGTCGGTGCAAAAGTGGCCGTTCTTGCGCAGCGCCAGCGTCTCGAGGACGCCGGCGAGCATCGGCGGGTTGATGTTGGCGCGGTAAAACTTGGACATTTCCGCCAACTCTTCGGGCACGTGCTTCGGGTTGCCCCAGCGCATGTAGAAGCGCGTGAGGATCTGGAGGTTCCACTTCTTGACCTTCCACCACGGCCACTTGGCGCGCTCGTCTGCGTCCGTGGGCTGGCCGAGCGGCTCGACGCCCTCCGACGCTTCCGGCAGCCGCTTTGTGAGGAGCGTTCCGAAGATCTCCATCCACGCCGTGACCTCGGTCGTCGTCGCGAGCATCGGCGGGAGCGACACCTGCATGCACGACCAGTAGATCTTGAGGATGAGGTGGATCATGTGCGCGGCTTCGAGCGAGTTGTTGGTCATGAGCTGCGCGAGCATGCCACGGAGCATCGGAAACGTCACGCCGACGATCGTGTTGAGATCCGCGCGGTTCTATACAGGCGATCGATCGGTATGGAGCGCGTGGATGATAATGGTGCGTACCTCTTCGCGGCGGTACTCGTAGAGCTTGACGAGCTTGCGGAGCGCAAGGAGCGCCTAGACGAGGCACCATGAGATCGTTGTGGTATGGATTCGCAGCGTGGGCGTACGTTGCAGATGCGCGTGACGTCGCCCGACTGGACGTTGGTCGTGATCTCCGCCACGAGGCCCGGCCACTGGTTGGGGAAGTCGACGCGCGCAATCTGGCTCACGGCTTCGGCGAGGATCGCGCGCAGCGACCGGTCCTCCATGGTCAAGAGGCTCTCGAAGATGTGCTTGCGGTACTCGTCCTTATCGCTGTTGGGAAACACCGAGAGCATCGTGTTGTCGGCCTGGTTCACGCCCTCCCAGTGCTTGAGCACCATGTTCTTGAGCGCGACGGCGCCGGCCTGGCGAATTTCGCGCTGGACGTCCGCCGCCGAGACGAGCTGCGCGAGCAGCACGATCGAGCCGCGCACCGTGTGGAGGTTGGCAACCGCGTCTTCCGCGGCCTTGCGCGCACCGCCGTCGTTGCTAAACGTGTGCAGAAGGATGTTGTGCAGCGTCGGCGCGTCCATGCTCGTCGTTGCCTTCGTCGCGAATATGTGCCAATGGCTCGCCGAGGAAAGGCCCTGGCAGCTTATCCGGATGATGGCCGGCCGTTCGAACGGTGTGCCACTCACTGCCGTCCGAGCCAATTTTCCAGCCGCCACGCAGCTTTGGCACGAGCGCATGGGCCATGCACGCATAGCCGGTCGAGAATATGAGAGAGGAAGGCGAGGGCTCCTACATGTCGTCGGTCTCGGCATGGACCGGCGCCGCGGCAGAGGCGCGGCCTCGAACGGCCCGGTCATCCGGACGCCTGCCGATTGGACGAGCGTGTGATTGGCTAAAATTACTGGTGGCGGCGGCGTCCGGATATGCAACGCGCTTTGACTGGGACGCTAGCGGGTCCTCGAGCCGCTGCTGAAGGAGTAGCAAGCTCGACGCTGTGATGTAATCCATCGGACCAAGGCTATGGTAATGCTATTATTAATGCTGCATCGTGCTGCCGCTATGGGTATTACAATAACCCAGCGCTGGCACCATGACCCAGTTCGATGCACAGCGACCTTTCTTGACGAGTGGCAATGGCGCGTTGCAGTGGGTCTTCCTCTTCACGGTATCCTCGTATCCATCGTGTTCCGAGCGATCTTTGTGGATGCGTTTTCATGTGGCCACACTTGACTGTCTCGCAGCGACATGCTGCGCGCCATCACCAACGAGCGAGCGTCTGGTTCCTCGCCACCCTCCGCTGGTCCACGCTCGTTGGACCACAAGGCAACCTGGTGTTCACTGCATAGTCCATGCCAGTATCTAGCAATATAGATAGATATTGGCTTCGATATGGCCAGCCAGCGATGCACAACGTCGTTCCAGCGGCGACGCACGACCACATCTGCGACGCTGGGTGCATTTTGGCGGGAATGGCTGGCCACGCTCCGACATGATTCTTCTGCTTTTCTCGCGCGTAGCGTGTTTTTGAAGTACCTTGCCGTATTTTAACGTCGTTGGGCGCGGGTTTGTATGGGATCCTGTTTCCATATTTACGGTATATATCGTATTGACGGTACAATCGCCGCCACCTGGCGCGTGCAATTAAATTCGGCAGCTGCAATGTTCCAGCTGCTGCGCCGATACATTACGTACGTCGGACGCCGAAATTAAAATAAAATGGCGAGCCATACAAAGTTGAAGCCGTGGCTTTGTTTGGATATCATCGGTTTTGGAGGTCATTCTTCCATCCACCGCCACCATCGCCCGTCGCCGCGCCCTCGCCGCGGCCTCCGACGAGTCCTGGGGTTGTCCTCGTCCGCTCTGAGCCTTCATCTACCGCGCCTTCATCTACCTCATCATCGTCATCGTCATGCTGCTTCTCTCTCGCTGCGTCGCGTGTCGAGACGACGCGTGCGACTCGCCGCGCATGGACAGCCAGCTCCTTGGCCCGAGCTCGCCGTCGCGCAGAGACTTTGGCTACCAGACGCTCAACTTGTCGAGCCGCGCGCCGTTCCCGGAGGCGCCCAGCGCGCGTGACTTGTACCGCGCGAGCATGCAACAGCCTCGCCGCAGCACGGGCACGTCGCCGTTCTGGCTTGACCTCGACGTCGCGAGCCTCCCCGAGGCGACGCGTGGGCCGTGCGAGACGTTCTGCCAGCCGCAAAACTGGTCGTCTGCGTTTGCATCGCCTCTGGACTTTACGCTCAAGGCGTACGAGGCCAAGCCGTCGTCCAAAGGGCGGTACGCGTACACGCTCGCGATCGTGAGCCTCGCCAAGCCGAAGGACGAGCCGCACAAGGTACGCCATGCGCCGACACCGCCCTACTCGCAGCCGACGTACGCCAACCACTACAACAAGTACGTCGTGCACCCGCGGCTCTGCGACGCGTTCTCGGCAGCGTGCCACTGGTCCAACGCGTGGGTCAAGACGGAAAAAGTGCAGCACGTGGCACTTGTGCGCAAGACGGAGGCCGAGATCAAGTCGTTCGTCCACACCATGGCCTTTCGCCTGCCGGGCCACAACGTCGCCGCCATGTTCAAGCACAAGCTGTCCAAGACAACATCGCTTGAAGCCCGCGCCGAAGCCGTCGTGGAAGTGCTCTCGTACATCCTCAGCATCTCGCACCTCGGCGTCGACCGCCTCGTGCCGCTCAAGGAGCCCGTGCCGCAGGACATGCGCGTCCGGCTCTTCTTGGAGCTGGCGTGGGGCGCTGGCTTGGGGCCGACACCGACAGGCTCCAACTCGTGCGACGGTCGCCTCGAGTCGCGCGATCGGCTCGGCCTGCCCACCGAGTGGCTCATGGATATACTCAAGCCGTCGGCGTCGGCGTCCGCGCTGCCGAGCAAGTCGGTGCCGCCGCCCATGACGCTGCTGACGCCGCCGTCCTGTACGCTCTACGTGCCGCCGCACGAGTGGCGCAAGCGGGCCACGCCCGGTGCGTTTACGGTTCAAGTGTCCCATATCCACGTGACGAACGCGGTGCAGTATACGCTGACAGTCCTCTTCCACGACGCGTACGACTCGCCCGGGTCGGCCTCGGTCGCGCGCCGGTACAGTGACTTCTATGCGCTCGCATCGCATCTCGAGGCCAAGACGGCGCTGCCGGTTGTTGCCCTCCTCCCGCCCAAGACGCTCTTTGCGTCCACGGACGTCCGCTTTGTCGAGCACCGAAGCGTGCGCCTCCAGCAGTTCCTCAACGCCGTGCTGGGTCTCTCGTTCACGGGGATGCTCGACCAGATCATCTCGATGGCCGCCGAGCCGCGCGTCCGCGCCTTCTTGTCGCTGCCGGTGGTGCAGTGGAACGTCGTGCCACAAGCGTCCATGCCGCTGGATCGCATGGACCGCTTCCGCGCCTTCTCCAACTCGCCGACCGTGTCGAGCTCGGCGTCACCGGCCCGCAAGAAGCTCGCCGACGTCGACAAGATGCTCCGTGAGGCCGACCGTCATGATCATGACGACGACGACGACGATGACGCGCACCAGCTCGTCGCGCTCGAGGCGTCGCCCTATTTTATGCCAGCTCGGCGCGCGACCAACCCGCCCGCTGTGCGCGCCGGTGCCGCCTAATATAGTACTATAATACCTTATCTATTATACTCTACTAGAATACTACTCGTTTCATATGTCTACGCCATATTATTGTCGACGACGCAGTGTCACGACGAGCAACAACGTCACGTGACGGTCCACGGACCGCATGGTGCGGTCCACAGCTGCGTGTGACATGTGGCGTGAACAATCTGTCGTTTAGTATGTTTCGAAAGCGACTTCGTTTGATTCAATCCATGCAGCAGAAGCAATAGTTTAGCACATGTATACAAGATTACTAACGCCACGTGGCACGAGTGGGCGCATCTACTGGTCGTTGCCGATGCCCCGGTGTACCTCGTACACATCATCCGCGGTCGCGAACCCGGCACCGCAGGCAAAGCACCAGTGTTGACCACAGACGCACGTCATGTGATTGCAGCCGCCCGTCTTCTCTGTCTCGACAAAGCACCCGGGGCACACGTTAAGCTCGCCCCCTCCGTCGATGCACTCGTTGCAGCGGAACGTTTCGACGTCTACGGGAGGCTCGACAGCGCAGTTGCGCTCGGCCAGCTCCTTGACCTTGTAGCAGCCGAGGCACCAGCCATAGTACATTTCTGCGCACCACGTCATTTTGGAGGCGACAAGTGCACACGCTTGCCGGTTGTGCTTGCGGAGCACACCAAGCGTGGGCACCCGACGGCAGAACGGACACCCGAGGTTGGACGCAAGCACCATCTTGCCCGGCTGCACGGCACCGTACCACCGCGACAGGCATGAGTCGCAGCACTTGGTCGCGCAGCGTCCGCACGCCGAGTGGAGGGTGGCGAGCGAATGGTCTTCAAAGCAGAGGTTGCACACGTCTCGGAGAGCCTCTGTGAGCACCAGGCTGCGGACCTTGGTGACGAGCCCGTCGGCGCCATGGGCGCGCTTCCCGCCCACACGAACGTCGGGTGTCGACGACGGCGAGTCGTCCGTGGCACTCATGAGGTCGTCGTACTTGGTCGTGAACATCTTGAGAAGCGAGATCTTGGGGTCGAGGGCCATCGCCAAAAAGGCGGACGGCGACCGCGACCATCCGAAATGCTCGAGCAGCGCCGTGTTCTCCAGCACGAGCGCCGAGAGCGTCGTAAGAGACGCTTCCGTGTCCGACGGAAAGTATCCTGCGCGATCTTGACATGGCCTCGTGCCACGTCATTTATACGCGGTTTGTATCGGACGGCACGAATGTTGGTCCTGGATTGTTTCTCGATTCGGGAGCGATTGGCGAAATGCAATATGTTGATGCAAAGGGTTCAAGCCCTGGAGGCGTTGTCCCATTCTTCTCTTTCCCATCTATATACATGCGCAAAATGAATACTAGTATAAAGGATCCGCAACGTGCTCGCGGTATCTTTGTGGTACAAGGCTTCCCAGCGAAACACAGCTACAGCGCCGCCGTCGTCTGGTTCCACCGCCACAGCGTATTTAGTCGGGCGCTTGGATATGCAAGTGGTAGAGACAGCCAATAGCACACGGCCTCTGTTTAGTGGTCGTCAGGGGGATGCGTGTCGGAGAGAATTTGGTTCAATATTGTATACAAACCGCCAATGAATGACGTGGCATATAGATTCGACACTTTTTCGATCGCACAACATTGCTCCATACTCTAAAGGTGAGTGATGGTCGAACGCCTGGTGCTTTCAAGAACTGTCGACTTGTGCCCTTGGAGGCAGCACAGAGCTGCTACGGTCTTCTTCTTTGCCAGGAGCAAGGAGCTCAAGTCCAACGCAATCCACAGATCAGTGCAATTGAGCAAACATATCTCCCTATTAACAACGGCCAACGGTGCAGAAAGCACGCCACGTACTGTACCCTTTGCCTCCTATCCAATCCTTTCTAGAACGAAAGGCGTCTCTCTTTCTCGAAGAGCACTGAGTGAAGGTGACTACTCAAAAGCGAGCCGCATTGAGACAAGCATAACTCAATCGCCCGACAATGACCCAAACCAATACGACGACGACGCCAACGTGGCAAGAGCTCGCAGGCGACAAGCCGGAACTCGACCTCTTCCTCGTCTGCGACACCACAGGGTCCATGGGCACGTACCTGCCGGCACTCCAAGCCTCGCTGCGCCAGGTGTTTGCGCTCGCCAAGCTCATGTACCACGACCGCCTCAAGGTGCACATCGTCTCGTTCAAGGACTACTGCGACGGCGACATGGTCCTTTCGTCCGTGAGCCGACGCCAAGGACGCAACGACGCGATCGTCAAGTTCGTCGACGACTTGCGCCCGACAGGCGGCGGTGACTGGCCCGAGGCTGTTAAGACCGCACTCAACTTTGTGGTCGCGACCGTCGACGAGCTGCGGGCGCAGGCGGCGTCCGGCTCTGCCATCGTCTTTCTCTACACAGACGCACCGCCGCACCACGCAACGACGCAGTCCAACAACATGACCAAAGAGATGACGGCCATCGCTGCCAACCCGGCGTACCGCGCGGGCCACGACTGGTGCAGCATCCAAAAGACTCTGCGCGAGGCGGACATTCCCGTCTTTACCTTTCACTCGCCGCTTCGCAATGGTGCCAACGCCCATGCGTCGCCGTCGTTCTACGCCCTCTTGGGTCCTGTCGTCGTGCTGCCGACGCTGTCGTCGACCGTGATCACCAAAGCCACGATCGGCCTCCTCCTCCAGCTCATGGACGAAGAGGTCGATGAGATGCCCGAGTTTGCACGGACCTCCTACTTTCACGGAACGACGCCCTTTAACGAGACACTAATCGTGCCGAGTGAGAACGATCTCATCGACGACGACCGACGCGCTGACGCCAGTGCGCATGCCGTTCACGTTTGCATCGATCCCTGCCATGCACGAGCGCCTTGATGCACTCTTGCCGCTCTTTGCCCACGACGCGGGCTTCCGCAACCTCGTCATGAAGACATTCGAGGTGATTTTTCGACCCGACAACATTGCCGCTGTGACGTACAACCCGGTCTTTGGCAAGTTGTGGCGGCTCGCGTGCCGCCAGCGCTTGGATCCGCGTCTGGACGACCTCACGACGCAGCTCTCGCGCTGCGTGGACGCGCTGCCAGCCGATGGGAAAGCCCTCGTGCAAGAATGGCTCATCGCATCGTACGACGACTCGGCGCGTATCCAGGGACTTGTCGACGCCGCGCCGGCGGGAGCTGTCTTTGTGATGGCCGCCGGTGCGCCGACGGTCGCGGGCAAGCATCTGCGGTCGCTCGCACGGGCGCCGACTGCCGGCGCCTTGGCGAGTGTCACGTCGATCTTGAGCCACTTGCAGCTGTACGCGACCGCCACGCTGGCGACGGACGACGGCACACCGGGGTACCTGCCGTCGACGCTCTCGAACGACGATTTGTTTGCGTGTCTCCCGCACCTCGTGTGCCCCGGGACGTCGTTCAGCCGGCGCGGCGCGGCAGTTCTCGCGCTGCTGTGCTGTCTCTCGGACCATACGCTCCTCAAGGCGCGTGCAGAGGCGTACTTGGCATCGATCCGCGGCTCGTGGCTGCCGTTCGAGCTCGTAATTGAGTTTCCCGAAATCGTGTCAACCGAGTTCATCCAGCTCCTGTACCGCGGCCGGGCTCACTTGACCGAGCACGAGCAGGCCGTGTACACGCAGTTGTACCTCGTGCACCGGCTCCGGTGCGCGGCGACCAAGGACGTGGGCGTCACCCTTGGCTTCTCGCCGACCAAGACGCAGCTGTGGCCCGACACCAAGGCGCGTTGCCGCGTCTGCGCATACGAGACGAGCTGCTCGCTCATGGTCGAGGCGGATCTGTGCGCCATGTGCGTCACGTACGGCGATGACGCGCCGCGGCTCCAAGCCGAGACGGTCGTCGTTGGCGACACGTCGCACCTCGTGGAATGCGTCGACTGCCACGGCGTGTACGCGGTGCTCCAAGTGCACCAGCTCGCGACACACCCCAAGTGCTGGTACTGCCGGACCAACCAGTTGACGCCGGCGCCCAAAATCGAGTGCCATACGTGTCTCAACAGCTACGTGGACCCCGCGGGGCTCTACAAGCAGCAGTGCAACGACGACACTGATGGGCTCTGGACGTGCCCCGTGTGCGTCACCGCGCCGAGCCGGGGCACGGAAGCATCTCTTACGACGCTCTCGGCGCTCGTGCTGGAGAACGCGGCGCTGCTCGAGCATTTCGGATGGTCGCGGTCGCCGTCCGCCTTTTTGGCGATGGCCCTCGACCCCAAGATCTCGCTTCTCAAGATGTTCACGACCAAGTACGACGACCTCATGAGTGCCACGGACGACTCGCCGTCGTCGACACCCGAAGTTCGTGTGGGCGGGAAGCGCGCCCATGGCGCCGACGGGCTCGTCACCAAAGTCCGCAGCCTTGTGCTCACAGAGGCTCTCCGAGACGTGTGCAACCTCTGCTTTGAAGACCATTCGCTCGCCACCCTCCACTCGGCGTGCGGACGCTGCGCGACCAAGTGCTGCGACTCATGCCTGTCGCGGTGGTACGGTGCCGTGCAGCCGGGCAAGATGGTGCTTGCGTCCAACCTCGGGTGTCCGTTCTGCCGTCGGGTGCCCACGCTCGGTGTGCTCCGCAAGCACAACCGGCAAGCGTGCGCACTTGTCGCTTCCAAAATGACGTGGTGCGCAGAAATGTACTATGGCTGGTGCCTCGGCTGCTACAAGGTCAAGGAGCTGGCCGAGCGCAACTGCGCTGTCGAGCCTCCCGTAGACGTCGAAACGTTCCGCTGCAACGAGTGCATCGACGGAGGGGGCGAGCCCAACGTGTGCCCCGGGTGCTTTGTCGAGACAGAGAAGACGGGCGGCTGCAATCACATGACATGCGTCTGTGGTCAACACTGGTGCTTTGCCTGCGGTGCCGGGTTCGCGACCGCAGATGATGTGTACGACCACTTGTACGAGGTACACCGGGGCATCGGCAACGACCAGTAGATGCGCCCACTCGTGTCACCTGGCGTTAGTAATCTTGTATAAATGTACTCCAACTTTTGTTTATGCTGCATGGATCGTGTCGACCGCTACCATGGCGCTGCACCAAGTAGCATGCGATGAATGAAAGCCCTCGTCTTCCAGGGTCCGTGCCCCGGTGCACACCACGGTTTCATGACGTGGCATCACAGAGGAGGACCCAGCACGTACAAAAGGCCGAGCTGGAGACACCCGTGCACACGCCGCAGGACGACGCATATTGTATTTTCCGAAGCTCTATTTTGCCTCGTTGAGAGGACAGGTTAGTCTCAGCTACGCCACCGCGCAGCCTTTCGTCCTCGGGAAGCAAAATAGCCGAAACGCGTAACCGATTTCGTTCATGGCCGCGGAAGCATGAAGACCGAAGACGGGATCTGGGGCATGGCGTCGCTCTGGCGGCAGCGAGGCCCCAAGGCGGTCGTGGGCATTATCGACACGGTATGTACGATGGACTTGTATCGCGCTACCTACATCTCGATGCTAGGTCTTTCTGCACGGCCAAAAGCCGGGCCAATGGTTCTTTACGTGCAAAACCGGCGAAGTGTTGCGCAAGAAGAAGCTTTCGGAGCTCGTCGAGCGCTTTGTGCGCATCGCGCGCGCCAACGAGCGCAACGTCAACGGCCACATTTGCGTCGCACGCCGCGCCGACGGCTCTGGCGTCGTCTGGGACCACGCCTCATTCCTTCGGGCACTCGACGCGCCGCTCGATCCCGACATCCTTGCGCTTCAAGTACGGCCATCCATCCTTCTTTGTATCGAGTGGATAATCGTCCTTGTCCTAGCCATTTGTGTGCAGTCGCGGCAGCCTTGGCGCGATCTACCGCGTCGACATGCGCGCGTCCTCGGACCGGGCACGCCCCATCTTTGCAACGCACAAACTTGCTCAGCACCAAATGCAATCCGACGAGCCGGTGATTGCACTGGACGCGCCGTTATCTGGCGTCAAGTGCCACGCCAAGCCCATCAACGCCCGCCTGCATCAGATTACAATCATGCTCAGTCGTCACATCGAGGTGGGTCTCCTGAGGAAGATCTTCCTTACTCGCGACATTCATCCTCTACGTAGGAGGTCCACGGTTGCGCGGTAAAGGAGCTGACCGCCGACTACCTCTTGGACGACGACAACCAGGTACATTTACAACGTATAAAACCAACGAGACCCAAGGCATTAGATCTGGCTCGCGTGGATCCCGTCGGTGAGCTACGTTCGGACGGCACGGCGCGTTGGCAGCGACCACTCCATCGACGTCGACGAGCCCTACGACGCTCTCGGCCGCACGGGCCAAGAAGCCGTGTTTGACCAAGCCGAAGATGCCATCGATCGGGCGCTGACGCCGGCGACGCATTTCAGCCTCAAACTCGCGACGCAGGGCGAGCCGCCGCGCGTGTTTCCGACGCCGTTCAAGTGCAGCGGCGACTTCTGCGCCTACGACCTCGCGTCGCCGGCGCCACTGATCGCCGACGTCGAGGTCAACGGTCTCCCGACCTCTCGCCGGAATGCGCACGCGCTCTTTGAACCCGAGGCCGTCGCCGCGCTCGGGTACGCCAAACTGCACGAGCTCCACGGCAACTCGGTGCGGCAGCTCGCCAACGCGGCGCCCGACCGCCTGCAGTTTACGCTCACGTACAAGTCGATCGCGCTGGCCAAGACCAACAAGCAGCGCCTCCTATCGGCGACGACCGTGCCAGCGCCGGTAGGGCGCCAAAAAGCCTACTTGGCACCGACGGCCACGACGTCGATGCGTGCAAATCTGAGTAAGCTCTACGGCGAGCTCGATGGCGGCACGGCCAACTACTACCGCCAAGTCAAAGTGTGTCGCAACTGCTTTGCCGTCTACTCCCTCCTCGACGCTGCTCGGTGCGACGCCAAGAGCGTAGTGTCCTTGGAGACTGACGGCGCGTAGACCGCTCCTGGACGCGCTCGCCTCCAACAACAACAACAACCACAACAACGAAGCGACGTCGAGCCGTGACGACGTCGAGAAGCGAGGTCGCGTCACCGCCGTCAGTGACAACCACCAAGCACCCAAGCTTCCGCGGCTCTCATCGTCGAGTCCCCGGACAGGTATGCGAGGCGCAATCAGTCGGTGGTGTACCAAACACACTGCGTAGTCGACGCCGGGCTTCGAACGAGTGCAAGCATGCCGCAGCTTGGAAAAGCACTGCGGAAAGTATCACCAACAAAGCCCAAGCCGTGGCGCCAATCAAAAGAAGAGACCGACGTCACCAAGTCGTTCGAGGTATCTTTCTAGAGCTATCTATGTCCGTCTACCTAACGCATGCCAGGACTTTGTCGGTCTCGATGGCTACTTGCGCGGGAAGGACCGACGGCGCAAACACAAGCCACTCCGTGAAAACGCCTTGTTTCCGAGCGGCCTCCCACTCAAGTCGGCACCCGTCAATAATGTCGACAGTGGTCCCTCGGTCTTGCTCATCGACACGGACCAAGATCGGATTCAATGCATTTTGGACGCACTCGAGGCATACGAAGTGCAAGCCCTGTGCGACGGCGCGCTCGTATGCGCTTGGAACACCCCAACACCTGTCATAATAGCACGTTTCTAGGGCCTCAAGGAAGCGCAGTCCCGTCATTTTGACGTCATTTTGTGCCACCGCGACGCACCGAGCATGCACGCACTCGAGTTTACAAAGCTCCTTCGGCAACACGAGATCCAGCACAGCATCGCGCTGCATGCGCCCGTGCACCGGTCGCCGATCGTGTGCATTACCGAGCACACGTCGCCGGAAGACCTCCGCGCCTACATGGACGTGGGCATGGACGGATGCCTCAGTTTGCCGCTCGATCTGTCGGCGTTGCGCCACACGGTCGACGCGGCGATCGCGTCGATCGTAAAGCGTCGGCGCCAGCACCCACGTTGCATGCGCTCGTGGCCGGTGCGAAAACGAGCATCGTTGCCGAGTCGAAGCGCCGACGCCCGGTCAAGCGAACGACGTCGACGGTGGCGTCGGTGCACCCGTTTCCGGTGCCATCGGCCACCGACGCCCGGACGTTTGCCGGTACCTTTCAGATGGACGTCGACACGGCGATGCCATTTCTCATTCTCAATCGCCCGAGCGCCGCTACCTCGACGCTCTTCAACCTCGTGGTCGTCCACGATATCTTTGATACGCTAGAGCGACTGCAGATCTTTCTCGCGCCGATTCTGCGTCGGTACGACGCCGCGCAGGTCCTCCTGTGGAACTACCCAGGCCAGGCGAGTACGACATGGCGCCCCGGCGTCGTGCTCAACAACGTGTACTTGGCGTCGTGCCTCCAAGCGCTACTTCGCCACGGTACACTAGTCTGCTCTTTTCAACAACATTTTTTAATCTCGACATCTCTTCTCGCCTTAGTGGGACCGGACGTGCTCGGCGAGTTCAAATCAGCGCCTTTCCTGCTGCTCGGGTACGGCAATGGCGTCCCGATTGCGCTCCAGTACTGCGCGCTCGCGCCGTCACCGCAACTCCGCGCCCTCGTGAGCGTCAATGGCTTTGCCCACGTCGATCCGACGCTGGCCGCCTTCTTCCACGACGCACTCAAGGTGTTTGCTTGCTCGCCAGCAACGCGGCCGGACCTGCCCGTGTACTTTCACGCCCGGTTTCTCTTCTCTGGCGCGTATCTTGCGACTGTCTCGACACCGCTCGCTCTCAACTTGTACACGGCCGTGAGCAACTCGATCTCGCTCGAAGGTCGCGTCGCGCTCTGCTTGGGCGCCCTTAGCCACATCGACATGCGCGAGGCCCTACAGAAGATCAACGTGCCCACGATCTTTGTCGCGGGCGCGCAAGACGGCCTCGTGCAGCCCAAGCACGTCGAGACGTGCGTCGCGTCGCGCGGGGGGCTCGTCGACTCGATTCACAAGGCGCTCGTCCATAGACGCTCGAAAGCTTGTGTTGTCTGGTTCGACGCGGGCCACGAAGTGTGGCAAGAGTGCAAGCCGGCAATGGCCACGCTCATGGAGCAGCTCATCACGGGCTTTCACGAGACGCACGACATGCTACTTCCGGCAACAACGACACCGTCAATCTCAACGTCAACCTCAAAGTCAAGTGCAAAGTCAAGTGCAACTTCAATGTCCAAACCGGCACATGTGCCACAAAGTTATGAAGACCACTTTATCAACAAGATTATGGGCACGATGAGCGACGTCAAGGCCGCGCACCATGTGGGCGACGCGTCGTGGGCCGCGTACCAAGAGGCCCACGCAAAGTCCGCGCACCCAAAACAGAGTACGAAGGCGGCCTCGAAACCGAGCGCGCCGCTCGACCTGACGTTGGATCCGATGGCGCCCGCGTTTGAGCGTGAAACCAACCGCATCTACAAGGCCGGCGACGGCAGCCGCATCTACCCAAGCGACCGCAAGGACGTCAAGGAGTACATGAACTGGCGCGTCCAGCGGAATGCCACGCGGCTCACTCGCATGGACCGCGCCGCGCGGTCCATTCAAAGGGCGTACCATGCGTACCGGGCTCGAACCCTCGCGCACCGGGTCGCCCAGCACAAGGCCGCGCTCCGCATTCAACGCGTCTACCGCGGTTGCAAAGGCCGCGTTCTCGCGGCTATTCGCCGCAAGGAAGACTGGGCGGTCCGGCTCGTCCAGCGCGCGTGGCGGGGCAAGGCTGGCCGCGATATCTACGCGCTCCGGAAGCGTCAGCGTGCGAGTGCGATCGCGATTCAAGCGGTCGCCCGCGGCTTCCTCGGACGTCGGCGCGTCCGTCATTTGCGCGCGCGCCGGTATGCATCGGCGTGCATCATCCAGTCGTTGTTCCGTCGGCTGTATGCCATCAAGATTGCACAGCGCCGGCGTCTTCAGCGCACGTCGGCCATGGCGATTCAGGTACTCCTCGGTGCACGCATGTTGATAAATGGCACTAACAACATCGGGTGTCTAGCGCATCTACCGGGGCCGGCTCGGGCGCAAGCGCTTTGCCGCCGAGAAGGACAAATACCTCTACTCGAAAGCGCAGTCGCAGAACATTGATTTTGGCAAGCAAATGCTCCTCGAGTACAAGCTCTATGGCACGCGCCTCCAGAGCGAAGTGCAATTGCTGCTCAACGAGAAGGGCCGGACCGAAGCATCGGTCGATGCGCTCCTGAAGGAGATCTCCGAGTTTGAAGAAGGCGTCCACGTCCTCGAGACGGAGATGCACGCCCTCAGCAAGATCGAGACGGAAGCCACGGGTGTGCTCGACGAGCAGGCCAAGTGGCAGCTCCGCGAGCAAAAAATGCGCCTCGACCGCGAGTTTGGTCACATGCTCAAGAAGATTGCGGACCGCCGCGAGAAGCTCGTCGTCCTCGGCGCATCGCTCACGTCGCTCGACCAAGCGCGCCATGCCAAGGAGGAGGACCTGCGCGGTCTCGAGCGCAAGCTCCTCCTCCTCCTCGAAGACCAGCAAAAGCAACTGCAAGGTACCGGAGCATCGTAGCAAAACGCAATCGCACTACGTATGGACTAGGCATCAAGGCCAAGCAGGCCAAGCGGTCGCAAGTGCTTGTCGACATCGCGGGCGGCGTGACCGAGCCAGGGCCTTTGGGCGCCGATGGCGCCGGCCCAGTGGCAGGCCCGGCGTCGACGGTGAGCCCCGAGCAGCGCCAGGAAGCCAACGCCCTCATGGAGTCGACCGAGACCATGATGAAGTTTGGGTTCATGTCCATGTCCATGACGTACTTTAGCAGCATGAATATGATCAAGGCCATGCGCCACATTGGCGCGCACCACACCTTCCTTGAGAGCGCGGCGGCCATCCACCAAGCTGGCGCCACTCCCTCCATCCTCGGCGCGCCGTCGCCCTTCCAAGCGACTGCGCCGCCCGGAAGCTTCCCGGGGCAGCAGCCGCTGCTCGTGAGTGCGTGGAGCGTCCTCGACGTCGGCCGCTGGCTCGACACGATGGCGCTCGGCACGTACAAGCAAGCGTTCGCCGATGGCACGGTGGACGGCGCGCTTCTCTATGATCTCAACGACCACGTACGACGCGTCATCGTCACCGCTGTCGTTGAGTTGGTGGTGTCACGTAGGACCTGCGCTACTCGCTCGGCATTGAGCACGACTTGCATCGGAAGAAGATCCTCCAGGCCGTCGACCGGCTCAAGGCGGCCGAGGGCAAGACCAAGGAGCGCTTGTACGCCGCCGCCGACGCCCCGTTGTCCTCGTTGCCGGACGCATCACCCTCGGCGACACCACTGGCATCAACCTCGGCGACACCAGCAGCAACGACCCCGGCACCTCAAGGGGCACCCCTCGACGTTGATCCTGGCGTGCCCAAGCTCGCGGTGCAATTCGAAGAGCTCTGCTCCATGGCGCGCAACGGCAAGCTGAAAGCGCTCAAGGAGGCGCTCGCGCGCTGGCCCGACGCGCCCTTCGATAAGCTCAGCGTCAAATCGCAGTGCGATCTTGGTGTCGGGACCGTCTACGACGACAGCCTCGCGCGCCTCGCGTTCCACGTCAACTTGAGCGACGACCATGGCAACACGCTCTTGATGCTCGCGGCGCAGAACAATGGGCTCAAGGTCGCGCAGTTCCTCCTCTCGAAAGGCGCCAATCCCAACCATCAAAACAAGCAAGGCCAGACCGCCGGCCACTACGCGATGGCGTACAACTTCTTTGACCTCGGCGCGTGGCTCCTCGACCCGGACAAGGGCGGCGGCCGCGACGACCTCCCCAATATGCACGGGCTCACGGCCTACGACGGCCTCGGGTAGCGACCGCCACTTGTTGATAAGTTATTGAGATTTGATGACGCATGTTGTGGTTGATTCAGCCAAGGTGACAAAGCTATAAGTTCCTCCATGTCGATGGACGCGAGGGCGGTCATTGATCATGACCGAGCGTCTAATCGACTGCCTTATTTACCAAGTGCATCCATATCCGTGCTCATGTGCTCTTGGTGCCATGTTGACACGGCGCGGACGATGGGCATGGGTGCATGGACGTGAGGCGCCGTGACATGGACACGGCCGACGTGGGTGGCGTGGGGCTGGGATGCAACGCCACGGGCAGCCGCTCATCCACCTCGTCGTTGCATCGAGTAGTGTAAAATAGGTTTTTTGATAGTAGTTTTATCTAAGAGATAGAATTCGAGGCCTAATCCGAGTCCGTTTACTCGACGTCCTGGACGTTCATGTCGCCCTGGTTGGCGTCAGCGTTGTCGGGTTCCTGGTCCGACGTCCACAGCGTGAGGTTGTCGCGGAGGAGCTGCATGATCAAGGTCGAGTCCTTGTACGACTCTTCCGAGAGCGTGTCGAGCTCGGCAATCGCGTCGTCGAACGCCTGCTTGGCGAGGTTGCACGCACGGTCGGGCGAGTTGAGGATTTCGTAGTAAAACACCGAAAAGTTGAGCGCAAGGCCGAGGCGGATCGGGTGCGTGGGCGGGAGCTCGGCCATCGCAATCGTCGACGCCTGCTTGTAGCTGTCGAGGGCCTTGTCCGAGCTCTCCTTGCGCTCGTCGTCGACCTGGAATTCGGCGAGGTACCGGTGGTAGTCGCCCTTCATCTTGTAGTAAAACACCTTGCCTTCCTCGCTCGACGAGTTGGGAATCAAGTTGCTCTCAATGATCTGCAAAATGTCGTTGCAAATGTTGACGAGCTCGGCCTCGATCTTGAGGCGGTAGTTCTTGATGTGCTCGGCGCGCTCGACGTCGCCCTTGTTCTCGATCGACGAGATCACGCGCCAGCTGGCACGGCGCGACCCGATCACGTTCTTGTAGGCCACCGAGAGGAGGTTGCGCTCCTCGACCGAGAGCTCCACGTTGTGGTTGTTGGCGACGGCCTTCATGTGGTCGACCATCTCGTCGTAGCGCTCGGCCTGTTCGGCGAGCTTGGCAAGGAAGACGAGCGAATCACGGTCCATGGTAGTTCTTAGAGCTGGGGGTAGTCGACGTAAGGCGGAGGCGGCAAATTCGGGACTGAGCCCGATTTATAATAATAGCTCGCCCCCGCCGGACCTCTGATTTCAGCCAATCCGAGGCGCGGATTCCGCTTGGATACCAAAACCAAGTCAAAAACGAGCCATACAGCGTGCTTGTTCTCGAAAACGCCGCGAGATTCGCAGTCGTCAGTGGCGTCGCACTTACGCAGGACTATACATTTGGCAAGGTATGGGAAACGCACTTCTCAGGGTGTATACAAACATCAAGAGAGTGGCGAAACGTGGGGTGGCGAGAAATTTAAAAAGAGTGTGTGTATTTTAATCCGCACGAAGCTCGCTTCAAGGTGGTATTTTATGACGTATCGTTTGTATCAAGATTGAATATTACTCGACCCGCGGGGGTTGGATTTTTATTGTATGGGTTTTTATATACAGGATTTGGGGCGGTTGAATTTTGGAGCCGTTTCCGCCACTTCGTCGTTCTTTTTTCAGTTTCACACGGCCGGCCTTTCGTTGAAGTTGTCCCGGCGCACGGTTCGCGTCATTTAGTTAGTCGATGGCGACGTCGAGTCGTCGAATTCGCACGGCAAGAGGCCACAGTGGTGGTACCGACGGTAGAAGGACAAGAGAGGGCGAGTAGGGGCGAGCCGCGCGAAACATAGATGCCGAGGCTGTCGCGGGTGAGGTTCACGCTGGCTCCCACCGTTACACTGCGCGTCGAGCGGTCGTTTCGATGCCGAAAATAACACGCGCGAGGGCGCGCCGGTGCAGGGGTTTCATCGTATTCGTACTGGGAATAGATACCACCTCGTGTAGTAGGAACGTGCCTGAAGCGGGCGCCACGACAACGGGTGGTTCAGACGCTAGCGTGCCGTGCATCGGTTTCGACGGACGCCGTTGGGTTTAGTCGGTGGCATCTGCCATATTTAGTCGAACCTCTCATTTTGAATGCAGCTAGAATACCTACATTCTGATCCGGATACACTCGACGGGAAACCCGTAGCATTTTATTTCGCACGGAGACACCAGTCATGGGGCGCTACACGACGGAGCAGACGTACACGGACAAGGCGGCGACGGTCGGGACCGTCCCGTATGAGGTCGTCAAGGAGAAGGAGGAGGCTGCGCCTGCGCCGGCGGAAGCGTCCAAGGAGTCCAAGGAGTCCAAGGAGCGCTTCAAGTTCAACCGCGTCGACAATGTCGCGGGCAGTACCGCTGGCGCCGGCAGCGGCGAGTTCCATATGTACCGCGCGGCCCGTCGCCGCGAGATGGAGCGCGTCGGTGCCATGGAAGCCGAGCACAAGAAAAAGATGGAAGACTTGGCCTTCCAGGAGAAGCGCAAGCGAGCGCAGGCCGAGCTCGAAGAGAAGACGCGCCAGAAAGCAGCCAAGCGCCGCCGCAAGCAAGAGAACGCCAAGGTGAAAAAGATGATGGGCGCCGACGCGACCAAGGACGAGCCACTGGACGTGACGCCCGACGTAATGCCGGGTGGCGTGCCCGAGATCCCGAACGACGGCTCGTTCTTGGCCAAGCTCCTTGCGCAGCAGGCGGCAAAGGACGCGACGCCATCGACCGATGCAGCGACGGCTTAGATAGATGGCGAGATACGAACGACGATATGTAAGCCGAGGTCATGTTGCTATATTTATGCCCATGGAGTCCTCTTCTAGTTAAGTATCACGCTGTATGTACATGCACCGACAGAGACGACGAGTGGCCGTGTCTACAGGAGGGCCGCAAGAAGCGCTGCCGACACGACCGACACGACCGACGCTGTCGTTGCGCCCGACGTCGTCGTTGTCGGGCCAGCGTCGGCCGGCGCCTTGGTCGAGGTCACGGGTGCAGGCGTCGGCGCTACCGTCGGCGGGGCCGTGAGGTTGGCGTACTGCGTGCAGAGCGTGCTGAAAAAGTCCTTGGCGACGACGCGCTGGCCGTCAAGGTCGAACGCGCAGACTGGGAGGCGGATCGAGAGGTACTTCTGGGCCACGCTCGAGCACTCGGGCACGGAGCAGAACGCACTGAGCTGGTCTTGGGTCGGGCGGCTCTTGGGCACCGGCACAAAGTTGTAGCCGGACGCGCGCGCGCAGTCGTTGAGGTTGCCAATGATCGGGCCAAAGCCGAGAGCGACCGAGCCTTGGTCGCAGTCGTACTGCAGCGCGTCTTGGGACTGCACGCAGGCAGCCGCGAGCGCAAGCAGCATCGGCGTCGTTGTCTTCATGATCGAAGTTAAGAAATGAGTTCTGAGACTGGAGCGAAAGCCAGCGTCGTCGGCCATCTGGTCCAACATTGCGGGGGACTGACCACCGCCATACAAACCCACCGTGTCGCGCGCTGTCCCAAGTTGATGGGCAAAGACAGGAGGTTCAAAAAAGAGAGCTCGGATGGCCAGTAATGCGCTGCAGCCTCGGCGGTTGTGCCAACGTGAGCTAATAACACCTATCCCAAGTCTGGTAGACGCATCTGGTAAGCGCTCGACTCGAGTTTGGGCGATGCTCTCTCGAACTCGTACCACCTTGTACTGCTGACCATCCGCCGGCCAGCGCGCCGGCAGAGGACGCAGCGATTCTTGCTGCGTTTGGATTGGTCCGCGATACTGAATTCCTGGACGACAAAAGAATACATACCGCCACATGCTGCCGCCACGTCATGGCCCCATCCACGGCTGGAGCTGGACTACCAAATGTACACCCACAAAGGTCGTCTGCAGTGTAGTTTGACTCGGCACAACAATGAGAACCAGCCAACACACTGTCCTACTTGCAGCGCCCAGGCGTTCTGCCAACGACCTCCCACGCTATCGACGTCGAGGGACGGTGATTTCGGTGCAGCGGACGCAGTGCTTTGGCGGCCAGGGTATCAAACGATAGAAGCCACCGTGTCTTCGCCCCACGACGTTATCAGGCAAAGGACGAGCTACTGCCCATGGGCGACCGCTCGAACGTTCCGCTGCTGTTGTTGCGCGGGAGGTACGGGCGCGGCGGGACACCCGCTGCGGCGGCATTCGTCGCCATCATCGGCGTCGTCTACTCGCGAAAGTGGATCAGAACCAGATTCGACGTGCACCACATCTGGCCACACCAGAGTCATTACCTGGTAATGGTACGGCGCGTCGTCGGCGCGAAGGAGCGTGTGGGCTTCGTCCAGAATCGCGTCCTTCCCGCTGCGCGCCGTCGTCGACGTGGTCGCGGCCGTGCGATGCGTAAAGTACAAGAGGAGGCTGCACGGGAGGAACTCGCTCAGAATGTACACGCCGAGCTCAAAGATATACGGGTCTAAGCCCGCTGGCGTTCGGTACTGGTCGTGCCACGACGGGATCGCGGCCGTCGCCATGCAGAGGAGGTAGATGCCCAGGCCGAGGAAGAGCGCGCAGCACATGGCACAGATAAGCATGATCTACGAGCCGTGCACGATGAGGACGACGACGAGAAGCAGCAGTAGGGATTACCCGGCGGACGACGATCTGGCGCGGCGTGAGGCCACGGAACGATGCATGCGTCGAGACGTCCATGTCAAAGAAGAAGTCATCTTCGACGTGCGTCGACTTGAAGAAGACGACGAGGCGGCCGCTGTAGTAGAGGATCGCGAGGAACCCGCAAATGTAGAAGCAGCCAAGACCGCCTTGCGTCCACTTCCAGAAGCTACCGGTCGAGTGGGTCGCAAACATGAGCACGACAAAGCCGACGTAGAGGACGAGGTTGCAGGCAAAGTACGCGGCCTTGTGGAGCGGGAAGCTCAGGCCATAGCAGGCGGTGCACAGCTGCGCGTAGAACAAGATGAGCAGCGAGTACGTCGAGACGAAGAAGAGACATGGGAGCAGCGAAAAGATCGACGACTAATGCAAGCCATTTTGAGCCCGACGCGCGAGGGCGAGTACGTACCACCCATGCAATGCTGGCGTTGGTCGAGTTCTTGCGCGGCAGGAAGGCGAGATCTGAGTCGCCAGGCGAGAGCGAGAGGGCGACGAGGTCGACGCTCAAGCTCACAAGGCGGGCGCTGGCTGCGATGAGGAGCAGCACGAAGAAGCGCTTGCGCGTCTCGGCGCCCGCCGAGATCTCGCCCATCTCTAGCTCCATGGCGCCGGCAGCATGGCGCGACTCGCCGCGGAGGGCGACGAAGGCGCAGATGCTCAGGCCGAGAAAGAGCCCGATGCCGGGGAGGAAGACCCACGAGAGGACGTCGACCATCGTCTCGAAATTGCGTTTCTACTTGCTTTGGGGCCGGGCGAAAGTGGCGTCTTTTTAGACCACCTCATACAAATACCAAGTTACACGGCGTGGATCCCTGCATTCTGGACCAGGCGGAACGAGCGATGAGCCATGGCCGACGCGTAGGCGACGACGAGCATGCGCGATGGGTGGAGCTTTGGCGAGGCGCTACGGACGCCGGCTCGGACGATTGCGTAGTTCGGTCGCTGAACCCAGCCATGGTGGTGCTAATCAGGCGAGCTCGATGGCACGCAGGACGTGGCCACGAGGACGACAAGTGCAAGCAAGGCTGGTCGCCGAGCCCTCGTGCAGGAGCATGGCATGGCCGTGGTAGCATTCGGGTTGTATGTGTAGCATCATACAGCAGCCCACGAGATGATATGTATCTGGCGTCAGGAGTGGCGAGTTCCCATCGCTGTCGGGCCACTGTTCTAGCCTGTACATGCTGTTCGCTCCTACGTAAGTGGAGGAAGCATCCATTTGCGCAATGCGCTACCTCGTTGCGTTCTCCTCGGTGCGGTAGTATACGACAGCTACACGCTGTTGCAACCTGCCGTGCGAACGGGAGATTCGAGTGAGCGACTGCGTCAACTACTCTGGACGCGCTTCTGGACCCCCATGAGCATCGAGCGGCTTTGCTAGAGGTGCTCACCCATCTCAGGTACGTACATACACTGCAGCGCCTTTCGTTGGCAAGCTGTAGAGCCTAAAGCATGCAGACGAGTATGCGCCTCTAAAGTTTAGACGCATACTACACATGACATGAAGAAAGACTTCGTCGTCGATTGCGCTAGGTGCAGCGTGTGCATCGGTGTTGACGAAACCTTTGAACGCGCTTGCTACATACCCAGGTCACGCTCGACCACCGAGCCTTCCGCGATGTGCGTGGATGTCCCAAACCATTTCCGAATCCGAGCTCGTCTTCATCATCTGCATCGTCTACCTCGGCGCTTGCGATTTGTGTCTCCAGGCTCATCTGCGCTTGGCAAATGCCATGGCTTCCGTCTACCGTTCGGACGAGGACGACCACTCTGGTCGGTATTAGCTTCCGGACAAGAAGACGTCGACAGGCCCTTCTCGTCGCATCTTGCAGCACTGGACAGGCGACCTCGGTTCGCATCCTTGCGCTTCTGGCTCGTCCAACACTCAGCCTGAAGGGGTCGATCGACTTGTGGTACGAAGCATTTGCCGCCGGGATGTCCTTGGTTGCATAAAACGAGCGCACTCTGCCTTTTCTTGCGGCCTTCGTGGCCATCCAACGCCGGCTGGCGCCAGAGACCCGGCGGCTGCAGGGGCCCCGCGAAGATTCCTTCGCCATCTCCTTGTGGCACGCTGCGACATGTCGGTTTCCTCGCATCTTACTGGACGGGAACGGACACCCACGGGTGCACGGGCCTACGTCATCATTTCATCGCAACGCACCAATCAGACGCCGCGCCGCATACCTGGCACAAAGCCATTGGGCGACGACCACCACGCGCGATGTGGCGGAACTCGTCCGCTACAGCTACTCGGCTCCTCGTCATCGTCGCACGCCCAAGATTCGCTGCATGTAGCCATCGTTGGCGGCTGCCTTGCGTCTTGGGTTCATCGCTGCCGGTCCCCAAGCTCCGAGTCGCAAGGCGGCGAGAAGAAGAGACACACACCGTTTGCCGCCCAATGACTCGATCCTAGCACGTGTTCTTTGTCCTACGTCGCTGCGTCTATATGCAGCTCGCTGGAGCCACGCAACGCTGTCTCGACCGAACGTCAAACTCAGTTGACGCCCATATAACCGTCTGCAGACCAAGAGCGTCCGCATCATTCCTCGTCGATGTCGACACGACGGCGGCGTTCTGCTGCTGCTTGTGGCTCAATCTGCTTGCGGGGGCTCGGCAAGCCCGATGGGAAAGCACTGCGCGACTGTATACCGGCTGCCGTTCCCGTCAAGCGCAGGTGGCCGATGACGTTCCGCCGTCCCCTACCCCGCCTCTCATCTGATTGGCCAAAAAGATGACGTCAAAGTTGCCGCGCTGCCCCGGAACCCCTTTTGACGCGGATCGAATTTTCTGATTGGCTGAAAAGCCCCTACCCCGTTGGAGATCCCCTATCTACGATACAGTATACTCATACTGAAAACAGTATGTTTACCAAACACGTATCCGGATAGTCATCACAAATCCATGCCAAGAGTCGAAGTCTCATTTAGCAACTTGGCGTGTGGCAGACGAAGCAACTCACATGGCCGCCGAACTCACGAGCCTGCGCAAGGCCCGCGCCGACAGCCGCGTCCTGACCTTCACGAGCATGGCCCATTACGTCGAGGAGATGCACGGCAAGCGGCCGGTCACGAAGATGCTCATCGCCAACAACGGTATCTCGGCGGTCAAGGCCATCCGCTCGATCCGCAAGTGGGCGTACGAGACGTTCGGGAACGAGCGCATGGTACAGTTCGTCGTCATGGCGACGCCCGAAGACCTGCGCGCCAACGCTGAGTACATCCGCATGGCCGAGCACGTGGTCGAGGTGCCCGGCGGCTCCAACAACAACAACTACGCCAACGTCATGCTCATCGTCGAGCTCGCCGAGCGCTTTGAGGTCGACGCCGTCTGGGCCGGGTGGGGCCATGCCAGTGAGAACCCGCTCTTGCCCGACAGCCTCGAGAAGACCGCGCGTAAGATCCTCTTTGTCGGGCCCTCGGGCAAGCCGATGCGCGCGCTCGGCGACAAGATCGGGTCGACGATCATTGCGCAGAGCGCGCATGTCCCGACCATCTCGTGGAACGGCGATGGCATCACAGTCAACTACAAGGCGCTCAACTCGATCCCGGACGAGGTGTACGCGTCGGCGTCGATCAAGGACGTCGACCACTGCGTCGAGCAGTGCGCGCGCATTGGGTTCCCCGTCATGATCAAGGCCAGCGAGGGCGGCGGCGGCAAAGGTATCCGCAAGATCACGCGCCCCGAAGACGTGGTCGCTGGCTACACGGCCGTGCAGGGCGAGATTCCTGGCTCGCCGATCTTTGTCATGAAGCTCGCGCCCAAGTCGCGCCACCTCGAAGTCCAGCTGCTCGCGGACGAGTACGGCAACGCGATCGCGCTCTCGGGCCGCGACTGCTCGGTGCAGCGCCGCCACCAAAAGATCATTGAAGAAGGCCCCGTGCTTGCGCCGACCGAGGCGGTCTGGGACGAGATGATGCTCGCGGCGACGCGGCTCGCCAAGGAGGTCGACTACGTGAACGCGGGTACGGTCGAGTACCTCTTCACCGAGACGCCGGACGCGGATGGCAACAACTTTTTCTTCCTCGAGCTCAACCCGCGTCTCCAGGTCGAGCACCCCGTGACGGAGATGATCACGGGCGTCAACCTCCCGGCGTGCCAGCTGCAAGTGGCCATGGGCATTCCGCTGCACATGATCCCGGACGTCCGCCGTCTCTACAACAAGGACTCGCACGGCAAGTCGGTCATCGATTTCGAGAAGGAGAAGCAGCTGCCGCCGCACGGCCACGTCATCGCCGCGCGTATCACCGCCGAGGACCCGAACGCGGGCTTCCAGCCAACGTCCGGCGCGATCGAAGAGCTCAACTTTCGGTCGACGCCCGACGTGTGGGGCTATTTCTCGGTCGACTCGTCGGGCCGCGTCCATGAGTACGCCGACTCGCAGATCGGCCACTTGTTCTCGTGGAGCACGTCGCGGGAGCGCGCGCGCAAGAACCTCGTGCTCGCCCTGAAGGAGCTCTCGATCCGCGGTGAGATCAACACGACGGTCGAGTACCTCGTGCAGATGATTGAAGCCGACGACTTCAAGGCCAACCGCATCTCGACGTCGTGGCTCGACGAGCGCATTGCGCGCCATAAGGAAGTGAGCTTGCAGGGCCGTCCGGACACGCTCATGGTCGTCCTCGTCGGCGCCATGTGCCTGGCCTACCAAGCCTCGGCGGCGCGCATGGAGGCGTACGTCGCCCAGCTCGAGCGCGGTCAGATTCCCGCGCCCGAGCTCTTGACGCAAGAAGACGCGCTCGAGCTCATTTACGAAGGCGTCAAGTACCAGATCCACGCGGCGCGGTCTGGGTCGATCACGTTCACCTTGAGCTGCAACGACTCGTACGTTCAAGCCAACATCCGGACGCTCTCGGACGGCGGCTTCCTCGTGCTTCTGAACGGCAAGAGCCACGTGGCGTACGCGACGAAGGAAGCGCAGGGCCTTCGCCTCATCGTCGACGGCAACACGTGCGTCTTCACCAACGAGTACGACCCGACGCGCCTCGTGACGAACGCGGCCGGGAAGCTCGCGCGGTACCTCACCAAGGACGGCGCCAAGCTGCGCCGAGGCACGCCGTACGCCGAAGTCGAAGTCATGAAGATGTACATGCCGCTGCTGACGCCCGAGGACGGTGTCGTGCGGCATGTGAAGCCCGAAGGCTCGGTGCTCGCGCCCGGCGACCTCATTGCGACCATGGAGTTGGACGATCCGTCGTGCGTCAAGCTCTCCGACATCTTCCGCGGGAAGCTCCCGGCCTTCTCCAACGACCCGGACTTGGCGAGCGCCAAGTCCATCTTCGTACTGAAGAAGGCCATGGAGGTCGTCGGCACGCTCCTGGAAGGCTATGTGGTGCCGCAGGACCTCGTCGCCAAGGCGCTCGCCGACCTCTTTAGCGCGCTGGACGACCCGCTCCTGCCGGTCGACGAGCTCGGCGAAGTGCTCTCGTCGCTCGCGGGCCGCATGCCCGGCGCCGTCTACGACGACATTTTCGCGCTCAAGACGGCGTTCCGCGCGTCCAACAAGGCGGTGCCGTTCAACATGGCGGCCGTCGTCGCGATCCTCGATGCGTTCAAGGCCAAGCTGCCGTCGCACGCAGAGGCCAACGCGTTTGACGCCAAGGTCGCGCCGCTCCGCGACGTCATGGCCAAGTACACGGCGGGCCTCAAGTCGCGCCGCGAGCATGCGATCCACGAGCTCATCGCCAAGTACTTTACGGTCGAAGCCGCGTACGCGGGCGCGGGCAACATGGAAGACATTGTCATGGCGCTGCGCAAGGCGCACATGGACAACCTCGGGTCGGTGTTTGGCATTGCCCGCGCGCACCTCGCGATCGACCGCCGGTCGCGCTGCCTCCTCGACATTCTGCAGCACATCCACGAAGGCGCGAAAGACTCGCACGCGTCGTATGTGCCGATGCTGGAGGCGATCGCCAACTTCCGCGGCCGCCACTACTCGCTCGTGGCCCTCGAGGCGCGCCGCATCCTCGTCGACCGCAAGATGCCGTCGTACTCGGACCGCCTCCTCGAGATGGAGACGCTGCTCCAAGGGATCGTGGCCGCGCCGACGCCCGACCACGAGACGCCGGCGTTCGTGTCGCTCCTCGACCAGCCGCAGCCGATCTTCGACTTGCTGATTTCGCTGCTGCATCACAAGGAGGCGCGCGTCCGCGACGTCGCGCTCAACTTGTACATCCGCCGCATCTACCGGTCGTACGACATTGCCAAGATGGAGCTTCACGACACGCCATCGCTACTCGCGACTAAGTTTGAGTTCAAGTCGCCGGCCGACCAAACGCTCGCGATGAAGGGGTCCATGTCCAAGGCCGACTCGTACAACGACCTCGCGAGCTTGCTCAAGAAGGGCTCGTCGAGCACGAACCTCGTCTCGCTCACGCGCTCGGAATCGACCGGCTCGGACTCGGACTCGTCGCTCTCCAAGTCGATTGGCCGCTCGATCCCGTCGACGGTGCAGCGCCACGGTCTCCTCGCCGCGTTCGAGACGCTCGGCGCCTTTGAAGCCAACGTCGACGCGCTCCTTGCGATGGTGCCGCCGCGGAACGCGCTCGCGGGCCTCAAGGGCGGCGACTACGTCCATGTGCTGCACGTGATCCTCCTCACGCACGAACACGCCGAGGACGAGGCGCTCATGGCGCTCACGCGCGCGGTGCGCAAGATCAAGGACCAGCTGGCATCGCGCCTCGTCCGCCGCATCACGTTTGCGGTCAAGCCCGCGGTCAACGCGGTGCTCGATGCGACCTCGACGTACCACCTCTACCCGGGCATCTACACGTTCCGCCAAAACATGAACTACGAGGAAGATGCGATCGTGCGCCACATGGAAGCCCCGCTCGCGTACATGCTCGAGCTGCCGCGTCTCGGCAACTACAACGTCGTGACCGTCGACTCGAAGGACAAGAACGTGCATCTGTACCTCTCGACGCCCAAGAGCAGCGCGCTCGCGGCCGCCAAAGCCACGAAGAAGGACGTCTTCCAGCGCTTCTTTGTGCGCGCCGTCGTGCGTCAGCTCGAGCGCCTCGACGAGTCGCTCTCGTCGTCGTTCGATGCGCACCCGGGCCCGGAGCGCACGCTGGTCGACGCACTCAACGCGCTCGAGCTCGCGATGGGCGCCAACGTCGCCGACCCGTCGCTGCCGATCAAGAACAACCACGTGTTTATGAACGTGGCGCCGGAAGCCGTCGTCGACCCACAGTACCTCGAGGCGGTCATTCGCATTCTGGCGTCTCGGTACGCCGACCGCCTCGCGCAGCTCAAGGTGTCGCAGGTCGAGCTCAAGATTGGCGCCAAGTTCAACGACAACGCGTACTCGATTCCCGTCCGGCTCGTGGCCTCCAACCCGACCGGCTACGTGCTCCGCGTCGAGGCGTATGTCGAGGCACAAGAGATGCAGAACGGGTCCGAAGTCAACATCTTCTCGAGCATTGGCGACGACGTCGTCGGCGAACTCGACGGGCTCCCGGTCTCGACGCCGTACCCCGTCACGTACGCCTTTGACGCCAAGCGGGAAGCGGCCAAGCGCTCGAGCGACACGATCTACGCGTACGATTTCTTGGAGCTCATCGAGCACGCGCTCGGCCGCGTGTGGCGCAAGTACGCGAGCGACCGTGCGAAGGCGCGGGTGCCGACCAAGATCCCGAGCCGCCTCCTCGACGTGCGCGAGTTTGTCTTGAGTGAGAACGACGAAGCGGTCGAGCTGCTGCAGCGGCCGCGCGGTCTCAACGACGTGGGCATGGTCGCGTGGCTGCTCACGCTTGCGACGCCCGAGGTGCCGGCGGGCCGCCAGCTCGTCTTGATTGCCAACGACATTACGTTCAACGCCGGGTCGTTTGGGACGCGCGAAGACAAGCTCTTCGACCTCGCCTCCAAGTACGCGCGCTCGCACGGCTTGCCGCGTCTGTACTTTGCCGCCAACTCGGGCGCCCGCATCGGCATGGCCGAGTCGATCAAGGCCAAGTACCAAGTGTGCTGGAAGGACGCGTCGGACCCGAGCAAGGGCTTTGAGTACCTCTACCTCACGCCGGCCGACTACGCGTACTTTAGCAGCGTCAACGCCGTCCACGCCACCGCCAAGACGCTGCAAAGTGGCGAAGTCCGGTATGTGATCACCGACATTATCGGCGAGGAGAAGGATCTCGGTGTCGAGAACCTCAAGGGCTCGGGCTGCATCGCCGGCGAGTCGTCGCGCGCGTACGAAGACATCTTTACGCTGACGTACGTGTGCGGCCGCAGCGTCGGCATTGGCGCCTACCTCGTGCGTCTCGGCCAGCGCACGGTGCAGAACGTCGCGAGCGCGCCGATCATCCTCACGGGCTTCCAAGCGCTCAACAAGCTCATGGGCAAGGACGTGTACACGTCGAACGACCAGCTCGGCGGCGTCAAGATCATGCACAACAACGGCGTGACGCACCTCACGAGCGCCAACCACATCCACGGCATCGCCAGCATTCTGAACTGGCTCAGCTTCGTGCCCTCGGTGCGCGGCGGCCCGCTCCCGGTCCGCGACGTCGCGGGCATCGACGTTATCGAGCGCCCGATCGCGTACATGCCGACGCGCGTCGCGTACGACCCGCGCGAGCTCCTCACGGGCAAGGTCGTCGACGCGGCGTGGGTCTCGGGCTTCCTCGACAAGGACTCGTTCGTCGAGACGCTCGCGGCGTGGGCCAAGACGGTCGTCGTCGGTCGTGGTCGCCTCGGCGGGATCCCGGTCGGTGTCGTCGTCACGGAAGTGCGCACGGTCGAGAAGGTGACGCCGGCCGACCCGGCGGCGCCGACGACGCAGGAAGCGACGGTCCAGCAGGCCGGCCAAGTCTGGTTCCCCGACTCGGCGCACAAGACGGCGACGGCGATCCGCGATTTCAACGGCGAAGACCTCCCGCTCTTCATTTTGGCCAACTGGCGCGGCTTCTCGGGCGGCCAGCGTGACATGTTTGACGAAGTGCTCAAGTTTGGCGCCGAAATCGTCGACGGCCTCGTCCACTACAAGCAGCCCGTGTTTGTGTACATCCCGCCGTTCGCCGAGCTCCGCGGTGGCGCGTGGGTCGTCGTCGACCCAACGATCAACGCCGACGTCATGGAGATGTACGCCGACCCGCGCGGCCGCGGCGGCGTCCTCGAGCCCGCGGGCCTGATTGAGATCAAGTACCGCAAGCCCGCGCTCCTCGCGACCGCCCACCGCGTCGACGCGACCTTGCTGCGCCTCGACGCGGCGCTTGCGGCCGCCGACGAGAGCGCGCGCCCGGACCTCCTCCGCGACATTCGCCTCCGCGAAGCCAAATTGCTGCCGATTCTGACGCAGATCGCGACGCACTTTGGCGACCTCCATGACACGCCGGGTCGTATGAAGGCCAAGGAGGTCATCCGCGACGTGGTCGCGTGGGAGAACGCGCGCGTGTACTTTTACAACCGCCTCCAGCGCCGCCTCGCCGAGTTCCGCGTGCGCCGCACGATCCAGGCCGCGTCCAGCGCCGAGATGGCCAGCAGCAGCTTTGCGGCCACCGAAAAGACGGTCCAAGCGTGGTTTGAAGCCCAGAACGTGGGCGCGGTCTGGTCGGACGACAAGGCCGTCGCCGCGTGGCTGGTCCGCGACCACGACTGGATCGCCAAGAAGGTCGAGACGCTTCACCAAGAACGCATCGCGCGCGAAGTCACGCGCCTCGGTCTCCAGGACCCGAACGCCGCCGTCGTCGGCATCCTCCACCTCATCTCGGAGCTGCCGGCGGCCGACCGCGAAGAAGTCATCACGGCGCTCCGTCGCGGCTCGATCTTTGCGCGCACTCAAAACTAAGCGTCCTCTGTGTATGCTCGATCTATGCGTATCTACATAACTTTCAATGTATCAATTTAGCTTTTCAACTGGTTTTGCTGCACCATTCGCACGACACAAGGCGCGTGGGATGTCCGGTTCCTCACGCCGGTGACGACATGACTTTCTTGTCGATTGGGCGACGCTTCGAGCCCGGCAGCGGCAGACACAGTAGGACACAGTACCGATGTGGTAAGCCGGTCCTCGTCAATGTCGTCTCCCTCCCGTTGTCAGACGGAGCACATTAGAGGTGCGTCCAGTCCCAGAGACTTTACAGGACAGTCGGGCCTGCGAGTCCCAAGCCAACATCGCCTGGTCTCGAGCTAACTGACAGTGAGCTCGACGATCTTGCCTCGATCAAGAGAGCGCGTCTTGACCGACTGACATGTCCCAGCAATCCATGCGGGCTAGGGGAACGAACCGTGGGGTTGATTAGTGCATGTTATAAGCGATGAGAGCTCCGATCGAGATCGACAGTCCGTCGGTCGTATAAACTTTCAATACCATGTGTTGGCAGCGTCACGTGCGGGCTTTCTTGGCGCTGGACGACGGCGCGGTCGCGTTGCGCTTCCGACGCGGCGGGTTTCGGAAGAAGCGACGCGCGACGGACGCCACGACGTCTTCATGCTCGTCGTCGTCGCCGTCTTCGTCCTCGTCATCGTCGTTCGAGTCGTAGTACGGGTCCCACTCGGCGTACCGACCGTCGTCCACGGCATCGTTGCCGTGTTCGATCGCCCGGTCGAGGCCGTGCTGCCGCAGCAGCGTCAAGACACCGTCCACGTCGTCGTCGTAGTCGTTCCAGAACGTGGCTTTCAAGAGGTGGTAGATGTTCGAGTACGTTGTCGCCGACATGTCGTGGATGGACTGCTTTGCGTTCTCACAAACTCGATGCACGCTGGAATGACGAGCACCGAGGCCCGGGCCGTGCAGAGCGAAAGCACGTCTGCCACCGATCGCGTCGGCTCCATGCGATGCGCGTAGCGCAACATGGCGAGCGTCGCGCACGCCCACATGTGGTTGGCACTCGGGCGGGGGCGAAGGGCTCCATCGTCGACGAGTGGCCGCCAGTACCGTAGGCGGCGGCGCAACGTCGGTCGATAGGGCTCGGCCACCAATTCAAGCGCCCGCTCAAACGCCGGGATGACAATCTCGAACGTGGGTTGTTTCTGGAGCATTGTCAGCATGGCCGAGGACGCACCGATGCAGGCGTTGATGGTCTGGATGGCCCGACGTGGAAGCTGCGGCGAGAACCATTGGCCGGCGTCCGCCGCGTCGACATACGTGTCGATGAGCAGAAGCCACGCGAGGCGTTCGTTGAGGATCCCTACCTCGCGGTCATCGTCGTCGCAAGCCGGCACGACGAGCGCGTGCAGCCGTGGCAGGAGCCACCGGACGCACTCGCGCGTGCATGGCGTCGACAGTGGTGGGCACATGGGCGTCGCAGCGACGCCGGTGAGGCTCGCAATGAGCGGAAGCGACGTGTGCTGCATCACTTGGCCCAGAAACGTTTCCAGCGCGTCGAAGCGCTCGAGCAGCTGCTGCACCCACGGCGCCACGTCGGCGACGGTCGACCCCGACTTTGGACATTCCGACAGCATTTTTTGAGCCAAGGCGACGCTACCGAGGCGCACGACCACCGACGCCAAGCGCTGGACCGAGCGCAGCGAGCAACCACGAACGAGATACTCTTGCAAATACATCTCGGCCATGGCGTCGACCGAGTCGCAGCCCCAGAGGTCGGTGGCGTTTGGTTTCTTCACGGCGGCCTCGAGCGCATACAGTGCATCGTTGACATCGGCGATGTGCACCCGTCGGTGCTTGGGCCAGAGCAAAAGGTAGTTGGAGGACCGGTCGCCGTCCGGCGGTGGCATGCGGAGGCGTGTCACGCCGGCGACGACCCCTTTCGGCACTTGCAGCCAGGCCAGGGCGTGTACGCGATGACGTCATCGTCAAAGGCCTTGGTGGCGGCAACGGCGCTGAGAAACCGGACATCGGTGGCCGACACAGGCTCGAACGAGAGGGTGCTCGACGGTTGGGTCAGCTGACAGCCGTAAAAGAACGGCAAGAGCTTGGCGGCACACCTCGGGATCCAAGCGGCAACGGCTTCGGCGTCGGTCGGAGGCTGGCAGCGCGAGTGCGTCGTCGGGTCCGAGTACACGAGATAGTAGACCAAGATGGCGCGGACGCCTCGTGTAATGGGCGCCAGCCTCATTGGCGTCTGGCATCTCCAGCACGGACGACGAGGCAACCGTGATGCCGCCGCCTGCGTAGCGCGATGGGAGTCGCACAAGCAGGCGCCCAAAGCACCCCGTGGGTGGCGGCGCCATCGGCTCGAGGCTTGACGCACTGCCAACAGTGTCGACGGCAAGGTGAGAAAACTGCACCGAGCAGGGCCCTTCCGGCACGAGCCTCTCCTTGAGCCACTGGTGCACGGCGGACCAGCCGCCAGCAAACTCGGCGCGGACGTTGGTGGTGTCGCAGTTGGCATACCGGGCGGCGATCGCGTCGGTCAGAGGCAGATCGATGCGGTCGTCGTCGATGTAGAGGGCGGCGGGTCCAACGACGTTAGCCGCCGTCGCAAACGCCTGCGGCGCCCACGCCGGAACGTCGGTGCGTTGGTCGGTGGTCATGACGAAAATGCACTTTCTATCCGCGCACGGATTGGCTGATATTGTTGGTCATTCACCTCTCTGATTGGTTGCTTTCTTTCCACATCGATCCATACACTGGATAGTACTCCAACGCTATCCAACGCTATCCCCCACTAGGATACTACGAATGCAGCGACCTTGTATAAACGAAATGAGAAATTAGAGATGCTTGCCTTCGTACTTCCAGGACGGCGTCACCGACGTGGCTGGCGACGACGCGTCGGCCGACTCCAAAAGCTCCTTGAGAAAGCTCTCCGAATTGTGCACCATAGGGCCACCAAGGAGGACGCGCTGGCCGGACGCGGCGAGTTTCGTGTTGAGCTCGGCGACTTTCAAACTTTCCTCAAACGTGACGCCGCCGTGGATGTAGACGATGACGTCCTTGAGCTTCTTGGGCAGCGGCGGTGACGGCTGGAAGCCACCGTACTCAGCGTCCGGGAGCACGCCCTTCACAAAGAGGTTCTCAAGCATCTTGAGGAGCGGCGGCACGTGCTGCGTGAGGACGCACTGGACGCCTTGGAGGCCCTGGGTGACCTGCGCCATGGCCTTGATGAACTTCTTAAGCCCCTTCTCGCCAAACAAGTCGCCGGTCCGAGCCGGTGCGCCACCATAGGCGAGCATGGTGCTGATCGCGTCTTGGGCGTTGGGGACATTTGCCTCGAGGAGGAGGTCCCGCACCGCCTTGGTCGTCGACGGGCTTTCGTACCGCAGCGCGTACAGCAGCGCGAGACGGAGCTTGTTGGCCGGCGCGATCGCAGCCTTGCGCAAGCGCAGTGTGAGCTCGCGGAGATGGCCCGACGCGTCGTCATTGCAGGCCATGTCCTGCTCGAGCGTACTCACGTCCATGAGGCCCTGGACCTCGATGAGCCGGTTCAGCTCGCCCATGAGCGTCACGTGCTTGGAGACGGTCACCGACTGCGCGCGGAACTCGGCGTACTTGTCGACGAAGCGCTGCATGTCTTCGATCGACTCGATGTTCTCGTTTTGCTTGGAGCTGCGCTTGTACGCGTCGACAAGGTCCTTGACCGCCATGCAGATCTCGCCAAAGTTGGCGTGCACGTGCTGCGCGAAGAATGCGTCCGAGGTCACGCTCAAGACGACCTGCTTCATGTCGTCGCGGACCCGGCACGCGCTCGAGGTCGACCCGGTTCTCAAACAGACCAAGGAGCTCGTGCACCATGGCCTGGTACGTCCACTGGGACAGCAGCGGTGTCACCGGATCGTCCTTGCGGTCCAAGATGAGCAAGAGTGGCGCGACGCTGGGCTGGCGAAAGTCAAAGAGGCCGTCTTCGTGCTGCATCCGCGTGGCCACGTCGCGCGCGAGCTTCTCGGCCACGTCCGAGTGCTTGACAAAGCGCACAATCGGCTTCTTCTTCATCGAGAGGAGGACTGCGAGGAGCCCGTCGACGCTGCGCTGGTAGAGGGCCGCGTTCTTCGGCGTCATGTTGGCGAGGTTGGCGCCTTTGACGCTGAGACTGAGGGCGCCATGGAGGTTGAAGTGGAAGAGGTGCTCGTTGATCGCCATGTAGTCGGCGTAGTACTCGTGGACTTGGTGGACGACCTCGTGCTCGTCGGCTTCCGCGAGCCGCTCCAAGACGTCGCTTGACGTAATGTTGGTGAAGAAGATGTGGTACTCGCCATACTTGGGCGCCTTGAGCTCGTGCTTGAGGAGCTCGAGGTTGCGCAGCGTCGGCCGCAATAGCACTGCGGCCTTGAGGTGCGCCATGCGCTCGTGCGTCTTGGCGCCGAGCTGCTCGACGAGAAAGACTTGCTTCTCGAGGATCTGCGACTGGCTGAGCACCATGCTGATGATCTTGGTCGTCTCGCCGTCGAGGATGAGCGCCTTCATGCCATCGAGCTGCCCGTCGGCGATGATCTTCTCGACGTAGCCGCGGACGGCCGCGATCGCGTCCATGCTCGTCGTCGCCGCGTTCATCATGCTGCTGCTCACAACCCAACGTCGAAATAGAAAACTTGAGGCAAGCCGCCGGATACGCATCCGGATACCGTGCCAGAAACGGCCGACGTGGCAGGCCCACCGACGTCGCTGCCCGACGAGAACAAGCGTCCATGCGGCGGTCGGGTCAGGACCACTGCAGAGCAGCAGAGGCTTGTCGCCGTCGACGGTCTTAGCCACGGGAGCCAGACCATCGCGACTGAGACGCAGCGCAGGGTAGCGTGGTGCTAGCAACCGAGATAGAGATGCAAGCGGAATGGCAACCGGATCTTGATTTTAATTTCCAGGAGCCAACAGAGGTTGCTATTATTACGCTGATGCTAGAATGGAGACGGTGTGCTCCAGCGCCGAGCTGCTCCACGCGTCAACACTCCTCGTACACGGCTCCTTGAATCGCAAAACCATTCTAGGACCATGTCATCGTGTCCTGAGTAGAGTGTCCCACCCACGATCAAGCCGCGGCCGCAGTCGGTCTCGTCGGCCCGCCGACAGACGCCGCAGCAGCTCCGACAGCTCGCAACCAAGGTACTAAATGAAAACTGCGCTGCTGCTACACACTGTCTATAGAGGCGACCGCCGAGTGTACCGGAAGACCGGTGGCTGGCTGGCTACACCAAAATCAAGAAGCTCGGCGCCGGCGGCTTTGGCACGGTCTGGCAAGTGATCGATGCCAAAACGAGTGCCGCCTTTGCCCTCAAGCAGATTCCCAAAGGTGGATTTGAAGCTACATTGCGTTTAATGCAATTTGACGAGCATGAAGTAGACGATGCGCTCATGAGCAGCGCCGTGGCGTCGGCCATCACGGAGGCGCGCGTCGGCACAACGTTGTTTGCGGGCGTCGACGTGGTCGGCGACAAGCTCCGACAACGCCTTCCTTCGTCCAGCGCCGTCTTATCGACCAAGAGAGCGCCGCTCGAGTGCATTGCGCAGCTCTACCGCGTCATTGAACCAAGCACGATCTCTGGCTTTTATTTGAGCAAGGCGGCGACACACTGCATAATATGCTGTTTGAGATCAAGGGGGATTTTTACCAAGGGTCGCGCGTCTACAAGATTCTGCACCGTCCACTGTATCTCGCCATGCAGGAAAACATCCAGCTCCTCAAGGTGTGCATCGCGCGCGTGTGGAGAATATTGTCTCTGATGACGGTGCTGTAGACGTTTCTACGACAACTCATCTCGGCGGTCGCGACGCTGACGGAGCTCGGCGTTGTCCACGCAGACATCAAGCCCGACAACATCCTCGTCACATCGACGCTGCAGCCCAATGGGAAGCGCGACCTCCACTTGAAGCTCATCGACTTCGGCGCCGCGTTTCGCGCGGCGTCGCCGCGCCTCTCATCAGCGACGACACCCGAGTACGATTTTCGATCATTTTCGGATATTGGGATGGACAAGGTGTCCATTGTCTTGCAGACACTCACGATTATCATCGTAGGTATGTCCCACCCGACATTCACGAGCTCTTGCGCACCAAGCACAGCGCCAACCACATCAAGCTCTACTTTGAAGACCACTGCACGCCGCATGCCTTTGATATGTGGTCCGTCGGGAGCGTCTTCCTCGAGATCGCGGCCGGCGTCCCAATCTGGTTTGCGTTCAAGTCGCGTGTTGACGAGAGTGCCAAGCCCCGTCTCGTGACGGGCCTCATGTCGGCGCCGGGTCGGAAGCCGGATAAGATTGCCTTGCGCCAGACGTATGTGGCCGAAAACCTCGCCAAGTGCCTTCGCGACTCGCCCGGTATGAACGTCGACAGCAAGCGCTGGCAGCATGGCGTCGACCTTCTTCAGCGCATGCTTACCGTGTGTCCACGCCAGCGCATCTCCCCACAGGAGGCGCTTGCCCACCCTTTCCTCAGTGCATTATAACATGGTCGTGGATCGCTCGTGGACTTTTCGGGTGATTTTGACCGATGTACGACTCGTGCAGAGTTTCCAACAACTCGATTGTCGTAGTTACATCAAGACCAACCAACGTGCCGCAATGCTACGTACGTAGCCAATCATTAACAGATATTTACTGCTCGACCGTCGGGGCGAGTTGTGGCTACTGGTAGTTGGTTACAGATCTTATGGGTTACAGATATTATGGGTTGCTCCTCATAAAGGCTCCCGGGTTTCTCCAGTGCAGGATTATTGACCTCTCGAGCTTTCCTTCACTCGTCATAACGCTACACCCGACGGCTTGCACTCCTCTGTCGGGTGGTCCGAGTACAGGAGCCTGCGTACGACCTCGAGCGAGCTAACCCTCGGCGAGTGGGGTTCACCACGGGATGGATCTCTCCGTGCGCAGCTCACTCCCAACGACCAAGTGCTGGTGCCAACTCCCACGCATTCAGGCGTAGCACTACGTATGCGAAGTCTTTGAGTTAGTTTTTGCTAATTTGGTTTCAACGCGAACACGTTTGATTGATTGATCGTCATAACGCTAACTCACCGGGCCATTCTACCGCACCCGCTTTTGTAGGGCTCGGGTTTCTATCCCCCAATATTGCCACCGGCAATTGTCTTGGTGTTTGTATCCCTCCCTCATTTACCACGTCGCACACACCTTTCCACGGGTGTGTTTTCAAACATGTGTGACAGGTAGCATACAAATGAGCCCATATATGCCTGTGAGGAATCGCCTCTCCATATCTGTGTGAAATGGTGAGAAATGGACCGTATGCATGAAACGTCGAGTCTTGGCAGTTGGAGGTCTATTCGAAGCAACGTTGGTCCATCGAGCGGTTGGATTGACGACTTGTGCAATGAATACTTGACGCGATTGATCGCGCGAAACAGAATGTCCGAAGCCTTGGGCACGACAAGCGCTCCGTCGCAACAAAATGATGAGCCAGCTGAGACCCTGCCCCCAGCGATCGCGGCCTCCTCGAGCTGAAAATGTGCTGCATGCACTCCCTCCGCAGACTTTCGCAGCCTTTCACGCGTTCCTGTTGCTATTTAAACGTATCGGATACCGATACGCTCGCCATTCACCCACCAATCGCTTCAATGCTACAAAAAGCTCGCAATTATTATACCCGCCCGGCTCCAGACATGCATGCAGACGAGATTGACCTTGTACGAATCTCTATGCAAGGACAGTACTATCGCAAGAGTTAATAGCTACAGTGACAACAACTTGTTTCGAATCAGGCGACGTTGGCCACGGCGGCGTCGGCGCGAATACGGTCCAGCACCTCGAGCGTGTGGTCCCGCAGAAACGCGACAGCTTCGGGCGAGTGCATTGACGTCGGCGACGCTGGTTCGCCAAACTGGTTTAGAAGCGTGACGCGTGGCGCGTCGGGCGCTGCCTCTTGTAGCAGAAAGTCCGAGAGGAACTCGGCGCAGTCGCTGGACGTTTTGCCGTAAAACTGCAGCGGGCGAACGAAGAGCGTTCGTACAAACCACGGCATCTCGGTGCCCCACTTGGTCGAGACAAAACCCGGCGCCGTGTGCGCAAAGGCCACCGTCGCGTTCGCCGGGTCGGCCGCAAACGCGTCGAGCATCAGATCGTTGTAAAAGCCGCACGCGTTCGCGGCATTGCTCAGCGAGTAGTGCATCTGGAGGTCCGGGTCGTCGCGAAACTTGTGGTACGGCGAGTGCACGCCTAGTATATACAATATTGTCATTCCATTAGCAGACAAGGACATCCCATCCTTACCGGCGCTAAAGACCGAGAGCACGCGCGGCGCCCGTGGCGACTGCCGCAGCAGCGGGAGGAACTCGCGCGTGAGGGCCACGCGACTGTAGTAGTGCAGCGCCATCTTCTGGTCGAGGCCCTCGCGTGTCTCGGTGCGGCCTTGGATCGTTGAGATCCCCTGTGTGCACACGAGCCGATCGAGGCGCGGGAACTGCGACGAGAGCCCATGGATGTTGGCCATGCACTCGGCGTCAAGCGGAAGGAACGTGTGGTCGCCGCCAGGGTGCGTCGAGTGCAGCGCGTCAACGACGTCGCGGCCGCGCTCAGCGTTGCGACCGGCGACGACGACGTTGAAGTGGGCTTTGGCGAGGCGGTGCGCAATGGCCTCGCCAATGCCTGACGTGGCGCCAACGACGAGCGCCGTGCACCCTGCAAAGTTGGCGCCGGCATTGCGCGCTGCGACAGCTTGGAGACGCATGCGATCGCAAAAAGCAAAGTGCCCGCGTCCGTAGTGTTCGTCTGGCGTCGCGACGGTTCTAAAAGAACGCAACGATAAGCGGCGAAGCCAACATAAACGCGCCACCGCACGCCACGACATCTGATTCGCCGATCCGCAGCAGCTGCGCTGTCCTGCGCGGTGCACTTGTGTTTTGCCTGTCATGGGCGCATGCTCGTCGCAATCGATCATGCATTCCATGGCGATGGATGGAATGTACCTCGGTATGGACCCTTGGACGCCCGTGTACGCGGCTAGTCGCAAAAGTTGCGTGGGATAAGTCAAATGACCTGTCTTTTCGCAATACCAGCCCCAGTCTCTTGCCGCCGATATGATATCTCGCCTGGTTGATCACTCTTGCATCAAAATGAATTGTCGCTGTCTTGCCGTCCTGCGGTGGGCGCGATGCGATGGCCCCAGCGATGTTGTGCAGGTTGCGTGGATGTAGTCGATCACATTGCCGTTTGCCGATCCCACCAATCCGCGACGTTCATGGAGGTAACCTGCACTCTGATTGGTACGCATCATTTTGGATAGCGTCGACTCGGGCCGTGTTTATCGAGACGCGGTCGCAGACTAATCAGCCGCGCCCTCGCATTGAATCGGATCGCATTTTGCTTTATGAAGCGGTCGCACCAGCTCTTCGTCGCATCGACCCTCGTCCTCGGCCTCTCGATCGCCTACACCTCGTACACGTCGTCGATGAAGCTCAGTGTCCTCCAAGCACGCAACGCCGGCGCCGCCTTTCCCGGGCTCCAGGCCATGGTGGTTGGCGGCACGTCAGGCATTGGCGAAGCGATCGCTCGGCGCCTCGCGCAAGCCCAGTTTGACGTGGTCATTGTCGGCCGCAACGCGGCGCGCGGCCAGGCGATCGTCGAGGCCATGCAAGCGTCGCACCCGACTGGCACGTACGCGTTCGTGCCGTTGGACGCGCAGTATCTTCAGAACATCCATGGACTCTCGTCGCAGTTTCCGCGCCTCGACCGCCTCGTGCTCACGCAGGGTATCGCGACGATCCAAGGCCGCACCGAGACGAGCGAGGGCCTCGACCAGAAGCTGGCGCTGCACTACTACAGCCGCATGGCGTTCGTCCAGGAGTTTTTGCCCGTGCTTCGCGCCTCGGGCCATGCGCCGCGCGTCCTCTCGGTCCTCAGCGGCGGCGTGCACAAGCCGTACGCCAAGCTTTTCGACGACGTCGAGCTCAAAGAGAACTACTCGCTCCAGAACGCCGCCGACGCCGCCGGCTACTACAACGACCTCATGCTCGACGCGTTTGCAGACGACGCCGCCAACAGCAACATTGCCTTTGGCCACGCCGCGCCGGGCTTTGTCGCGACCAACTGGGGCACCGAGATGCCGTGGGCAATCCGCATGGTGCTCAAGCCGCTGAAAACGTTTGCTAAGTCGTCGTCCGACTGCGGCGAGTACATGTCGGACTTTTTGATTTCGGAACATGGACCCACGACCGGCTTCCACGTACTCGATCAGTACGGAGAGGCGGGGAGCGTGACGAGCGCACACACGCCGGCGGCCAAGGCATTCTTGAAGGACCACACGCTCGCGTTGCTCGAGCGCATTTACGGGGCGTAAGGAGGTGTCGTCTTGACGATAATGATGGAAACCTATCTATTTTCGACTTGATGCGTTTTGATTTATTTGACACGGCCGAGTGAAATATGCCGACACTCTTGGGCCCTGAGCTCGCTAGGAGACGTGCTTGACGTTCAGTGTGCGTTGAAACAACTCTCCGACGGCGTCCATGCCAAGTCTTTGTCGAACAAAAATGGTACCAACTTCTTTTCAAAATGCACTCGAGGCACTACCAGCCAGCGCCGCGGTGCGCAGCGTAAAGGTGGGCGTACGTGGCGGTGCCCGACTCGCACGCTTGTAGGCAGAGCCAGCAAAAGTGCTGGCCGCAATCGCACGTCATGTGGTTGCAGCCGCCGTCCTTCTCGATGCGCACGGTGCAGCGCGGACATCTCTTGAACCTCGCCATGTCCACCGCTGTATCTTCTTCCACCACTGGGGTCGGTGCCAGCGACACCTCGATCGCACGTGGGCCGCGATGCAATCGGTGCACGAAAAGTCCGATATCTCGGTCGGCGGCGCCTCGACGCACGCGCGGTTGGCCATGATCTTGACGCCGTAGCACGCGAGGCACCAGCCGTAGTAGACGTCGTGGCGCCACTGCGGGCGTCGGTGGCCCGTCGTCACCGCGCACGCTTGTCGGTTGAAGCGCAAGAGTACGTCGAGCGTCGGATCTCGGCGGCAAAACGGACAGGTCAGGTGCGGCGGCGACAGCAGGTGGCCCGGTTGCGTCGCTCCGTACCAGGTCTGGAGGCACGGCGTGCAGACGCGCGTCGCGCACCGACCGCACGCGCTCTGAAGCCCGGGCAACGGCACGTCGTTGTAGCAGAGAGAGCACGGCTCGGTGAGATCTCCGTGCGTGAGAAACTCTGCGAGCTCGGTGCACAGCGCCGACGCCTGCAAGATGACTTTGCCGTGGCTCCACAGCGTCGATGTCGTCGTCGTATCGCCGTCGCTCTCGATCGAGTGTCGACGCGCACCAAAGAGGAGCTTGGCGTGCTGCGTGGCGAGCGCAAAGTAGTTGCACGTGCGGTCGAACACGAGGTCCACGAACGTCGACGCCTTCTTTGGCTTGGACCACTGCACGAGGCTCGCGAGGCTCGGGTTCGCCTTGAAGAGGCACTCGATCGTCGACGGCACGACCGACGTTGCTGCCGCCGGTGTCGTTGTGCAAACTGCGCATCGCCATGTCGCGTTGCTCGTCTGTCGGGCGGCGTAGAGACCTGCCGGGTCGAGCAACCGGTTGTGGCACCCGGTGCACTCGGTGACCGGGATCTTGTCGTGCTTGGTGTGCTGTCGGCAGTAGTGGCACTTGGGCGCGATCGTCAGATCGTCGACACACACCACCGCATACAAGGCGAGGCACCTTGAACACTGCACGCGGCGCGAGTGACCAGCGGGTGCCGCGGCTGCTCGGTGCCGCGCGATGGCACCGGCGACGCCGTCCGTGACGCACAGCGCGCACTTGGTTCTCGACACCATGAGCGAAAAACTCACAAAGGCGCCGCACGAGTGGCACGGGGCCGTCTCGTCCGGATGCCACGTCATCTTTGCAGGAACGAACCCGACAGAGACGTCGACGAGCTTGGTCGCTGCGAGCCGCAGCCGGTACATGGTATGCAAGACGCCGTAGACGTGCGCTTCGTCACTATTCAAGAAGGCGCGGCCACGGTGCAAGAGCTTGATGTAATCGAGCGAGACGAGTTCCGGGTACATGTCGATACGATCCAAGTGCAACCAGTGGCCGCGCCTGGCGTCGAGGTGCGCGCGTGCCCGGTGCGCGAGAAGATGGTGGTCCGAGAGCGCGCAGAGAAGCGCAAGGACCATGGCACCGGTACTCGAGAAGGCCAAGCCGGGACTGAGCAGGTGCGGGAGACACGCGAAAAGGTCGGCGTCCGAGACGTCGACGGGAAGGTACATCGGTGCACCGTCGTCCAGCACCGTCGCCTCTGCCGGGACCGTTGCGAACCACTGCAGCTGTGTGAGCAGCGTCTGGACTTGCTGGAGCGCGCCCCGGCGCGGCGCCCGCGCGAGCGACCGTAGTGCCTCCGTGTCGACATTGGCGAGATCGACGCCGGCGTCCAAAATGTAGTAGCCACCGGTTGCCGATGCCGATGCGACCACGTCTCGAATGCGCTCGGTGGCGTCTCTGGCGTCGGCGATCCACGCCTGCAGTTGGCGCCGACTGTCGCCGTCGAGACCCGGCACGCACTGCGAGAGGCGCGTCGTCAAGGCTTTGAGGCGCGGGTCGAGGCGACGACTGCACACGAGCGACCAGAGCTTGCCAACGATCGGGTTGTACGTCACGGCGAGCACGAGAGATGGCGTGAAGAGCACCTTGAGCACGTTATAGACCGTGCCTTGGTACGTCTCGTCGCGCCGGAAGCGGTCGGGCAGCGCGTCGAGGTCTTGTCGGAGCGCCGGCAGCGGCTCGAACGCAAACGGTCGCGTCGCCGTTGTGAGCGAGAAGAGGTCCGGCAAGTCGTTCTCGGACGGCAGCGACAACGTACGGTCGTAGTGCGTCGTTTGCTTGTGGTAGACGTCGGTGATGGCAAACTTGACGCGACTTGCAAACGACTGGCCCATGAGCTGCAGCAGGAGACCCATCGACGCCTCTGTGATCGTGTTGGTGCTTACGTCGTCCAGCACGATCAGCGGCCCCAAGAGCGCATAAAAGACGCCCGAGGTTACCGTGCTCGGGATCTCCTTGTGAAACGTGAAAACGTGCGCGTCACCAAGGGCGTCTCGCAGCGTGAACCAGTCGGCGCCACCCTGGTAGAGCGGATTGGCATCAATCGCGGCGGCTTCGCGGGCCTGGAAGCGGGACGCCGTCGCGCGGTGGTGCGGCGGCGCATCCGTGTAGAGCAGCACGACGGCCGTGGCTGCCGTGCGCATCGCAGCGACCTGGTGCAGCGCCGTCTTGACCGCTTCGGGGTGGTCGCCGCCGCCCGACGCCTGCAGTTGCGAGACAAATGCGCTCATGGAGCGGTTGGTGTGCGTGCGCTGGCTGCAGTAGGTGACGACGTCGCTGCCGTCGCAGTAGTCTTTGTACGACACAAGGTGGACGCAGAGGCGACCGTGGAAGAGGACTTTGGTCAAGGCGAAGATCTGGCGCAGTGTGCTGCTGAGGGACGCGACGTAGGTGCCCATGGAGGCCGTGGTGTCGCAGACGAGGAAGAGGTCGACACTGTCCGTCGCCATCGTGTTGGTGACCGTTTTAAAAGTGGGGAACGCACAAGTTTCAACTAGAACATGTGTATCAAGGACCTTGGTACAAAGCAGATGCAGCAGCGACTGCGTCGCTGAGTGAAGGTGTTTTGGACGTGAATTGGGTTGCGACACCATTATCCTGTGTGCGGCTGGCTCCTAAACGAGAAACTACACGGCTTGAACGTATATTTACGGTGCCCGACGAGCTGCTTGCTACGTAACTACACATCCAAATCCACGACTTTCGATGACGACCTCGAAATGTACGGTACAATTGAATCCGTATTTTGGAAGCGGGAAAAACACCACAATTCGACAAGATATTTCGGGTTTCATTTTCTTGTGGGTTTGGCTCCCGTGCTTTGGTGCCGCGCACGTTCTGCTCGTCGAACGAGGTGCTACATCCGCACGGCAGTCCATCTTCAACCCCATGACGTGGCAGCACCTGCGTGCACCAAATGGTCAAGTTGAGTGAAGGTAGTCATCGCGCGAGTGAAGGTTCCTTCTCGCACCACCGATCTGCGCACGATGAGCAGTGCCTGAGCCTCGCTTCCAGTGGAGCTCATTTTCCATTTGCCCACGTTTCAAGCAAGAGTAGCTACCATGGAGCCGCACGCCGAAGCCGAGCCGTCGACGACCGAGAAGCGCCCAGTCGTCGACCTCTTCGTCGTCTGTGACACCACCGGGTCCATGGGATCGTACGTGGCGTCGCTCAGCAGCACGATCAACCAAGTCTTTGCGCTCACGGAGCTCCTCTTCAACGGCCGCCTCAAGCTCCACGTCGTGTCGTACAAGGATTACTGCGACGGTGTAAACGTCGTGACGAGCATCGGGCAGCGCACGCATTCGAACGACGAGATCAAGACGTTCGCAGCCAAGCTCCGTCCGAGCGGCGGCGGCGACTACCCGGAGGCCGTCAAGACCGCGCTCAACGCCGTCGTCGCCACCATCGATGCGGTCCAGGCCACGGACGCGGTCGTTTTCTTGTACACGGACGCACCGCCGCACCACCCGGCCACGTCGTCCTCGCACCTGCAGCAAGAAGTCGCAGCAATTGGCGGCAACCCGGTGTACACAGCCGGCAGCGACTGGTTTGGTATTCAAAAGACGCTGCAGTCCAAGCGCGTCCCGGTGTACACATTTCACTCGAACCAGTACACGGCGGAGGCGACGCTGGCCTCTGCCATCTTCTACGCTCTCTTGGGTCCTGTGACGGTCCTGACGTCGCGTACGCCGACGATGATCACAAAGGCGACGATTGGCCTCCTCCTCCAGCTCATGGGTCAGGACTTTGCTTGCGCAGACGAGTTGCGCGTCACCAACATCCTGCGCAACGGTGTGCCCTTGGACACGACGTTCACAGCCGAGAAGGAAACGCAGCTTGGCAGCCTTCTCGGTCTCTCATCGTCCACCGAGCCGTTTACGTTCGAGTCGCATGCCAGCATGGTCGAAGACCTCGGCCAGCTTCCCGTGCTCTTCAAGTCCAGCGAGGCCTTCCGCAACCTCGTCTACGCAACGTTTGGCGAGGTCTTCACGCCCGAGAACGTCCTGTCGCTGACGTACAACCCGGTGCTCGGGAAGCTCTGGCGCCTTGTGTGTGGCCGGCGCCTCGACGAGCGGCTCCAGACGCTCTCGGCGCAGCTCTCGGCGTGCATCCCGGCGCTGAGCGAGGCCGACAAGCGCCAGGTGCAGGAGTGGCTCGATGCATCTCACGACAACAGCGAGTTCATCCGCGAAACGCTTCGGGCACTCCCACGTGGCGCGAGCTACGTGCTCGAGGCAGCGGCGTTTTCCATCGACAAGGACGACGTCCGGTCGCTTGCCCGCGCGCCCAACCCAGGCGTCCTCGCCGCCGTGCAGTCGCTCCTCACGCACTTGCGCGTGTACCCGTCTGTCGAAGCCATGGACGAGGCGGCCGTTGTGCATCTCCCGGAGGCCATTTCGAACGAGCACCTCTTTTCGTTCCTGCCGCACTTGATTCTGCCGGGCACGACCTTCTCGACGAAGGGTGCGGCGGTCATGGCGCTCCTCTGCTGTCTCTCGGAGAATACGCTGCTCGCACCGCGCGCAAAAGCCTATCTGACGTCGATCCGCGGGCGCTGGATTCCGCTCAACAACGTTGTGGACTTTCCTGAGATCCTCTCGCTCGAGTTTATCAAGTTGCTCTACCGCGGCCGCGCCTACTTGACCGAGGAGGAAGCGGCGGTCTATACGCAGCTCTACCATGTGCACCGACTCCGGCTCGCCGCCACCAAGGACGTCGACGTCACCCTCGGGTTCACGCCGACCAAGACGCAGCTGCGGCCTGATACCAAGGTGCGTTGTGCTTCGTGCGGCGTTGACACGAGCTGCTCGCTCATGGTGACACCCGACATGTGCGCCCTCTGCTCGACTGCGGGCGTCGAGGAAGCCACGGCAATCCAAACCAAGGCCGCCGTGCCGGGTGCCAACTCGCACCTCGTCGAGTGCCGGGGCTGCCACGGTCTCTACGCCGTCATTCAAACCGACCTTCTCAACATTACGCCCAAGTGCTTCTACTGCCGCAGCGGCGCCAAGCAGAAGCCACCGATGCACCACTGCAACGGGTGCTGGAACGCTTTTGTCGACCCCGCAGGGCTCTACGCAGCCGCGCACCCAAATGTCTGCGCCGTGTGCACGGCGACACCGACGAAAGCGACGGCGCCGACGACGCTGACGCTGCAGGCGCTTTTGGCTGCCAACCCGGGTATCCTCGCCGACTTGCAGTGGACGCGCCCGACCACCGCCGCGTCGTTCGTGGCCATGGCCTTTGACCGCACCATCAACTACTTCAAGATGTTTACGCTCAAGCACGGCCTGCTCTTCAGCGCCACACAGGCGACGAGCGAGCCAACGCCGTTGATCGTCGACGGCAAGCGAGTGCACAACGCGGACGCGCTCGTGGCTTTGATCCGAGACACGGTCGTGTCCGGGACGCTCAAGGACGTGTGCAACCTCTGCTTTGACGAGTTGACGCTGCCGGCGCTGACGTCGGCGTGCGGACGCTGCGCGACCAAGTGCTGCGAGTCATGCCTGTCGCGGTGGTACGGCGCCGTGCAGCCGGGCAAGATGGTGCTCGCGTCCAACCTCGGGGTGTCCGTTCTGCCGTCGGGCGCCCACGCTCGGTGTGCTCCGCAGCACAACCGGCAAGCGTGCGCACTCGTCGCCTCCGAAATCAATGAACGTGGCGAGCGGATATGTACTAT